TCTAGTCTCACACCAAGGAAAACATGAACTATATTTTCTTGATAACTAATAAACATTGATAAACATACCGTTATTTTTTAAACAAATGAACATTGAATAGAAATCGACCATATCATCTGCCTTAATAGACAGATTCACTATCCGCTACGAACCTGAAGCTGAGATACGATTGATTTGTATCCTGTAGACAATGGACGCGGCCGCAGCCGTTTCGCAGATAATCCGGATGCAAGGGATGTTGCAGATGATTTCTAGTTTGCAGCTTCAGTCTTGTCTTTATCCACAACAAGCTGCGGTGGGCGGTGAGCTATTATACATATCACATTTTTTGTTTGTATTCATCCTATTCCTCGATCTTTGTGGTCCGTTTCATGATTATATATTTATAAATTGTTTATAATGTATACAAAAAACACAAACGATCTGGTAACACCAATACTTCAGTTTAAAATACCGATTTATTCTACTCGTGTCAAAAAGGAATAAAGAACATAAGTCGTACTTTCTTGGTAATAAGACTAATTATAGACTGTTACAGATGAAAATTAATTTGTTTAGCAATTAAATTAATTTACACATTGCAGATGGAGACAGTTTCGACTTTATTATCGTGGGCGGTGGGTCAGCTGGGAGTGTGCTAGCGAACAGACTTACGGAGATTGAATGTGCGAACGTTTTACTTATCGAAGCGGGTAACGATCCCCCAATAGAGTCAATGGTGGGTAACTAAGTTTCTGGTAAAATATTCGTAAAATTATCATAATAAAGGTTTTTTTTTTAGCTGCCAGGATTGTTCATTACCACACCAAGGACGCGAATAGACAAAAATTATACATCGGTGAACGACAAAAGGACCCAGCAATGTCACAGGAACCATGTCGCTAACCTGACAAGTGGCAACGTGCTCGGTGGTGGTAGCAGTGTTAACTATTTGTTCTATGTACGGGGAAATCCCCATGACTATGATACTTGGGCAGCCATAACAGAGGACAAAGGTTGGAGCTGGGACGCTGTGTTTCCCTACTTTATTAAGAGTGAAAGGCAAACAGATCCACAAATTCTTAATTCACCATACAAAAAATACCATGGCACCGACGGATACTTAGGCGTATCACGACAGCCGACCAATGAAACTCACAAATATTTTGAAGCTCTTAGAGAATTAGGGGAAGATGTACTTTTGGATATTAACGGAGAACAACACACAGGTTACACTCAGCAAATGTATACGCTCGCTGAAGGGGTGCGACAGAGCACCGCGTACACATACCTCTCAGCTGCCAAGGACCGATGTAATTTGTACCTTCTTAGGAATACAGTTGTTACAAAAATTGTGGTAGATGATAACAATTATGCGACAGGAGTAAATGCAAAACTGTCAGACGGTAGAATAATATTTATCAAAGCGTATAAAGAAGTAGTACTCACTGCAGGAACTTTGAACAGTCCCAAATTATTGATGTTGTCCGGGATCGGGCCGAAGGAGCATTTACTTGAAATGAAAATCCCAGTCCGCATCAATCTACCAGTTGGGCTTAATTACTACGATCATGTGTCGTTATTTTTATCTTTTAGAATGGAGAAATCAAACAAGCCGCCAATGGAAACAGATCTACATAAGATCCCAATAAATGTTTTTACCGGTTACGTTGCATTGAATAAATCTAATACGAGGCCAGACTATCAAGTTGCAAATTTTATTGTTCCGAATGATTCTCCCGCTTTTCTGCAGATATGCTCTTTTAATTACTGGTTTGATTACGAATTTTGTCAACGGATTTTCGATGCAGGAAAAGGTAGGAATACATTGCTTTCCTATATGAATCTGATCTATCCGGAATCGAGAGGTAGAGTTTTGCTTCGCAGTACCGATCCCTCAGATGCTCCTTTGGTGATCACGGGCATTCTCTCTGACGACCGTGACGTAAAAAACTTGATGCGTTACGTGAAACATTTTACGCGTGTTCTAAATACAACTTACTTCAGGAGTGTGGAGTCGGAGTTAGTAGATTTAGTTGGGTACACATGTGATGGTTTTGAAGTAGGTAGTGACGAGTACTGGAGCTGTTATATATTCTGCGCTAGGAGTACATATTATCATTACGCGGGTACGTGCGCTATGGGCGCGGTGGTGGACTCGCATTTGCGTGTAATGGGCGTTCAGAGGCTGCGCGTGGTGGACGCCAGCGTGATGCCCACGCCAGTAGGTGGCAACATCAACGCACCAGTCATTATGATAGCCGAAAAAGCTGCTGATTTGATAAAGCAAACGCACTACGGACCGTAATAAAAATCTGACAGGATTGAATAAAATTGTTTTTTTTATTCTTAAGTACTTAATTTTCTTTATTAATATTAATCAACAAACTTACCAAGCAATTCCGTTTTTGATATGTGTTTTAAATTATTTTGCCCAGTAAACTTTCTCACGGTTAAGTACTAAAGCATGAATGAAGCTACAAATGTCCTTCATATTCTGACTTACCACGCTGGCACATTCTTAACTCCAAAAGCACACTCTTGGGGACGCCTATCCTATGCTTTAGACTTCACAAAATTTGTTAAAAAAATTAGGAGTTGGTTTAAATTTTCAGATTCCAAGATAGAGGCAATCTGATTTTTAAAAACGATGCTATAAGTATTCTTACTGAATATAATTAATGCAAATTATGTCTGAAGGTTGTAAAACGAATCTAGTAGCAATATAAGAACCTTGGTGAAGGTTGCTACGTGTTCGTTTGAATTCATCTGTCTAAACATATACAGTACACTTTACCATACGTTACAAGCTGTAAAATCAAACAAAGTTATTGTGTTGTGTTCTTTGTGGAAATTGTGTGAGTGTATTGTAAACTGGATGCCAAACACATAGATTCTAAAAAGTCAATTTTGAAATTCTAGATGATAATACTACTTCCAAAAATCAAGTTTTTTATTTTAAATTCCTGACGTGTAGAAAGTACACCATCCATGGTCAAGAGACAGACTAAAAACTAAACTAGGAAGTTTACAAGCTTTGGCGCCGAGAGTAAGTAAAGTTTTGTGTAAGGTAATAATTAATCCGGATCTGGATGTTTTTTCCCAAAAAATCGCAAAAGTTATTTTATGTTTCAAATGTTTATACAAGGGAAGTGAAGTAAACCAGGCCCACTTTTTATAAAGTTTCCATCACCTACTCCTTTGGTGCTGTCCATGGGCGGCGATGTTCGCTTAACATCATGTGAACCATCTGATCTCTTGACAACTTTCACAAAAAAAATGAGATTAGGACAGGAGGATGGTGAGTATAGAATATTGCGAATAAATCGCAATATTATTCGCAATATTATTCGCAAGATTTTAGCTGAAGATATTGTTATTAATACCAACACGTCGTCATATGAAAGTTTTTTCCATATGAATACATTACTTTTTTCAAGAATGAATAGATATTTTCGCTTCTGATTCTTCTTTCTTCTATTCTTTTAATGTATCGTCACTGGTTCGCAACGTCTGCCTTACGGCCAGTTTCAATATTATATCTACAGTTAGATTCGGTTACTGGAGGTCGAATTTTGACATAAGTATTATGGAGCTAATGTCAAAACCCGATTGGCGTAGTGGGTAGTGAAACTGCCTCCTGCGCCAGAGGGTGTGGGTTCGATCCCCACTACTGGAAAAATAATGTGTGATAAACGAAGTGTTATTCTAGTGTCTGGATGTTTATATATCTATAATATGAATTTATTTACAAAATAAAAGTACGTTTAAGTATGTTTATCAGTTATCTAGTACCCATAGTACAAGCGTTGCTTAGTTTGGGACTAGAGGACGTTGTGTAAAAATGTGTCCTAATATATTTAAAAAAATCTATCGGTAGTAACCCAATACACCTGTGAATAGAATATTGAAACCGACCGTTAGTGCCGCAATCACACTGGATACAGATTAAAATTAATCGAAAGATCAAAATATCGAAAGAGAAAAATCTCAGCTGTAACCAAGTACATACACGCAGAATGAGTTATATTATCACACTCTGCTAAAGTAAATGAATACAAGTCCAATAAAACACCTTTTTGTATGATAATGTACCCATTACAGCGAACTGACATGTTTGCGGTAACCGCATTATTGTTATAATTACGAGAACGAAGGTTTTTGCAATAAAAAAATCGTGTCGAGCCTACAGTACAATTAAATTGAAACATGTCAGTGTTATCGTCGATCTCGCAACACTTGTGCGCGCGCATTCGCGTAAAACTGATATAAATGCTCAAGATAAAAAACAAATCATGACCTGCTTAAGGATAACGAGTTAGTTAAAGAAACTCAAGTTCAGTCTCATTAAAACAAAATACCTAGTCAAAAGAAAAACAATAATATACATAAGTTAAGAGTATTTCGCTCCGAAATTGTCTGTTTTAAAGGCCTGCTACCCATTTGTAAGCCCTCGGGTGTTGCAGGTGTCCATGGGCGGCGGTAATCACTTACCATCAGGTGAGCCTCCTGCTCGTTTGCCCCTTCTCTCCATAAAAAAAATGTCTAAAGTTTGTCTATGTCTATGTCAAAATTATGTACCATAATTTTATATTCGATTACGGTGTAAAAGTTATGGGATTTTACTTCTAAGGAGGAAGGGTCTAAGGTAAGGTAAAGATCCACAGCTCGCTATTCGGCAGTACAGTGGGGGGGCTCAAATTGGAAAGAAGAAGAAGAAAGTGAAAAAAAAGAAACGTGAAAAGTGCTAGGGAAATTGAGAAGAGTTGTAGAAGTGCAAGTGGAAGACTTGTGAGACCGTTTTTGTTTATAAATAAAGTTACTAAAACCTTAGAATATCCGCGATTTACTCCAACAACCCCTAACATTAGTAACAATATCGTTAGGTGTGCCTTTAGTTAGCCATCACCGCGACAAAACGCTGAAACTTCATAGAGAGGCGAATCGATGAGTTACAAAATATTTTATATAGTGTATGCCAGTGTGAATTATTAATTATAATCTTTGGAACAGGCAGAGGTATGGACGCGGTGGTGAAACTTGGCGAGGTGACGCTGATGCAAGGAGCTTTGCAGTTACTCTCCATGCTGCAACTGACATCTCATCTCTTCCAGCAAGATGGAAATATTTACGGTTAGAATGACTTTTTCAATACTTCTTCTCTTCCGCGTGATTACCGGGTGGTCAATAACGTAAGAGATATTAACACCCTTGTTATAGTCACAAGATTACGACTCTTCTTCTGTCAGAGCACTGGCTTGGTGGACGTCAACTTATTTCCAGAGATTATATTATACTAGCTGCTGCCCGCGACAACGTATGCGTCTGAATCTTACGCCTTAGAATAGGCTGAAGGCGTAAGATTCAGACAGAAAGACAGTTATACATAAAATATGTATATAAATTATAGCCTATGTCTTATTCTAATATAAAAGCTAAATTATTGTAAAGTTTCATTAAAATCCATTCAGTAGTATTTGCGTGAAAGAGTAACAAACATCCATCCATACATGTGATGTCTTTTCTGTCCTCATTAATGTTTCAGATGGACAATACTTCGATTTCGTAATAGTCGGTGGGGGCAGCGCTGGGAGCGTGCTTGCTAATAGGCTCTCGGAAATTAGCTGGGTGTCCGTGCTGCTGATCGAAGCAGGAGGGGATCCCCCGCTGGAGTCAATGGTAAGTACCTTTGTATTCAGAAATTTAAAAAAAACCTGTAACGATAATTGACGACTCGAGTTTTAACGATTTTGAACCTTTCACATTTATTACCTATCTATGTATACTAGTGGTCGCCTAGTAGTCGTCATAATTGATTATGCATGTTTCGTGTGTAATGCTTTTTTTTTATTTATTTAATGTATTTCTGTGCATAATAAAAAAAAATGTGTGCGTGTACTAGCGTACACTCGTAAGAAGTGAAACTTTTTTATGACGTTATTTTTCAAAAAATAATTTACTATATGCAACTTTACAGAAATTGGTTAAATAAAGTTAAATTAGATAAAGTTTAATAAAAGGCTTTTATTATCATAGACATAAATACCAATTATTTCATTTTAGCTTTGTATAATATTTTGTTTCTTATTTGTAATACATAGGTGGCGTTAGTAGTAAATTAAAACACACTATGGTTTGACCGTTGTAATTAGTATGAGGGTCCGCAAAAATTGTTGATTAAAAAACTTGCAACGTGAACCTTGTTTATTTCAATGAACCTCACGGACCCAAAATAGAACCGCTTTGAATTGAAAGTTTTTTTGGTAAACCGAACTTGCGGACGTTGGATCGACGTAGCAAGGCGGCAGTTGGAAGGCGCGCTGAATGTTCCAGCGCGCCTTCCAACTGCCGATACGTGCCTACGTGGAACATCGTTGAGGTTTTAATTGGTGATAGGCCGACATAACCCGCTCTTGCCCCGCGAGGTTCCAGGTTAACAAAAAAAGAGTATATCGACTTAAAGGTGGTCAATTTGATTGAATATAATTGCTAAATCATCAATTTGCATCCAAAAAATGATAATGTAATTTTCAAAGTGAAAATACCAATTAATAACCTAACGTCACAGAATTAATATAAGTACTAAACAATGTTTGATAAATAAAAAAAATATCAAAAATGATTGGTCGTATTTATTATTTACTTCGGTAAATATGATATGGGCCCGAAGCTCATATCAGAAATAATAATTTTAAAAAACTGTTTTAAAAATTATTAACATTTAGAAAAATTACGCGAGCCCTCACAAAGCTCAGCTTTTTGCTAGTTAATGTTAAGTGCTAACTTATCATGTGCTCAGCAGTGAAGTAAAACATCATGAGGAAATTTGCATATTTTCGAAATAATAACGAAAAAAATATATTTCGAAGAAGTCTGCCAATCCGCAGTGGAGTGGCGTAGTGGACTATACCCTAATACCCTCTGTACGGAGGCAGTCTTTGCCCAATAGCGGGATATGTTTAAGCTATTACTTTACTATATCGATATTCTCATAAAAAGGATGGTGTCGATTCATTAAAGAAAAATACCATATAACATTGGACTTAGTTTCCAGGCCTGTTCACGTTGATGTCAAGGAGCCATGTCGACAAAAACTACACGTCGGAATACGACCCGAGGTCGCAGCAATGTCACAGGAACCGTGTCGGCAACTTAACGAGCGGCCATATGCTCGGCGGGAGCAGCAGCATCAACTACATGTTCTACGTCCGAGGCAACCCATACGACTACGACGAGTGGGCAGCGGCGGCCGAAGACAGTACGTGGAGCTGGAATGGCGTTTTGCCTTATTTTATCAAAAGCGAGAGACTTGAGGACCTAAGCCTTCTGCAATCGCTATACGGCATTTATCACGGCACAAGTGGGTACCTCGGTGTCACGAGAGAGCGGCGCAGTGACATCAACAGGTTTTTAGAAGCCGCTAACGAGTTAGGGCACGAGGTTCTATTAGACATTAACGGGAATCACCATTTAGGGTTCACGAATCAGTTGTTCACTATAGCCGATGGCATGAGACAAAGCACAGCTTATTCATACTTATCTCCAATTAAGCACCGCAAGAACTTGTGTATTGTTAAAAATACTTTGGCAGCCGAAATATTGTTCGATGAAAGTAATAACGCTGTCGGTGTTAAAGTGAAAACTGGAGATGGTAAAGAACTGATCGTCAGAGCGAATCGAGAAGTGATCATATCGGCAGGTGCTTTCAATAGTCCTCAACTTCTCATGCTGTCTGGAATAGGACCGGAGGAACATCTGAAAGATCTAAGTATTCCAGTGCGCAGTGATTTGCCGGTTGGGTTTAATTATCAGGACCACGTCACAGTTCCGTTGTCGTTTAAGATGGAAACGTCTAATTCACCCCCCGCGGTGCCAGATCAGCGTTTATTTCCACTGCCCGCCTTCACCGGATATGTGGCGCTTGACAAGCGACAACAACACCCCGACTACCAGGTAGTCAACTTCGCCGTGCCGAACGATTCCGACGCACCTCTGGCTATGTGCTCCTTCAACTACTGGTTCGACTTTGAAATATGCCAAAACCTCCACAACGGCGGCAAAGGCAGAAACACCATGCTCTCCTTCATTAGCCTATTGCATCCGAAGTCACGCGGTAGGGTGAAGCTACGCAGTAAAAATCCAGAGGACCCCCCATTGATGGACACCGGTACGTTCTCCGACCGAAGCGATGTGGAGAACCTGGCGCGGTACGTCGAGGACTACGCTCGTATTGTCAACACGACGTACTTCAGAAGTGTCGGCTCGGAGATAAACGACCTGAAGTTGGCGACGTGCACCGGCCTGAGGCCGTGGAGCGGAGAGTACTGGCGCTGCTACGTGCAGTGCGTGATGAACACTATGTACCACTACAGCGGCACTTGCGCGCTGGGCACCGTGGTGGACGCACGTCTCCGAGTGCGCGGCGTCAGCAGACTGCGCGTGGTAGACGCCAGCGTGATGCCTTCTCTCACTGGCGGTAATATCAATGCACCGGTTATTATGATAGCCGAGAAAGCTGCCGACTTTATCAAAGAGGATAATGGATTAATTTCCTTTTAGCATCGACCTGATGATCTTTGAATACATGAAAGTGCCCCGCGTCATTCATTGATTTGAAACAAAAAGTGAATTTTCATTAATTCTAGGGAACAATTATTACATTTTTTGTTGTTAAATATGTTCACTCTTATCTCAAACGTTTATATAAGTATAAGCGCGTTGTTCGTGCTCTTCTTTGGTAGTGTAAGCAAGCAAGCCAAGCATTCAATTATGTACCATTCATACTGTTAATAAAAGTGTAAAATTACTTTTTTATTCATCTCTGTCATATAACATGGATGGGTTTAATACTACATCTCTTTAATAATCTACAGCAGAATTGTGGGCATTAATTATATTTACGCTTGTGTGCCGTTTAAAGCAATAATGTGGGCGTATAACGAGCCTTTGGATAAAATGTTATTGTAGTGTTCGAAAATTTTCAATTCCAGACCTTACACTTTACCAATGAATTCCTGTATGAATACTCAACTCTGATTCTGGTTGAGCTATAAAGGCAATTATGAAATCCGGATGATTATCCTGATGTAATAGTTCAAATAAAATATTTTTTATTGATTTATCTCACAATTTTATGTTTTAGTTGCTAGTGCCATGATTGGATAAAGTATGAATGAACTCGCGACTTTGTCATTAATTTTAACCGACTTTAAAAAGAAGGAGGTTATCAATTCATAAATATTTATCAATCAATAAACCATATTAGAGGTTAGATAGGTTAGGTTTTCAAGATTTGATTATATTAGATTTAGTATTATTATAAACTTTTTAGTGCTAATAGAGTTTTTTGCGGTGACGGCCTTGGCCATTCGTGCAACAGAAAAGACATTCGCGTGGCCCTACCACGCATACGTTTTGTTTTGAATTAAAAAATAATCTAATATATATGATTTGAAAATTTGATGTTTGTTTGTAAATTTTTTACCCTTTTTACACTGAAATGTTAACCTTTTTTGTGTGAAAAGTTGACAAGCGACTGCATCCGATGCAGTCATTACGCCGCACGTGGATGTCTACGCCTAATATTGCAGATGCGTAGTCAACCTTTAGTGAAAAAGGTGAAGAAAACATTCGCAACGCCGGAAGAGTTACAAATGGGTACCGACCTTTGAGGTTAAAAATAAAAGATTCTTCTTAAAGGTCTCTTTATCGTTTTTTTATGTGAAAAGTTACCAAACAAGCAGCCGGTTCACCTGATGTTAAGTGAATACCGCCGCCCATAGACATATGCTACACCCCAGCGTATGCAGATGCGTTGACAACCTTTTTGGAAATTGGGCTCCGGCTACCTCACTCACCAGACGAAACGCGAAAGTATTTCTCATATTTCCACTTTATGCCGGTCTTCTGTTAGGTCGTAGTACTTACCCGGACGAGCCTGCCCATTCGTGCAACAGCCGAGGCTGCTGCGTAGCTCTACCACCGTAAAATCGTGTAGGTCCGGAAAACTGCTGGTGACAGCAGATTCCACAAATTGGGCGCGCGTGAAAGAAAACTGTGAAAAATACTCGATAGTGGACTGCCAACCATCAAGGTGGTGTCAATGGTCATTCACCGTCTTAATATTGGTATACAAATATAAATGTAGCATATCTTTGTGTCTTATGTGGCCGTACAGTCGCCTGTACTCGCGGTGTTCCACCCTTAGGGCGATAATCGTTTGAACGAAGTGCAAGCGGCCATCCGATAACACGGATACAATAACCAATAGGAAGACACTTTAAAATTTGTATGTGCACACGAAAGGTTCGCACCTTTCAAATGTTTATTGCCGTAATTACCTTTGCTCGCCATTATAACTGTAGTAAAAACAGAGTATTAGAAAAATTGATTACTAGAAAAATAAGTAACTCACGTCGTAGGTTTTATCTCAGCAACATCTGCCACCGTGTAAACCACAAAAACTCGGACAGTTAGTTCTGCAAGTAAGTAACCATCACACGTCTCAAGCTATGAGTCAAGGTCATACCTTTAATATATCAATGGCTAAGTTATTCCGACGAAACGCCTAGAAGATTGCTGCTATACGTTCATTTCCTCCGAATCCTTTGGCGCGGGGCCAGTCTGCGAATATAAGGGGATCACGGGCTTTGGCCCCTCATACTCCTAAGTATTTCAAAGCCCCCGGGGATAATGCGGCGCAATGCATTTACGTCCCATATCCGCCTCGTTCGGTTTATCTTATCTTATAAGCTTAAACGAGCTGCACTGTATATGCATATATATATATTATTAAAAATGTATTGTTTACACCTCAACTTAAGGCAAACTTAATGCTAACACTTTTGTTAAAAACGCTAATATACGCAAAAATAATACATTTTTACGTAATGTTTGAGACACATGCATTGTTTCTATATGTATCTAAATATTTCTGAGATAGCGCTATATGAAATTATCCGAATACCAATAAGTAAGGTTATTCGTATTACACACATTTTATATTGATTTTATAGAAAAGAGATGCTGAAGTCCGGTCGCCCAAATACTTGACTTATATTATATGAGATGTCCCCATAAAAGTCAACCGTGCTAACCCTGCCAAAACTGATCACAATTACGTCCCTAAGTTATATATTCTTTTAATTGTTAAAATATCTATGTTTGTTGAAAGTAAATAAATATTTATTCATTCGTAAACTGGTTGTAGAGACTATGGAGCGTATACCTATTGACTTATGGCTTCCGTAGGTAAAATTAAGACAAGAGATAAAAAAGGTGCCATCCTGTCAAAACCAATTTGTGTTCTTTACGCTGCCTAACTTCGGTATTCTAGCTCAAAAAATATTTTTTTTAGAATAATATAGTAGTTTAGAAAAATGGAAATATAAATTAATAACAAAAAATAAATTAAAATATTCGTATAAAATATTCTACCATATAATATTAATTAATTACCAATTAATATTTAATATAATAATAGTATTAATAGTATTTCGCCGATCAATAAGTCAGTGTGTCTTTTTTGTTAAAACAATACTTAATATTGTCCCCTCCGTCTATTGGAAAATTGTGTATGTGCATTCTAAAGCGACTCTCAATCCTATATTCTAGTAGAGAGTTCGTTCTCGCAAATACCACCGCGCAGGTGTCTGGGTGCAAGTGGTCTTGGCTTCCAGCCAACCAGCGATGCGTGATCTTTATATCATTCCGCTTTCCCGTTTCACTTGGCCCCTTTATATTTTGAATCATAGATACATATGTATGCGGCAAAACAAAAGTGCTAAATAGCTATATTTTTTTATCTGTCAAGCACTTGATATCATCATCTCTTTTATCTCTCATATTTTATCATTTGATTTCATGCTGTAGTTTTCCATATAACAATAAATAAATAAATAAGATACTTGTTTAAGGTATTTTTTTATAGTGGCAATAATTTATTAATACTGGCAAATTGATATCTTCAGTACCTTTTGAAACATCTTTGAGATATTACTACATTGTGGCAGATCTACCAACCGGCTAAGTAGGCTAGAACCTAGGGCGGCCAATTATAGGGGGCGGCAAATTGGCCCAAAAATTTTTGTCTTATAGAAATAAAGGAAAATGTCATTATATACATAGACAACACGAATCTTGAAAATTTTAATATTTTAGTACTGTATAGGTATGGTACTTTACGATCATTCTGATCAATTCAGAGAGCTTAACCATCCTTTTTGCAACTTAAATGACCTGAATGGCGTTGTGGGTAGTGTACCTGCCTCCTGCGCCAGAGGGTGTGGGTTCGATCCCCACTACTGGATAAATAGTATTGTGTTGAACATAGTATTTTTCTAGTGTCTGGGTGTTAATATATGTATAATATTTATTTATTTACAAAAGAAAAGTATGTTTAAGTATGTTTATCAGTTTTCTAGTAGCCATAGTACAAGCTTTGCTTAGTTTGGGACTAGAATGTTGTGTAAAAATGTGTCCTAAAATTAAAAAAGATTAGTTATCATCGTAGATGCTAACTAATCAGTTGTCAAATAGCTGCCCAGCGCAGAAAATGGGCGTGAGTCTGTATATGAATTAATACTAAAAATACACTAAAGGCTCATATGTGTACAGATATGAGCCACTCGATCGTAATCTCTCGAAGTGTTCACAGGGATGTTACACAAAAGGGCACGCTCCTTGTCGCAGGTTATAAATGAGCGCTATAAAACCGTTCAATTTGCCCATCCCTGACGAGGGTCTGCCCGCGCTCACCTGTGACATCGACACGGGTGCGCCCGCCGACTCGACCGCATTTCCTCGCAAGGTCTAACGCCGCCGACGCATTGACGAGCTGAAGCGATTTGTTTAAAATACCTACATAGTATAAAATGAACTCGTCCCGCTGTATGTCCAATCACTACACAAATTTAACGTCTCTTTGATGTTTCTCTACAACTAAAAATTGCGTCAGTAGAGTGGTCTCAGTCTCATCGCTAAAATGAAATCACTACATAGTATAAATCTAAGCCGTCCGTCCCTCTGTCTTTCTGTCCCTGTGTATGCTTAGATCTTTAAAACTACGGATCTAGATGCGATTTTTACTAGATAGAGCGATTCAAGAGGAAGGTATGTAATATATTGCACCCGTGCGAAGTCGGGGCGGGTCGCTAGTTACAAACAAAAATATAAAAAGCCGTCAAAGTGCGAGTCGGACTCACGCATGAAGCATTCCGGTACCATTGTCTATAAAAACGGCAAAAAAGTCATGTCTCTTGTATGGGGGCCACGCTTAAATATTTTTATACTGTTTCTTAGTATTTTTTGTTCTAGCGGCAACAGAACTACATCATTTGTGAAAATTTCAACTGTCTAACTACCACGGTTCATGAGATACAGCCCGGTGACAGGCGGACAGACAGACAGACAGACAGCGGAGTCTTAGTAATAGTGTCCCGTTTGACATTTTAGGTACGGGACCCTAAAAAGTGTGTGTGTACTTATGTACGATCTTTTTGAAAAAGAACAACTGTTGATTTTCTTGCCGATCCCTTCTCAGCAGAAACTGCTTTCCGAACCGGTGGTACCTTACGAACCTATTTTTATATTAAATTTGACGATTCTTGAGAACGCGCAAGCGTCTATTTGAATAAAGACATTTTTGATTTGATTTGATGTGAATCAATTACACTTCTTTAGCGTAACAAAAAAAAATTACAAGAATTTTATCCAATTGATAACGATTACGATTCCGAAATTGTAAATCAAAAAGGTATTAATGGTTACCATGGTAATACCGTGAACATGTCAACTTCACCATGTCGCTTTTTGGGGGTCGTGTAGGCGTGCATCGCAAAATATTTTCCTCTCATAAATTTTTCCAAACGCGCCAAAATAAGTGCAACGTCTATATTTTGAGATGTCTACAAAGACATAAGCCACGAGATTTGTATTAATTATATAGGTCATTCGAAGCTGTCATTGCTTGGCTCGGAGAAGCAAACTAACAAAGTTTATAAATCAAATTTTGTATATACATTTATTATAGCTCACGAACAAACATTGCTAACTCTTAAATATAAGTGACAACAGCCTTCAGTAGCAACAAAATTCCCTTACTCAATTAAGGCTTATCCAAGCTTTGGAACGTCCAAACTAGTAACGGATCATTCAATTAATCCAATAAGGGAATAAACGATATGACACAGCTGCCGCCAAAACCGTAGAATTTATCAAGACAAAAATTATGACTTTAAATTTTGGTAATATTAGACTTTTTGACATTAACTTTTGTAATAGGAGGTCATTTTAAACACTTTTTTTTGTTTAGTAAGGAAATTATTTTCATTGATTCGTCGCCGCTTGAAGTAATACACGTAGCCTAAAGAGGACACACACCTACGCACCAAATTCTAATCAAGAATACTGTTACTCTCATCTCTGTTTCCAATTAAACCTGTAACCATATTTCATGGCCGGCATTGCCCAGCATGTGTATTACGTTTCATTTCAGTTTATATTAAAAACGCTTCTAGTAAATATTTATAGCAAGAGTTCAGTTTTTAATTTGTTTGTCTCAGGTCCATCTGCTATCGATTTTCCACCTCTTTTTAGGGCTCCGTACCCAAGAGGTAAAACGGGACCCTATTACTAAGACTCCGCTGTCTGTCTGTCTGTCCGTCTGTCATCAGGCTGTATCTCACGAACCGAAGCTAGACAGTTAAAAATTTCACAGATGATGTATTTATGTTGTCACTATAACAACAAATACTAAAAACAGAATAAAAAATATTTAAGTGGGTCTACATATTTAAGTCGCTACACACGATTTTTTGCCGTTTTATAGGTAATAGTACGGAACCCGTTGTGCGCGAGTCCAAATGGCAGTTGGCCGGTTTTTCTTTTATTGGCTCCTTTAAATTACGTCGGGTATTTGCATAAGATGCAGCAATAATTCTTTAACCCTTTTAGTGCACTCAAGTAATAATGTTTCCTTAGATTCCCAAAACACTATTCCCATGAGTTTTTCGAATGGGGTCACATTAAACGACTTTGGTTTTTGTGAGAAAGTGACAAACAAGCTGGCGACTCATCCGATGTTAAGTGATAACCGTCTACCCATGGACATTTGCAAACCCCGTAGGGTTGCATTGGCGTTGCTACCTCTTAATCAAGTGGTTGGTCTGTTCCTTTTTTATGCCGCTGAATGGACTCTTTCTTGCTCTGAGAGTCATAGTGGCGAAACCACTTTTGGCCGTTTTTTGTCAATTGTAAATTAATTGCAAAATAATATGTAAAACGAATATATAACAGACTATAATTTTGATTACAGGTGTACTACTGTAGAATCTCGTATAAAATATTATCTACTTTTTAAAACGTTTCTATTTTATTAGAATTAAACTATGTTATCACGTCAGCTTTATTATATAATTTCTTGTCAAATGAAAATTTGCTATTAAATTATGATCAGGCGTTAACATATTAGCTACTAGTTACCTATATTTATGTCACCACTATGTGAATACTCTAAAGATTAAACCAAAGGGTTCATCGAAAGATCCAAAAACCCCTCCAAACCTCTAGTGGTAAACGCAAATAATTACTAATCCAACAATAAAGCAACCGTTTACCAACGTCGGCCGCGCAGTCCTCATAGACCCGGCCGAGGCTGGAGACATAGGGACGTCCCACATGCCGGCGATCCTGCTAGACAACACTGTACCCACATAGTACTAACACACTTGACCTATTAGTTTCTCCTCGCCTCCGAGCACGAAGAAACCAAACAACGCGTACACAAGGTACATTCCCGTTCCACGGCGATTATCACCACCCCCAGCCACTGATTAATACAGTGAATAACCATCGGGTTCACGTTCCGTACCGAACCTATCTCTCATAATTTCTTATGTGACATATCTCCCGCACGAGATAACGCACATAAGCGGCCCTACCCAGCACGTAGGGCCGTATCAAGCTCGTCCTATATGGCTCGCCTAGGAATACTACTTTCGATGAAGCTTTAGGAGTTTGCGGACTGAAGGCAAAGACATCAGTTGAAGTAAAAACAAAAAGTTCAAGTGCTTCAATTAAAATTGACGATGATTATTTATTAATATATCGATTTATTCATTGTTTTAGATGACTCCGAGTACCAGAATTTACTTCCTGCTTTTAAATCGATGCTTACTCGTACCAAATGTCTAGGTATAAAACACTAAACTTTTATAACAGCGTCACCTAGCGTTCTGTGTCAGTAGCATACTCTATGTAATAGTAACCTAGTAACAAGATTATTTATTCTACTAACCTTTTATCTAAAATATCGCCATAACAAAATGATCAGTATATATGTCTTATCTATGAAATTGATCTTTTAAGAGATATGAGAATTAAGAGATAAAGAAAAAATCTCATAAAAAAAACATCGCTGTTTATAAATAATTAAAGTGAACACTTACTATTAAGTTAGCATGTTTTATTATTCTGATGACTATTCATGATTAAAAAAATATATAAAAAAAACTAATAATTAATAATAGGTATATTGGCGAAAGTGCACCAAGTTTCCATTACAAAATGTTTCCAATTTCGGTTACAGTTTACCTAACTATACACTTAAATTAAATCAACTTTGAAATTTGGAAGCTATGGTAGGGACATACAGTAGACAAAAAAGTTTACTTTTTACATGTGAAGTGAAAAATTAACCGAATTTCAAACCTACAGAATTCGAAACTATAATATTAAATTCTGACATCGTTCTGCCACCAAGCAATATTTTCGGTACCAGTTACTTTTCATCATTCCTATAAAATAATCAATTTCTTGTTCAAAACATAATGTGTAGTGTATTGTACATAGAGTCTATTTTACAAGGGCAACATATTCTGAGATCTAACAAATGGCCGCACTGTGTCCGTTCGGAAAACAATGTCGCCTAATTTGTTTACCAAATTGATTGTCACTATGTCGCGATAAAACTATTTTTGTACACTGAAAAATTCCGTGACAGACGCCATAATGAATATGTGTTATATTAAACTTCACGCAAAGATAACATTTTCTTTGTTTACAACACATCAGTGTTGCTAAATCGCTGTTTGAGAATTAGACTTTTTTTTCCGTGGTATCGAACTAATATCTGTCAGCTGTACGGAGGGAGGGCTATCAAGCTGTCAAATGGGTGAATAGCAAAGCGGCAGTGAGAATAATTTTAACAAATATGTGTTTTTATTTCCAATTTCACACACATAGATAATCGCTAAACCTAGCTGTAAGCTTTAGTGTAATTTTGAATAGTGGCGAGTGTCGGCGCCGTCGCATTATGAGTTCGAGAGATAGGGACACAAAGTCCCTTCAAGACAAATTGAAAGTGTTCTTTAAAAAGGGAGGTACGGGTACGTATCGTAAATACTATGCGTATGATATGGTTTAATAAGGCAAGGCAGTAGCAAACCGTACTGAGGTCTTTTCCTTACCGAGCAGCACCGGTGGCGGCTCGAAACGAGCTGATCGTGGGACCTGACTTGGAGCGAGAGCTAAGCGCAGAAACACCATTAAGCCGCCGGCTACGAGCCATCAAAGAAGTAGGCGAGAAGGCTCTGCAGATTCGAATACAAGAAGTAAGATTCTATAGCTGACATGTCTTATTCCAAATTTCAAATACCCTCAATTTGCTGATGTAATATTTTGCCAAAATCTCGCATTATTATTATTTTGCCTTCATATTCATAGTAATTCCTATCATTTCAATCTAATTAGCATTCTTTGTAAAACAGTTTTATCAGGTGAAACCTTGGAGTTGTAAAATAATGGTATTGCTTATAACATGTTTTAAATGCTGACGGGACTCTGTCAATGAATTTAATCATATTAAATGAATTATGGCATTTTACATTACATGAATAACTTCATTTATGGTCTTATACTAAACTGTGGTTTATTAAAGTACTGAAACTGTTGATCAACTATTAAATTGAGTTTTAGGTTAATAATTCTGAAGTCCCTGTTATTTTTTTCTTGGCTTATCTGCTTTGACATATTCAGTAAACATTGATTGTTGTTATGGAAAGAATGTTTTTTAAATAGTAGGAAAAATATGCAATGTAAATCGCACAAATAAGATGCAAAGGTGTAATAGAATTCCTTACAACTTTACAAAATTAAGTAGTAACTTCATTCTTTAGAATAATATCTGAGTAGTGACTTTATTATTAATTACACCATTATGCATATCGTCAATAACTGACATGTGTCAATCAAGAATTATAAATTGAAATTTAAAATATGTGGTTCTGTAATATTTACATGTATAAGTTATTGTTACAGTATAAGTTTACAGTGTAATGTTTGTAGTAGTGTAAGAAACAAAATAAGTATAGTACCAAGAATTACTTAGTGGTAAGTGGTTTACGGTGATAGGGCCAGGCACCAGCCTCGGTTGTTGCACAAATGGGAAGGCTCGTCCGGGTAAGTACCACAACCTCACAGAAGACCAGCGTAAAGTGGAAGTATGAGAAATACTTTTACGTTTCGTCTGGTGAGTGACGTAGGCGGAGCCCAATTTTCAAAAGGTTGTCAACGCATCTGTAACTCTCGGGTATAGCAGATGTCCATGGATGGCGGTATTCACTTAACATCAGGTGACCCGTCTTCTCGTTTGGCAACTTTTTGCATAAAAAAAAATACTAAGTGTATGTAAAAAGGGTGCAGACTATATTATTATTCTTTGCTACATACTCTCAATGATTACTTAAAATTGTACATTTTACACAAATACAAATATTAATTGGAAGGAATATAATTTAATATTTGTACTTATCTTTCCTTTATTTATTCAATTTAAAATTTTATCCTACTTAACATTATTGAAAATTTGATGTTACCTTATTGTCTTACAAAATTATACATTGATTTGATTTGATTGGTTAGTATACTGCTTTCTAATCACAAGAAAATTTTATTTGTATTTCATTTCATATTTTACAATATTCTCTTCTTCCCGAAAACTTTCAGGGAGGAGTGGAGAAAATATGGTCATGCACCCGAGACCTGTTGGACGACCCAAACACGGAGATGCGTCACGCCGCCCTGTGCCTACTGCGGCGCATCGCGGAGGGCCAAGAGGGGCACCTGCTCATCATGAGGACCATTCTGTTCCACTACCTCCGCGACACTCACGCCACCCATCCGCCCGACGATACGCAACTGCGATTTAAACTGCTCTACACATTGACCAACAGCGGAAAGAACATTAACTGCTTTGAGGAACAGGTATATCAAGTACTTCATCTATTATAGTATACTCTAAAGCTGACGTGATTTTCAGATTTGAATGTGTAGTCCCCAGGCTGCTTACTTTTACTAGCTATTTCCTCTTCTTTTTTATAATGCAAATTTTCTTTTTACTTTGTATTGGAACCATTTATTCCTTTTGCCATCATTTTGTCTGTGATATTTCTCCTCTAAAGGGATGTTGAAATTATAATGTAGAATTAATGAACTCACATTCCATCTCAATAACCTCAACATGTTCTTTAGGTTGTTTTAATATCATCATCGTCATAATCAACACCCCTGCCATCGCCTGCGACAGTCCTTTATTTGAACATGATTATGATTACTTACCCCTGTTGCATGAGCATCCTTGTGCAGATTGTTACCCCATATCAATTATATGTCACTACAACATACCGCAATTTCTTTTAATTATAGATTGGACCGTTCTTGTTGGAGTGGTTACCGCAGATCCAGCAACCGTCTCAGATTGTAGAGTTCCTGCAGCTGATCATCAACGTCGTCAAGTTCAACGCAACATATTTGGACGAAGAAATTGTTCATGGCATTGTCAAGTATGCATTTATACAGGGAGGCTTTTCTAAGTGTATCCATTTTTTTTTTATTAAATTCTAGACATAAATAATGTTATATAAAAAATTATAAATATTTAAAATCACTTGTAATTTATTAATTACATTCATTTGAACTTATCTGAAAAAGTATGATTTATGGGCAACTCATTTATTTTACGCGCGATCATTCATAACTACCACACACACAAGTTTGTTTCAAAAGTATACGACGCATTTATGAATGACTCCGCATAGTCAACAAGTTTTTTTCAATATTTTTGAAAAAAAAAGTTTGTTTTTATTTCAATAAATGATTATACTACAGAGTCTGAACGAAAGTATATAATTTGAAACAAGTGATAAAAAAATTGAAGAAATGTAATTATTTTTACAGTAGTCAATTACTGTGTGTTATTTTCATGTAGTGTTAATTGTGATTTTTTTAGTTCATTTAATGTGTAAGATAAAATAACACTTTCGATCCTAAATATTTGTGGCTGATAATTTAGTTCCTTTTCAGTTTGCTTATGTTATGGTTCTGTTGATAGAGATATTTATAATCTGTTGATAGATCTGTTAACAAGGAATTGTAATTTCAATTACCTCACATTATAATTGCTAGTGTGATCAACAGGTACTTGTCCAAATAAACTGTTCCCGCTCAAGGTCCTTTCAGCATAAGTGAATGTGACCCTACGTAACAGCGATTTTAATAAATAAATTAGGGTAGCACTCTTATATGACCAGCATTCTGTTGACATGTTGCAGTAACGCTTGCTACCTTTGCGTGTACTCTGCGGAGCCGGCCGTGGTGCAGAGCTGCCTCTCACTACTAGAGGCTGTAGTCTCCTACTCGCTGCTGCCCCGCTCCGCGCTCAGGACCTTCGTGGCTGCCCTCTGCCGCACAGTCAACATCGAGCAGTACTGCCAGAACAGCTGGAAGGTTGGACAATACCGCATATAGCAGTGTATAATCGTAGAGAATAATAGTGACCCCATTGGTGTGAGGAGTAGTGAACTTGCCTCTTGCGACTGCCGGTGTGGGTTCGATACTTACTACTTGAACAATACATTGTGATGAGCATAGTGTTTTTCCAGTGTCCCAGAGACATGTTTAAATAAGTGTAGTATGTATTTATTTAACAGGGAAATGTTTATTAGTTATTTACTACCCATAGTACAAGTATGGCTTAGTTACCAATCAGGCGGCTTACCTGGTGTTGAGTTGCTCATAGACATCCACAACTCCCGATGGCTTGGAGACGCCTTGATGACCTTTAACGCTGATGACCACTACCATTTCCATACGAGCAACAGCTGGAGCCGTTGCGCGGTGCACCACAGTCCCGCGTTCGACTCGCCACCAATTGTCCGGCAGCTGATGCGGTGCGTGGTGGGCGCCGACATCGGGCACGCGGCGCTGCAGGAGCTGGTGGCCATCGTGCGCGCCGCGGGCGAGGCGCCCGAGGGGGGCGGGGACGACGCGGGCCTCCTGCGGGGCGCCATCTTCTACATCAACATGGCGCTCTGGGGGCCCAAGAAGGTGCACAACCTCAAGGTCTCCTTCCTCGCCGTGCTGCCCGCCTTCCTCAAGGTGACTAAGGACCCAGTACACACCTTCACTTGATGATGAATAATCACTTTGGACTTTAACTTTGTAATTTCTCGTTTTTGGACCTGTTTCAAGGTAATCCGCCATCGGTGCAATAAAGCCGCATATGAAAATAGGAAATCATTATAAAACTATAGAATAATAAATAAGGCTTTGTTGATATATTTGTTTACAAACTTTATTTGCTTGTCATTTACTAATGACTTTTTTTTATTGAATTAATTACTTGCATAAATCTCTGTTTCAAATTTGTCCAATGCCATTCCTATTATTGACGGGATCTCGGCATAACCTCTAAACTGTTGATATGGTTATTGGCAGATATCTGTATAATTCATAACCTAAAATATATATGCTCTCCCCTTTCGTTGTGTCAATTGCGATGCTGTTGCACTGGCAGGCGCTGAGCGGCAAGCAAGCCGTGGCGGTGGTGATCTACGAGGTGGTGGTGGCGCTGCAGAGCCTGGTGGCGCGCGTTCCCCACGAGCTGCACGAGCCCGCCTGGCAGGTGCTGCTGCGCATCGTCGAGGCCATTCTGGACCACGACAGTGAGTGTGCACGCATCCGGCTCACTTAAGACGAATATCAGAAATGTTAAAATTGAAGAAGTATATTAATTTTGTTTTATGTTTTAATCCGGTAAATAAAATATAATTGCTGGCATAATTGGCAAAAGGTAATTGGTGAATGCAAAAATGAAAAGGTTTTCCAAGTAATCGATTGACTCCCTTTAAAGTATACTACTTTTTACCAGGTTTTTATTTAATCATGACTCACACTCAACTATTTGTCTGAACGCTATATAGGTTTCGCTTCTGGTTGTTTGTCTATGTAAAGTGTCTCTACAACACTGGATAGTGCTATTAAACAATTTTTAATCCTGCATCATCTCGCTTAGTAAAAGCAAGTGATCACTGTAATGAGAACTGATAATTATGGCATGGTGGACATGTAGGTGGTGAATGTGGTATCGGTGAACATGACGTCTGATTGTAACTACTACAGTCCTTTCCTTCATCATCATCATCATCATTTCAGCCCGTTTGAGTCCGCTGCTGAACATAGGCGTCGCCCAAAGACCGCCAAGAAGCACGACCTTGAGCCACCTGCAATCATCAGCTCCCCATACACTTGCACAGATCGTCACTCCGTCTAGTGGCATCCTTTCTTCCCCATTGGTTACCGGTTCCTGCTAAGCATGTGGCATAGCACTGACAATGTGTCCGTCCGTTCCGTGCGGCAGAGCGCATGGAGCCGGCGAACGAGCTGGTGCACACGCGGGTGCACGCGCTGATCTCGTCGCTGGAGGCGCTGCAGGAGGCGGGCCAGTTCCGCGGATCGCCCTCCGCCCTGCTGCGGCTGCTCGACCGCTGCGGCCACGACCGCCCGGTCAGTCTACACTAGATCGACTACAAAGACACTATGACACGATACTTTTCCATGTATGGGAATTGGAGCCACACCCTAGCACAAGACAGGCTCACTATCCACAAAGCCAACCGGTCGCTGTTCTATATCAGTAGCGCACTGATGAATTTTTTTATCATTTTTGGCAATTGGCTGTTACTCAGCTAGCAGTAAAAAATGTAACTTAAGAAAGTTAAATTATCTCAATCTTTATTGAAAAGCAATGAAATGCGTAATTTTTATGGTAAGCTTGCGCAAATGTGTCTAGTGAGGTGGTTGACGTTTAACATCCATAGGGTTGCGTTAAAGTGGGAACCAGCTACATCCTTCATCTTCTATGAGGTGGTACTTAACAGGACCGACTTACCCATTCGTGCAACAGCGGAAACCGTTGCGTAGTCCTACCATATATAAGTTTTGTCTTGTATAGAAAGGGACAGAGCGAGAGTTAATGGAAGAATTGTCCCGCAGGAGGCGTCGACGATGCGGCTGGTGAGCGCGCGGCTCATGGCGCTGGGCGGCGAGGCGGCGGGCGCGGCGCTGGCGCTGGCCGAGCGCTACCTGCGCTGCGAGCCAAGGCTGCCCGTGCGCCTGCACACGCTGGCGGCGCTGCTCGCGTACATACGGCGCCACAGGTGCATGCTCCTAACACTAAGCTGAATCAATACCAAAATATTCTCTAACTGTTTTAAATAGTCAGTATCTTTTCTATACATCATTTCTTTAGATTTTAAATAATCCATTTAAAATCCGAGTATAAGTTTTTCTAATAGTGTTATATAAACAACGAAAAAACTTCTTTATTACATGTATAGGAACTGGTACGTGAACATGAACTCTGCAGCCACAATGTGTCGGGTTTGATTCCCACATGGGACAACTATTTGTGTGGTCAACAGATAATTTGTCTGTTTAGGATCTGTGTGTTTGTCCGAGTGAAATTTATGTTTGTTGAGCAGCCTCTCAACACAGGATATTGTATTAGTACAGCAAAAGGCAATGTGTTCAGTGGTCGATGGGACTCATCCGCACACAACTGAGGTAAGATCGGCGCAGGTGCGGGCACGGCGAGGAGCTGGCGGAGCGCGTGGGCGGCGCGGCGCTGGCCGTGTGCGCGCTCGACGCAGAGGTGGCGCTGCGGGCCGCGGCCGCCAGGGCGCTGCCCGACCTGGCGCGCCTCTGCGCACCCGACGCCTGCACCGACCTCATCGACCTGCTCGAGAAGGTGCCACTTTGTACTCATTTATAAAATATATCGGCCTTCAAAATTAACCATTTCTTTCGCACCGCCATCGGGTATCTAGCTCGGGTTGCTCGAGTGTATTGAATTGAAAGCGAGCGCCCGAGTCTCCTCCACGGGATCGGAGAAAGGACAAGGGTATGTGGGGGTCCCGGTCGGAAACGGGTACCCAATTAAAAAGCCACGCCACCATCCGCCTCTCTCGCATCTTCATGCCCGCCCGTTGCAGATCCTGAGCCGGCCGTTCGAGATTTACGTGTCGGACGTGGCCATCCCCGCGGAAGCGGACACGAGCGACCTGCGGCTGGCGGTGGGCGGGCTGCTCGAGCTGCTGCACGACAAGCTGCTGCGACCGCCGGCCGCGCACGCCACCAGGTGCCTGCTGGTGCTCATCGACCACCTGGACAGCCACTACAAGCGCCCGGCGCTCTTCCTGCACCACCCGGACATACGGCTCAAGGTGACCTTGTAAGGTGGAGCACGCTCCGCCAACACCACTTTTAAGTGCTTTATGGTGAAAATCGACCAGCTATAAATAACAGCGCCATCTCTTAGGGTTAAATAAACGTAAATTCCCAAAGCGTTCCATGTGGACCCTCCACTTTAGATCTAATCTTTTACATTTTTTACCTATGAAAAAAAAAGTCTGTCCGCAGATCTTCGACATGCTGTTCGGGCTGCGCGCGAACGCGCTGAACTGCGTGGGGTTCTGCTACGAGGCGGGCGGCGCGGCGGTGTACGGGGCGGCGGCGACGCACCTCAAGCCGCTCTGCTCGCCCTTCCTGCTGGTGGAGCCGCCCGCCGTGCGCGGCCAGCAGCCGCAGCCGCCGCAGCCCAAGGACCTGCCGCCGGTACGGCCCCGTCGTTATCATGTCCATGTCGCCACCACCAGTCATTACCACCAGCCTCCGTGCGCCGTCTGCCCTGGCAGGGCTCGTGCGTGTTCCCCGCCGGGCGAGCCGCTCGCGCGCTGAGCGCCGCGCTCACCCGCGAGGCGGAGTGGGCGGTGCTGGCGCACGTGCTGCGCGCGCTGCCGCAGCTGCTGCGGGCGCGCGCGCTCGTCGTGGGCAGGCGCGCGCCAGACCTCGACCTGCTCGCCTCCACGCTCTGCGCCATGCTGCCGCCCACGCAGGGCACGGTGAGTTCGTTTATTCATTCAATACTTCGCTCACCGGACGACACGTGGCACTTACCCGGATGGACCTACAAATTTATGCAACAGCAATAACGTAATGCAATATAAAAGTACCTTACAATCAAAATGCTTAAAACTCAATTCTTTTAAGGCTTAAAGAATCCCAGGAATCTCTGGCCGATAAATCCAAAATAAAAAACTCCCCAGTACTCTTTCTTCATTACTCCAACAGACGAATTAGAGATATTGAATCAGCCTAATTTACTTGACCCTAATAGCTCTCCAGATCTAGATAATATAAATAACGGACTTCTAAAGGTTGCCCAAAAACATATTGCCAAGCCTCTCGCTTTTATATTTAATTTAAGCATCACATCTGGCGTCTTTCCAAGTGTTTGGAAAGTTGCTGCTGTCATACCAATATATAAAAATGGACCAAAGGATGTCCCTAGTAATTACCGTCCTATCTCTCTTTTAAACACCATCTCAAAGTTATTGGAACGCGTGATCAACAAAAGACTCACTTCTTTTCTAGAAATGAATCGACTAATTTCGGATCGACAATTTGGCTTTCGTCAACAAAGATCAACGGAGGATGCGACAATGCTACTTTCAAACATAATATCTACTCATCTCGATAATCAAAGAAATTGTATTGGTGTTTTCCTTGATCTTGCGAAGGCTTTTGACTCGGTCTCCATTCCAATATTGGTAAAGAAGATGGAGGGATTCGGCATTCGTGGAAATTCTTTGAACTGGTTTAAAAGTTACCTGTTTGGCAGGAAACAGTGCGTAAAGATAGGAGACACACTGAGTAACCTAAGACCAATAACATACGGTGTCCCACAGGGAAGTATTCTGGGTCCGACCTTATTCCTTATGTACATAAATGACCTAACATATTTACCCTTACGCAATGCCGATGTCCTTTGCTACGCCGATGATACGGCTCTTATTTTTCACGGGAAATCCTGGACTGAAGTTTCACACACCACTGAAGAAGCCCTCTCGCTTGTTTCATACTGGCTGGGACAAAATATCTTAACGCTTAACGCTGGTAAAACAAAGTTCCTATGTTTCCATAAATCGGCTTCTTCGGCTCCGCCACCCTTCTTTGAATGCATCAAACTACATTCTCCTCATTGTTCCAATCGTCATCAGGAGAATCTCTGTAACTGTGAACATATTCAGCGTGCTGGCACGATAAGGTACCTGGAAATCACACTTGACGATAAATTTACTTTTAAGGACCATATAGCATCCGTGTCGGGACGAGTAAGAAAAGTCATACACGTTATCAAGACCCTTCGCGAAATAGTCGATGGAAAAACTTTAAGAACCGTGTACCTGACCCTATGCCAATCGATTATAAATTACTGCATCTTGACATGGGGACGCATAGCATCCACCACTCTTGTACCTTTAGAACGAGCACAGAGAGCAGTTTTAAAAGTGGCCTTGAAAAAAACCTGTCAGATGCAAACTTAGTGTCAGGAGGCAAATGTTCTTAGTGTCAGGAGGCTGTATTTGTTACGAGTTTCAGTATTAGTACATAAATCTGTGCTTAATTCCGCCAATTACTTCGACTTACTGAAAAAAAGGAACATTCAGAATCCCTACCGCGCCAACCAGGACAACATTTGCTAAGCGTTTTGGTGTATATCTATTCCCTTTTATTTATAATAAATTAGTCAACTTAGGCAATCTAAAGTATTCATTAACGAAGATTCTTTTAAAATGGTCATACAATGAATCTGAAAGCGTATTGTCGACAGCCTACTGAAATTGGTTCATCTTCAAACGCAAACGCAAACACACACACACACACACACACACACACACACACACACACACACACACACACACACACACACACACACACACACACACACACACACACACAAGCACACACCGCTTCCCTATTTTACCATTTAAATATTTATTAACAGCCCGCAAATCAAACTGTAGATCGTTATATTTATCCCCCATAGGACAGGCAACAGCCTAGTATGGGGGTCAGTTCATAAGGCATAAATGTAGAAATTTTTTTTTGGAAATAAAGTAATTTGTATTTGTAATCTGTATTGTAACACTGAATTAATGTCAATCGAAACATGTCTATGTGAAAAGTAAATAACAAGAGAATACAACGAACCGTTAAAGAATTACAAAGGGACGCCTGGGAAAGGTCACAAGATGCAATAGGTGTCTTTTGTGACCTTTCAAAAGCCTTCGACTGCGTAGACCATAAAACTATTCTTCAAAAGCTAGAATATTATGGCATTCGTGGGATCGCCCTCAATCTCATTGCCTCTTACCTTAGTAATAGAATTCAAAAAGTATCTATAAATGATGTTAATTCCACTGGGTCCCAGATGAAAATGGGAGTCCCACAAGGATCAATCTTGGGCCCATTATTATTTTTAGTATATATTAATGATCTCCCCTTTTATGCCAGTGGGTTGTGTGATGTTGTACTGTTTGCTGACGATACATCGCTTATTTTTAAAGTTGACCGAAACGTATTAAATTATGACGACGTGAATAGTGCGCTTTCACATATCCTCCACTGGTTTACTATTAATAATATGGTATTAAATACCAAAAAACCAGATGTATTCTTTTTACCCTTCCCAGTATAAGAAGGAAAAGTTTTAGTTTAATATTAAATAACGTACCCATTAATCCAGTTGAGTCTGCTGTATTTCTGGGAATTACAGTAGATTCAAAGCTCCAGTGGAATCCCCATATATCATCTCTTGCGAATAGGCTGAGCTCCGCGGTTTTTGCGATTAGAAGGGTTAGAGGCAGCTAACAGACATCGACACTGCCAGACTTGTTTACTTTAGTTATTTTCACAGCATCTTGTCGTACGGCATTTTGTTGTGGGGTAGTGCATCAGATATAAATACTTTATTTATTCTTCAAAAAAGATCTGTCCGAGCAATCTACAATATCGGAGCCCGGAATTCACTCAGAGATCTTTTCAAAGAGGTTAATATACTCACTGTTGCTTCTCAATACATTTATTGTAATGTTTTGTATATACGTCATAACCTTAATTATTACCTAAAGAATAGTGACAGACATAAAATAAACACTAGAAATAAGGACAAACTTACTACGCCATTGTTTCGTCTACAAAAAGTAAATAAGTCGTTCATGGGGCAAAGTGTACGCATGTATAATAAAATCCCACAGTCGATATTAAGTCTGCCGCTTGACCAATTTAAATGTAAAATTAAAAATCAACTGATGATTAAAGCATATTATACCATTTCGGAATATCTCGACGACGCCAATGTGTGGAGTTAATACTGTTGATACTCACGTAGGCTAGAATAAGACTATTATACCTGTATATTATATTGTACCCTGATATTTTTGAAAAAGAGCAACTGTTGAGTTTCTTGCCGGTCTCTTCTCAACAGAAACCGCTTTCCGAACCGGTGGTACCTTACGAACCTATACACATAAACTTTGATGTAAAATTTGACGATTCATAAGAGCGCGCAAGCGTCTATTTGAATAAATATATTTTGATTTTGATTTTGAAATGTTTGTTAAAGTCCAACATTATAATATTAATTCATTAAATATATTCTGACAAAGAGTAATTCATCATTATTTTGTAAATATCTCCCGTCAAGAAAGAAGTCGATGGATGCAGGTGTCAAGATCGTTCATTGTGGCAGTCTATGCGGGGAGGCCTATGACCACCTGTGAACTAAAAGAAACTGAAATAATGATGATGTCACATTTCCTCCTCTAGTTTCTACGATTCGAGGACGAAGGTGAACCGAGGCGATCCCACTTGATAACCCGATTGGCTTAGTGGCTAATGAACCTGTCTGCCTCTTGCGCCAAAGGGTGCGGGTTCGATCCCCACTACTGGAAAAAATATTGTGTCACAAACATGGTTTTTTCCAGTGTGTGGGTGTTTTATAATATATTTATTTACAAGAGAAAGGTATGTGGATCGCTTATCTAGTACGAGTTGAAGCCATTTCCGTCCAGGCGACGGAGCGCGCCCCCTCGATGGCGGACAGCCTGCGCGTGCCGCCGGGCCAGAAGCTGCTGGTGTCGGAGTTCCACGCGGCGGTGCTGCCCGCGCTGGCGGCGCTCGCCTCCTACCACAGCTTCCTCGAGCCGCAGACGCAGCAGAGGATCATAAGGTGCCTCCTCCGATACGGAATGGGTGAGTTTTCTTTTTTTAAAGGAGTATGGAAAAGAGGGGCGAACTACCAGTTGGTAAATAGGCTCAGCTGTTGATAAGAGGCCTGCCTTACAAAATAATATTTAACGTACAAGTATATTCGTCAGCTAGCCGAAACATGTATTTTAGATTTTAGTTCTCGAGTTTAAATCTCGATTATGTGAACCGTCAGAACACTTATGTTGTGAGTGAAGCGCTGTCTCAGCTTTTTACCTGGAGTATGACTACAGGAACAATTTATATCGAATAAAAAAAATAATAGTATAATTAAAATTGTTACCCCCGTCTATGTCATATTTTTAACCGACTTCAAAAAAGAAGGAGGTTCTATGTTCAACTACATGTATTCTATTTGATTTATATTCACCGATTTCTCCCAAATTTTACTGTCTGCATTTTCGTTTTGTACGTCCTCTTTATCAATCTAAGCTTTATACGCTGATTCCTCACAGTGCTACGTCAAGCGCAGCCCTACATCAACGCGCTGACCATCTTCACGCTGGAGACGCGTGAGACGATGGTCAAGATGCTACCCGAGGTACTGCTCGATCTCTCCAAGATATCGGACACGCAAGCGATCGCCAGTCCGATGCTAGAATTTCTGTCAAGTGAGTGAATCAACGGCATTAATATATCTAAATAATATTATTATCTATTCCTTGTTTGTATCTCACCCTTGTGAATTGTATATTTTGCGCCCCTAATGAACTATTATTACATAGACGTATTATTAAGTTATTAGCACAATTGCTAAAGAAACATATAATTAACCAAGATTAGTATAAACTTATCACTATCCTTATCTTGAAATAAGTACTTAAATTTTTTGCACAAAGTTAAATAGAAAGAGAGAATCGTTTTAATTTATTTAACGTTGCTATAGTAAGAGTGTATGATGAACTGGATGCAGGTGGCTTAGGATCGTGCTTAGTGGTGGTCTATGAGGGATGTTCAGGACTCATCAACAGGCTGAAATCTTGATGATGATTGTAAAAGTGGCGTAGTGATGTTAAATTTAACTCTCGTTGCGGGGTCTTGTATTCATCAGTGAACTGTTACAGACAGTAAATTTGATTATGACTGTGATATTTGCGTAAACGTATCAAACTTAACACTTTCTGCTTGTATGCCTCTACTCTCCTCGCCGGCGAGTGGTCCGTAGCAGTAGCGAGTTTGTTCCAGCGCTGAACCGTCTACCCCGCGTGTTCGCCTCGTTCGTGGAGGACCAGTACATGTCGGTGTTCGCCATCCTGCTGCCGTACACGAATCCCTCGCGCTACAACCACTACGTGGTCTCGCTGGCGCACCACGTGATCGCCGCCTGGTTCCTCAAGTGCCGCCTCTCCTACCGCAGGAACTTCGTGCGCTTCATCATCCACGTGAGTGACGGCCCGTTCGCCGATTTTGCCATTTGGACTCACCAATTCACTTTTGACGTTTCAAGAAATGATTTACGCCCCGTCCAACGTTTTTGCCATTTGGACTCACCAATGCACCTTTGACGTTTTAAGGAATTTTCAATAATGCTATTGAGTTTCTAATTGAATGAGAATTTAACATTACATTGATTTTAAAGTAACAATTAATCCCGCCTGGATCGAGAAATGTAACCTACACATCTCAAGTCATTACAATACAAAAGTATTTTGTAAGTTTCTAATTATATTATTACTGTTGTCAATGAATACACATAATCAATTAATAATATTGTATTATTTAAAGGCATGACTAGGTTAGTACCACGTTTTTTGAAAAGATACTTACACCCAACAATTTGGCCCTCTCGAAACTTCCTCAGGGTCTGCACAACTACATAATAATGCCGTTCGAGGAGCAGCTTCAATACAAGACGAACCACTTTCAACAGTCGACGTCCGCTAACGAGGACTCCTCGAACCGCCAGCGCAGCTCTAGTTTGGTTCGTCATTGTTTTCAAATATTGGACTTTATCAGTTTTATTGATATTATCACACAACCACTGGTTAGGTTGGTGCACCGACATTTCAAAAAGGATTTCACCAATTTCTTAAGAACTTACCAATTTCTCTTAGTGATTGATGAGAACATAACAGGCCACTTGATATCCAAAGTGGTCTTTGAGAACTTATAATTGTATAATACCTGGGTAAACGTAGATATGTTTCCCTTTCTTGTCATTGTTATGAACGTTGTGACATAAACGTTTCAAATTTGGATGCGTCTAAGGATAAATTTAACTTTAAACGACACTTAGGTTTTAAAGAGTTGTGAGAAACGCGCTTTGAAAACTCCCTCTCTTAAATGTTGGATGGCTTTTCATCGTGTAACACCAGACGCCTCTGACTCGAAACGCCAAGGCCGTTTCTAACGGCGTGTGTGTGTGAAGGAGGAGAAAGCGATGTGGGCGCAAGTGAGAGCGAGCGAGTGAGCGAGAATCCTATCAGACGCCTTCGTCGCTTAAAGCGATGTGGGCGTCAAGTGAGCGAGCGAGCGAGCGATAGGCACAAGAGCGCGCGAGTGAGCGAGAGGGCCGCTGCGGCAGGGCTCGAAGGCGGTGTCGCGCGCGCCGCTGTCCGGTGGGCGGGCGTCGGCGGGCGCGTCGTCGGGGAGCTCCTCGCCGGGGGCGCCGGCCGCCTTCCACGTGGAGCTCACCGAGACCTGCATCGACCTGCTGGCGCGCTACACCTTCACGCCGTGCGCCGTCAAGCCCCAGAGGTGAGAGCGAGAGAGACGACCCGGTGGCCCTACACCCGCGCCCGGCAAGCCCCAGAGGTGGAAGCGGGACGGCGAGCGAGAGCGAGAGGGACGACTCGGTGGTCCCGCCCCCGCGTCCCGGCAAGCCCCAGAGTTGGTAGCGGGACAAATCGATTCAGACTGCCCTGGGGCTGACCCGGTAGCCTGCATGTGATCCCTCCGATTTAATCTGATACCGAGCAAAAACTTGACTGATTTTAGTTTAATCTTATATGAACCTTGAAGTTTGTTCTTCTAACTTTTCGCTGATGACTCAATATCTGCTCGCTATTAAAATCCATTAAAATTTGTAGAAAAAAGGACGAAGTTTCACGCTGAAGTCTTCCGGAGTCGCGCCAAATGATTTACAAACTGAAAAAAGCGCGACTGATTGCCAAACTGACCAAAATCTCAACGACCTTCATCTACATTGTTCTCTCGCATTTCAAGCAATGCTTGGAGCATCAATTTTTATCTTTTCAAATACAAATTCGAATATCGTTTTAGAACATTAATTCGAATGAGATATGTCTCCATTGCTATATGAATTTCTTTCTTCCACAAATTTTAATATTTGATCTTAAGTACGGATAGTGGTACAATAATTTTTTTTATTTATTTATAATTGTAATCAATAATGAATCCTAATCTCTTCGAATTATGAACTCTACTGACACTTAAAATAATATTTTTAGTACTGCCGGTTACTGTACGGTCCTCTTCCCGCAGGAGCGACACCGCCGAGTTCCTGTTCAACGGCGGCCAGTCGACCACGTGGCTGGTGGGCCACAAGCTCATCACCATCACCACCTCCGGCTGCCTGCAGAACTCCATCAAGCAGGGGCTCTGCGAGAGGTACCCTTCCCGTACAAGCAATAGAGCCCAATAAATGCGTTACGGGTTGGAAATATTGAGCCAGACGAAATTTCAGCAATTTTCCTAAGATTTTATATTGTTGTAGTATTCTTATGCTTCAGTTATAATAATTCCAGATCTAAGTTGATGTTAACCTAAGATTAGATCAAAGTTGTTAGCGAAGGGTGATTTTGGTTTACTGTTTAAGTTTATCTATTCAAAGTGAAAGAAATGATAAAAATTAAATGTATTTATTTTTTATCATGATAAAAATTTAATGTATATATTTTTTTACTCTATCTTAAATAATTAAACGTTCTTGTCAAACGGCGACAAGGCTAAAGTCAAATGTGACTAGTTAGGAGAGTTTAAAGTTTGTTATCATTACCCATGTCTATAAACCCCGTTGGGCTTAGTGCGTCGAGGTGGTACAGTTGCATTCCGTTCAACGCTCGTCTATCGGTCACGCCAAAGGGCTGCACGGAGATGTGCCAGATGTGCGCAGATGTGTCGGGATGTGCGAAGATGTGCGCAGATGTGTAGAGAGATGTGTGCCCCAGGTGCGCGCTGCTGTGCCGGCAGCACGCCGACAGCGGGCCCCCCGCCGAACTCGACCTCCCGCCCGCGCCCACACCCACCCCCGCACCCGCTCTGCAGGTACGCACACACACACACACACACACACACACACACACACACACACACACACACACACACACGGCCCTCCATCCCATACTCACACGTGGACGCACACGTCGCCATGACGGACGCGCACGTGCCCGTTCTTCCCCACTCAAAAGACACTTTCTTAATACTTATCCAATATCAATTTCTGTGTAAAGATATAAAAATGTAAAATCGAACATACTCAGACTTTTTGTTCTATACCTTGCTTGCATCCCATATTAAAAGTCAGTCTATTCAATTAATAAATTGTATTGTTTTTGTACGTATGCTACAATAGACTCTCAGTATGAAACTGTGCATTTGTAATTAATTATACAATTATTTATATTATACTATGCTGACCTGCTTTAAGCGTAACTATGGCTATATATATGTATTTATTAAAAAAATTATTATCATACTTAACAAACAAAAAAAAACAATAACTTATAACAAAAATAAATTGATGTAGAACCTACCCGTCCCAAATTTGTTAAATCCAGCAAAATGACAAAATCATTATTGAAAACTGTTGGGTAGTTTCGGAACTCATCGCGGATATAACACGGAATTTATATATATATTCATAGATAGAATGACCACAACAGCCATTCTAACAAAACATGACATGACTTACGTACAGCGCAAGAACGGTCAGGGAGACGAGTTTCGCTTATACTAATTTACATATGGTGTAATGTCAGCTTTGACGTGCCAAGGTTCAAGTGAACGACAGCTCCGAGCACGGCCAGAGCAACTCGTCCAACCACCAGCCGGCGGCGCCGACTCAGAACAGCCACCCGCCAGAAATCAAACGGTGAGTCGACGGTCACCACATTCACGACCACACACGACCACACTCGACCACTCGCCATCTGATATTGGCCGTAACTGTAATGTACCTTGATGGCGTCGCCGTCGACCACTTTTCGGCAAACTAGTATTTTTACGATTGATTCTTCTGACCGTACCAATGTCTATTGAATTAGTCAGAAGCTTTCGTATGAATTTCCCCACATACTACATAAGAGTGCATTATGCAAAGGCACGCGTGATGCTTCTATCTTCTCTCCAATCAAGTTTGTTTCTCTACTCTTGACTTTGCTTGCCTTGTTCGAATCTACCGTCGCTTGCCGCTTCCAATCGCGAAGGGAATTTGGTCTTGGATTTTTGAGAATGTCAGTAAATTTATAGAGATTACATTAATATCTTTCGATCTGGTACCATTTATCAAGAATCATGGTGCTGCTATAATATTTTGTAAAGTGCATACATGTAATGACACCAATTAATGCTTTTGGTGGCTTATTCAATTATTTTCGTATATAATTTAAGTCCACCAAATGATTGGTCTTTTATTCCAATCTAACTGGAATTATGGTGCACCCAATAACAGTTTCACTTGTATATTTTGACACGTGGTGGGTGATGATGTGAAAGGCATTTGACTTATTACATTATTACGGATATTTATCCGTACTTTATTAGGTTTAAACCGTTCGAGATAAAACCTAAAGGGAACTAGCAAAGGTTTCCCTTTCACTTCGTTTACACAAATTAATTGGACCAACTCCGCGAGTGGTGCGTGTATTACGGCGAATCAGACTGAGTATCGCTCGTATGTCCGTGTCGCTGGGTGGTGGTGGCGGCGGTGGCGGTGGTGGCGCAGCTACAGCAAGCACTCGCTGCAGCACAGCCGCTCCACGGAGACGTCCAGCTCCTCGCTCTCCATCTCGGAGCTGCACCCCAGCGGCCTCGCCTCAAGGTCGCCGACCTAGCTCACCATAAATGCCCCTCAATGAAAGTCTCAAAGTCGCCCTGTAATATAATTCAAATGCGATTTAAGCTGGTGGGAGCGAGACGGAAAGCGATCTGCACTGTGGTGCGAACGGGAGGGCAGTTCTCTTTTCTAAATTATTATGCAGTGACTCGACTTTCATTGGCGCATTTAAGTGTGTACAGCAATAGCCTGAACGCTGCCAGCTATGTCGCAGATTAGCCAACACTAGTGCAGCTTTCAGCACTTGTGTTTTGTTCGCCTATGCATGCTCTTCGCTGTGTGCCTTTAATTTGTTATCGCTTCGATTATCTAAGTCGTTTGTTTCCTTTTTTAATAGTTCTCTTTCGTCGGGGAGTTTATGTTGATAAAAATATGCAAAGCTTATTCAATTAATATTTATATATATATATATATATATAATATATATATATATATATATATATATATATATATATATTATTATAATGGCATGTCCTTAGAAATTTAAACTATAAATATATAAATTCCTGTAATGTATATCAACTTTTAATTTCAATATCAGTTATTAGAATACTAAGTTATTTCATATGTTTTAATTTCATGTGAAGTATGTAGTCGGTCAAGAAAGTAATTTTGTATATATAGATTTTTCAAAATAATCGTTTCATTTTTGTATGTAACTGTAAAACAAATATAGATGTTATTAGTAATTAAAGAAGTAGACGGGTTAAACAATCTTGAAATTTGAATTTAACTCTATGTCCCCGTGTTGTGTAATTTAACTCTATGTCATCGTGAGGAAACCACCTCGGCAGTTGCCGAGGTGGTTTCCTCACGATGTTTTCCTTCACCGCGGAGCACGTGACAATTCAGCACTTAAAGTTAAAAACTTCATTTTTGCCGGCACCGGGGATCGAACTCAGGTTGCTCGAGTATATTGAATTGAAGGCGAGCGCCCGGACACTGAGCTATCACGGCTGATTATTTTTACGGTTATTTTTATATCTGTCACTTTTTCAGCTTCCGTTATGTCACATCTAATGCATCACTAGTTCTAATCTTCTTCTAATATATAAAATTCTTGTGTCACAGTTCTAGTGTTTACACTCCTCCGAAACGGCTTGACTGATTTTGATGAAATTTTATATGTATATTCAATAGGTATGAGAATAGGTTTATAACAAATTTTTATACCCTTAATTGATAAACTACCCTTTTACTCCAAACATTTTTTCTACCCTACAAATGATTTATATGGCAAAACAACAATATATAAATACTGACCCAATTTGGTTATATAAAAATTAACCCTACACAAAATAAGTTAGTCCTGGCTGTTGATGTTTTGATTAAACTGGAATCTATATCGGGATTGTTTTTATAATTTAATGATATTTTATACTATAGTTTTGGAGCAAAAACCATTTTAACTGTTGACGATTTTGTTGATTTCAGACAAAACTCCGCTGAGAACAAGACGAACGACCCAGTCGCTGATGCCTTCAATCAGTTCTCGCAGCGATTCGAGAAGATCTCAAAGGAAGTGGTGAGTGTTGCCAACGTAACGGGTCGGACGAGTAATTGGACCATTCAGTGGTATTATTCAGCGTGACTTTCTTTTAGGTCAGCCATGTTTAGTCCAATGTTCATTAAGATATTCATAACCTCATCCATGGATGGATTTCATCACACCTTTAGGTGTTTTAAAAGAACGTTTTTATGTAAGAGGATGGCAAGCGAGCTGGCGGTACACGTGATGTTAAGTGATAACCGCCGCCTATGGACACTCGTACAAATGCGTTGCAACCGTTCCATAGAGTGGGCTCCGAACACCTCACTCATACTAAACGCAGAAGTGTAACACTAAGTGACAGGTGGTGGTACTCCCCAGGAAGGTTCAGCCCATCCGTCCCATCAGAGTGGTCATGGCTGTCGCTGCTCGCTCCCCAGGCAGCCGCTCGTTTAGCGATGCTCCTCCACTGGAGGCGGCTGTTAGTAATGCAGCACATCGGACTGCGGTTTCAGGAGTGGGAGGAGGGGCGGTCGCGCGCGGGCGAGCTGGCCGCGGCGGGCGGCTGCCCGTGCTGGTGCGGCGGCTGGGCGGAGCTGCACGTGCGCTCGCCCACCGGCGACGTGTCCTGGCTCATGCGGCTGCAGAACCAGGTGAGCGCCCGACTCTGGTCCTTCGGGCCGGATGCCGGACGCCGGACGCCGCATGACGCAGTTGCCGTTGCCCTTGCAGATGAGCGGCTCGCAGCTGCAGGAGTGGCCGCTGCAGGACGTGCTGGCGCTGCTCTCGCCGCCGCTGCACGCGCACGGCCTCGACCACGACCACGACCAGGTCGGTGACGTCTCACGGTCGCCTTGCAGAGGGGAAAACTTTCATACCGAGTTTGAATTACCTCGCACTGAGAATGCGGCTAGCATTAAGTTCGCCCTTTGTAATTGGAGTAATGGAAGTAAGCGGAATGGCGTTCAGGCATAGTAAAGTCCTGACAGCAAAGCAATTTTTAACGATTAATTTAAAAAACACGTACAAAATATTCACTTTCCAGATAAAATAATTAAGTCGCCCTTAGAGATTATATGGAATCAGTATTAGACACTTTCAGATCGCAATGACGTGAAGCAAAAAAGTGACGGAAGCCCCCGCTAACTCAGTAACGATAAAATGATTAAAATGGTGTCAATTAAAACAGCCTCAAGTGAAACATATTGCGTACCGTGAGTGAGGTGTGCCCTGTCCGCAGGCGGACGTGACGTCACGGGCCCGCGGCGCCGCGGCCGCTCAGCACCACGCGCCCGGCACCGATCTGCACAAGTCGAGGTTCGTTTCCGCCTAAAGTACTTATATATAAATATTTTTTTGTTTGTAATGATTGGTGAGGTAACCAGGCACCCCTGCACTTAATTTCTTTCTTATAGAATGCAATCTGGCACTCTTACCTCCGCAGGAGAAACATATGTATGTTTTTATATTTTATTTATGCCTTCAGTTCCGACTCGGTGGTGGCTGGCGAGAAGAAGGCGCCCCACGCCGCCTCCCACTGCATCGTGCCGCCTCAGCCGCAGCCGCAGCGGTACGTGGCCATATGGCCATTTGACCTCCATGGCCAATAAATGATACATGTCTTTATATGCGGTATAATTGTGATAGGGATGAATTTAGCTTGACCTTTAGTCAGAGCAATGAAACACACGTCCTTTACTCAGGTAGTTTTATCTGCAACTGACTTTGTAAGGAGGCGACCTAGCAAGATTATACATAGGTATAAGCAAACCCGAACTGTACACGGTGTATCTAAAATGCGGTTATGTAAAAAGTCTGTTCGCTTTAAAAAGTCCCCCATTCCGCCTGCGCAGAATGTGCACGCAGCCGATCAACATCCCCGGCTCGCCGCAGCGCCAGAGCTCGTCCAGCACCACCGAGGACGACGACCTGCTGCTGGTGGTGCCCGAGGTGAGGACATTGGCTCGCATGTTCTATGAACCGTCGGACAATACAGGTCAAACAAATGGTAACAATAGACCTTTGTTCGTCTAAAATCGCGAGAATGTACAAGTAATTACACACATTGTGGCGTAATCGCATCGTCCGTCGGTTTCTCTCCTTTCGCCGCTAGTTGGGTCCTATTCATTGGTGTATTAGTATAGTGGTGGCGTGGTCCGCATAGGGCAAGTCGCGGCACCCGGTGCGCCGCTCCAACTCCTCGCCGGAGATGTCCTCCTCGTGGAAGCTGAGCGCGCGGGAGGCGGACGACGAGCTGGCCGTCGACGCCGACGAGATGATCCTGCTGCCCAGGTGCGAGCCGGCGTGAGTCACCCCTCTTCCTTTCTTTCTTTCTTTCTTTCTTTCTTTCTTTCTTCTCTTCGGGGGCATGGTGGGAAGGAGGCATTCATTCAAATAGACGCTTGCGCGTTCATAAGAATTGTTACACGAGTTCTGCGTTTCAGTTTCTTTTGTGAAGAGTACATTTTTTCGGACACATTTCTTTACGCAACGTTCTCTAGTTCCAAACTACGCAACGCTTGTACTATGGGTACCGAAAAACTGACAAACATACTTAACCATACTTTTCTTTTGTAAATAAATACATATTAAACATATACAAACACCCAGACACACAAATCACACAATATTTCTCCAGTAGCGGGGATCGAACCCAGGACACCCTCTGGCGCAGGAGGCAGGGTCACCACTCCCCACGTCAATCGGGTCGTCACATATAGTAAAGTTTTAGAAAACGCCCCCCCTTGCAGCACGGCGGCGATGACCCTCCACGCGACCAAGAAGGCGGCCAAGAAGTGCGACATGCGCGTCTCGTGCGAGGCGATCCCCGAGGAGATATCGGGCACCTCGCCCCTCGCGCCGCCGCCCGCCCACGCCCACGCCCACGCCGTCGCCCACGCCCACGCGCCCGCCCACGCCCACGCGCCCGCCGCGACGCACCCCCACCTCATGACGTACAACTCGGACCCCGGTGAGCGCTCGCGTCTGTCGAGTACTTTTCTTTATTTTCCTAAGCTTCATCACCATTGGATGCATTAAACATAACAATTAATTAAAAAAAATCACAAGCAATTATAGTTAAACTCAGCTTCCTTTACGTAAACTTACACTCAAATTAAAATAAATTACTATCTCTAAACTAGTTTGAGTAAAATGTTAACAACACTAAAATTTTAATAACAGTAATGACTTATTAATAACTATGATACAATTAATACTTATAAATATATAGTCCAACCAATAATCCAAAATTGACTTTTCGAAGCTTTCCAACGACACAAATCTATATCATGACTTTTGACAGCGTGTATACAGCTTGTCGTTACCATCGCGCCAATAAATGAACACACGTCTATCGCTACTTGCCAATAATCATAAAAAAATATTAACGTTAAACAAAATCCATAATTAACAAAAATATTTTTCAAACAAACTAATTAAGTAAAAAAGAAACAAAATTTGTACCACCCTATACAACTCGCGCACAGCGTCATATTACAAGCCTCTCCTTCTAACAGTACGTTTTGTGTCTTTTAAATTAATTCAACCCATTCATATGCTTTGTGACCTTTACAAATGAACTTTACGTTACGCTTTTATAGGTAAGGATGTTCTAAAATTGTTTGTTTTGAAAAATTTTATAACTCTGTAAATATTGATGTTTTAAGAATTTGAATGTTTAATACAACTTTAAAAAGTTATCCCCTATATGTGTGTTCATTTATTGTCGCGATGGTAACGACACGCTGTATATTTGTGGACATATGGACACGTCCAGAGGGGCGGTCGAGGAGGGGCGCGGGGGGCGGCAGTGACCTTTCGCTTGTGTGCGCAGGCGCGGACGCGGCCCAGGACGCCAAGCCGCCCAGCCTGCAGCTGCAGAAGGTACGACCCTCCTCGTGGGGTTCACCGCTCATAGCATTTTCACTCACTTCATTCACAGGAGATTCTCGTGTAATCCACAGGCTGCAGGTTATCTTTATCGTTTATCTTTATGTTTTTGTTAATTAATTCATTACGTTTTTTTAATATTCATCATCTTTTTTGTGTTTGTTCACGTAACTAAATAATAACAGAATTATAAAGCAATCGCCACTTGCCGCAGTTGCCACTCTATAGATTTTCGATTATATAGATGTTACTTTTCATTGTCCGCATACTAATTCTAATATTTTCAACAGTTTCTTATTACTCTGCATTGGTATTTAAAAAGAGAAAGGAAGAGGGATTATAATTAAGCACTGAGGTACACCAGAGGTTTTCTAATATTTTTTTACAAGTAAAGCAATAAAACGATAAGTCAAATATGAAATTGTTGATATTTTCTAAGAATAAAACAACTATCTCAAAATATTTAATAGCATGTTTCGTATTTTGATGTTCATACTCATATATAAAACAATAAACAGGTATCAGGTATGGTAGATCCATTTTTTTACAATTTTTCAGTATTTAATGTTTTAAGTTTTTTCAGTACCTATTTAACATTCACCGCTGCTCATTAAAATGTCACTATAAACGACTATACTCTCGTACCGAAACGCGCAGACGGCCAGCGACAGCACGGTGACGGAGGGGCGCGGGCGCAAGCCGCCCGCCGCGCCCCGCACCGCCCTCGCCCCCTCCGCCGCCCCCGCCCCCGCCCCGGCAAGCGCCCCGGGGGCGCCCCCGGACGCCCCCCCCGCCCCGGCCACCGCCCCCGCCCCGGCCCCCTCCGCCCCCGCCCCCGCGGCCGCGGCCGCCCTCGAGCGCGACGAGCTGCCGCCGCTGTCGCGCTCCAAGCGCTCCAACACCATCTCGGTCATGAGCCCCACGCGCCGAAACCGGTCAGTAATCAAAATAAATCATTTATATAATTACGTAATTAACTCGTTCTGTGTGTGATTTAAGTGGTATAATGTCAAAGAGTCAAGTCAATATTTCCTTATCCAACATGGACTTATTATTCAACGTCAAAAACTAACACCGGTTCACTAAAGTAGACCTGCAAGAGAAGAAAAAGTAATACTCATAAATTGAATATTAAAGGTTTTATTACGGAGTTATTAAATTTAACCACAATGTATTCTGTTACAATATAGGATATGAAAAATCAATCATAAACTGTCTGAACTCTGATCACTCTGGTTTGAAATTTTCTATAAAAGACAAAATTACTACAAGGGAACTTAAGATAAAGTGTAGGCCAATCACTACAATTACAACTGTCTTCTTATAGATCAATGGTTGATTTCCTTATATCTTCTTATAATGATACTTTTAAATCACGCATAATTACTAAAAATTCCAAATTAAAATTTAGTGACTGGGCAACAGTGGGTATATATAAAATTAGGGATTCACTATATGAATTATATATATAATATAAGGCAGTGGAATCACGACAATAATTTCCATAAGCGGGTACAAACGTTCTCAAAAATATTTAAAAAAAGTCTGTGCCCAGGCAAAATCTATTTATATGAGAAATAAAATTCTAAATTCAAATAATAAAATAAAAGCCACTTGGGACATCATTACCCGTATATCTGGAAGACCCAAGATATTCAGGGAACCTATAAAACTTATCATAGGTAATACTCCCATAACATCAGACAATGAAATTGCAAATAGCTTCGAAAATTATTTTTCAGAAATTGCAGTTAATGTCACATGCACATTAAAATCCTCTCCCATAGCTGCAATTAATGTATTGCAAAATAATGTTACCTATTGTCGACACACGTTTAAATTCAATCACGTAGATACTAATGATATCATAAAAGCCTTGAATTCTATTAATCTTAAAAGTACAGAGGATTTATGGGGGCATGTCAATAAAATTAATGACCACAATAATGCCATATATTGCACCACATTTGGCTTACATTTTAATAACTGTATAGATTCTGGAATATTTCCAGATCTTATGAAATTTAGTAAGATAATCCTTGTCTTCAAAAGTGGGGATAAAAATGATCCAGGTAACTATAAACCTATTTCCATATTGCCATCTCTAAGTAAAATATTTGAAAAACTAATTTTAAATCAACTATTAGTACATTTTAATATGAACAAAATTTTTCACGATGAGCAATATGGATTCACTAAAGGCAGATCGACAACCGAAGCGGATGTCGCACTTGTTGAGCATATCTATAACGCCTGAGAAAGGTCACAAGTTAGGTGTCTTTTGTGACCTTTCAAAAGCCTTCGACTGCGTAGATCACAAAACCCTTCTTTGCAAGCTAGATTATTATGGCATTCGTGACAGCGCCCTCAATCTCATCACCATATCTTAGTAATAGAATTCAAAAAGTATCTATAAATGATGTTAATTCCTCAGGGTCCCCCATGAAAATGGGTGTACCACAAGGATCAATCTTGGGCCCATTATTATTTCTAGTATATATAAGTGATCTCCCCTCCTATGCCAGTGAGTTTTGTGATGTTGTACTGTTTGCTGACGATACATCACTCATTTAAGGTTGACCGAAATTTATCCAATTATTTATTTAGTTATTTTCACAGCATCTTATCGTACGGCATTTTGTTGTGGGGTAGTGCATTAAATTCTATTATAAATATTATAAATTCTATATTTATTCTTCAAAAAAGAGCTGTCCGAGCAATCTATAACATCGGAGCCCGGGATACACTCAGGGATATTTTTAAAGAGATTAATATACTCACTGTTGCGTCCCAATATATTTATTGTAATATCTTGTACGTTAGACATAATCTTAATTGTTATCTAAAGAATAGTGACAGACATAAATTAAATACTAGAAATAAGGATAAATTAATTACACCATTATTTCGTCTAAAAAAAGTAAATAGATCGTTCATGGGGTAAAGTGTGCGCATGTATAATAAAATCCCACAATCGGTATTAAGTCTGCCACTAGATGAATTTAAACGCAAAATTAAAAGCGAACTTATGGCTAAGGCATATTATACCATTGCAGAATATCTTGACGACGCCAATGTGTGGGGTTAATGCTGTTGATACTCACGTAGGCTAAAATGACATACTTGTTCTATTGTAAAGTAATCGTTTTAAAAAAGAGCAACTGTTGAGTTTCTTGCCGGTTTCTTCTCAACAGAAACTACCTTCCGAACCGGTGGTAACTTACGAACGTATTACTTTTTATGTACAATTTTTGACATTTCATAAGAACGCGCAAGCGTCTATGTGAATAAATATATTTTTTATTTTGATTTTGATTTATCTAAGTAATCTCTTAACGTATTTATCTGTGAATGTTCGCAGCGACGCCAACTGCCAGCGCTCCGCTGGCGGCGGCATGGCGCCCTCCTTCGTTTTCCTGCAGCTCTACCACAACATGAGCACCTACCCGATCTCGCCGCCGGTGCCAGGTCGGTCGCTCCTATGTTATCCTTTTTCATAATAAACTTTTTAACTGACAGTTAACGATTAGCGAAGTCCTTAGCACGGAAGCATTCCAACCTTTGAATAAATTTATCCATCGGTCGAAACAAAAGTATGATACTTTCAGTTCACGCCGGTCTGCTTAAAAAAATCTGAAAACGAAAAACCCTGGCTAGTAAATCAAACAGCTCCAATAGAATTCCCCAAGAATAAGAAAAGCAACCAAAACATATATTGCGTATTTAGTTAATCGTTATTAGTTAATCAACAAATTTTTAATCAACCACCTGAACATTGCAGGCGAGGCGCCGACGATGCTGAATCCGCTGAAGGAGAGGCCGCTCAAGGTGACCGGAGTGCAACACGAGAGGACCATAAAGAATCTGGACCTCGTCCCACCGCTGGAGACGTACAAGGTGATGCAACTGAACATTTTCAATTGACCCCACTAACCAATCTATGGTACAAATATCGTGTCATCATCATCATCATCCTACTGCCCTTGTCCCACCTAAGTGAGGTTGACACAACATGTAAGTGGTTTTGGCAATTTTTTTTTTACAACCCACCGGAACCCTTTACAAACACCCGGATCCAGAATCATTGTCTGTGGATTACTACTCACATACATAGAAAAAAAAGTAAAGTAACAGCCGGCTCAACACTCACATACATATATCTTCTCCCAAATATTTGCAAATATGAATCACAGAGCCTCTTTAAGTTATTTATTTTAAAATGTTACCTTCTCGTCTTAACCTTCGCTTCCAACTTGTCGCATATCTTTTCTCTCACCGTGCGTGCCTCCGCATTTCCAGATCGGTGTGCTCTACGTGGGTCCTGGGCAGGAGGACAACGAGGTCGCCATTCTTAAGAACGAATACGGCAGCGTGAGGTATGCCATTTGAGATTGCCAAGAAACCCATCTGAAAGAGACCTTTTGCAAGGCAGAAGGTGTGATCAGTTAAGCTTCTAAAGTTGGAATCAGGAGTTTTATTCAGTTAGCTTATCACAATTAAAAAAACAACATGCAAATTAAGTAAATGAGAAATTTTATTTTTACAAATATTTTCAAGTTTCTGACATGTTTTAATACAACTAAATTTATTCTTATATTTAATCTCGTGCAAAATAAACAGACAAAAATATTTTAATACTCAGATATAGATTTTATTTGAAAATATGATTTAATTAACATTATGGCTATATTGAATCTGAAACCAGAAATTGAAAGATTTAATTCTATTTAAAATAAATATAATATTTGGCTCTGCGTGGACATGTTAGATCACTCTGCATCTTCTACCGCATTTATCACGGGGAGTGTTCCGAGGAATTGTTTGGATTGACGCCGGCGGCTGAATTCCACCATCGGACATCGCGCCAGAACCAAAAATGTCATCCACACCACTTCGATGTCCACAACAGCGCGATTTTCTAGGCATTTCTCGCCTCGCACAACCACTCTGCGGAACCGGCAGCCGCCGGCGGTCTTTCCGAACCGTTACCACCTAAAAAGCCGGTGTCCATGGGCGGCGGTGATCACTGACCATCAGCCCCTCTCCTCGCGGCAGGTACTGCTCGTTCCTGCGGCAGCTGGGCTCGCTGGTGCCGCTGGACGGAGGCGACGAGCCCACGCTGTTCCTCAACCTGGAGAAGGGCGGCAAGGACGGCCGCTACGCCTACGTCTGGCACGACGACATCATGCAGGTGCCGTCTCATCTCCCGACCCTCCCTCCGACTCATCGAGCTTATTACTAAACTTTACGACACACCCTGCCTCGGCGACTTGCCATAGATAAATACTGCTTGTTAAATGTTCTTTTAGTTAGTTAATGTCAGGGGACGTATTTACCTTGATACCAAACACTTTATTCAGATGAAGTGTAATTCTGTAAGATTCAAATATTTGTTATTTGTTTCTATAATAGTGTGCCCAGGTAAAAAGTGAACAATGATTCAAGTGAACAACTTCGGCACCGTGCTTGTGTCCACCGTCCAGGTGCTGTTCCACGTGGCGACGGCGATGCCCTGCTCGCCCAAGGACCCCTCCTGCAACGAGAAGCGCAAGTACATCGGCAACGACTACGTGTCCATAGTGTACAACGACTCGGGGGCCGACTTCAACATCCTCACTATCAAGGTGAGCGAAGGTGGCTTTCTCCTTTTAAGCAGAGATGGACTTATGGAGACAAAGAAAGAGACGAAACTGTCTATTTTATTTTAAATTTATCAAATTTACTAGTAGTAGTCGCTATTTATTCAACAAGCAAAAGCGATGAGACTATACGTGTAAATGTTAATAGTAGTCGCATCGTCCGTTATGTGAAGCTGTCCGCGCGGTTACGATCCGGCAGGGCCAGCTGAACCTGTGCATCGTGGTGGTGGAGCCGCAGGAGCACGGCATGAACCGCGTGCTGGTGAAGAGCAAGGACGAGCGGCTGCGCACCAAGTTCCTGGCGCACGTGGACGCGCACGCCGTCTCCGACCACAACGTGGCGCTGCTGGCGCGCCAGGTGGCCGTGCACTGCGCGGTCGGTACTCGCACCCCGCCCACGCCCCTCACGCCCCCCACGCCTCTCACGTCCTCCCACGCACCCTCACGCCCTCTCACGTCCTCTGTCGTCCTCTCACACCCTCTATCGTACCCTCACGCCCTCTGTCGCCCCCTCACGCCCTCTGTCGCCCTCCCACGCCCCCCACGCCCCCCACGTCCTCCCACGCCCTCTCACGTCCTCTGTCGTCCTCTCACACCCTCTATCGTCCTCTCACGCCCTCTGTCGCCCCCTCACGCCCTCTGTCGCCCTCCCACGCCCCCTCACGCCCCCCACGTCCTCCCACGCCCTTTCACGTCCTCCCACGCCCCCTCACGCCCTCTCACGTCCTCTGTCATCCTCTCACACCCTCTATCGTCCCCTCACGCCCTCTGTTGCCCCCTCACGCCCTCTGTCGTCCTCTCACACCCTCTGTCGCCCCCTCACGCCCTCTGTCGCCCTCCCACGCCCCCTCACGCCCCCCACGTCCTCCCACGCCCTTTCACGTCCTCCCACGCCCCCTCACGCCCTCTCACGTCCTCTGTCATCCTCTCACACCCTCTATCGTCCCCTCACGCCCTCTGTTGCCCCCTCACGCCCTCTGTCGTCCTCTCACACCCTCTATCGTCGCCTCACGCCCTCTGTCGCCCTCCCACGCCCCCTCACGCCCTCTATCGTCTCCTCACGAGTCAAGTGAAAGTGTTAAACTAGTGTACTAGGGCCCCGCAACAGCTTATGCTATAGTACGAATGCGTAGGCGCGTCCGGGGAAGTACCGCGATCTCGCGAAACGCCGATGCGAAGCGGTGAGCGAGGTAGCCGGAGTTGAACTTTTAAAGATGACCACCGGCGGCATCCACTGAAAACAACACCCCGCCCCGTGCAGCTGGCGGCGCAGATCTCGCAGTCGCTGCGCATGGGCGGCGCGCCGTTCGCGTCCAACTCGCTGGAGCGGCTGCGCCTCATCAAGCGGCTGCGGCGGCGCGCCGAGGACGAGCGGCTGGCCGCGGCGGCGGGCGCGCCCAAGCCGTACGCCGCCGCGCCGGAGCGGCAACGCCGCGCGCAGGCCGACGACTTCAACGACTACACGTAGCGCCGCGCGCCCCGCACGCCCCGCACGCCCCGCCTAGCCAATAGCGCCCCTATCGCCGCGGCCCAAGGTTGCGTTTCGCGCGAGCGGCGACTGCGCCGCGCCTCGCCGCGTCCCGGACCGACCGACTCGATATATTTACCCTAGACGTTAGTGATGTAATCGTTAAATGTAAGAGAGGGCGTCCCGAGCACCCCAGCGGTCGGTTGCCCGATTACTTAATCGACGTTCGATTCGTTTGCGAGCCTTTAACTGCACCCCACGGATGGACGCGTTTAATGCGCAATGAGCAACTGACCGTATCTCTGGTGCGGCCGAGAGACGTCGGAATCCCCGAAGTTGCGCACTCTATTAGCGGTCAACTTCTGAATACGACTCGGGCGATATCCTCGAGAGGTTTTGTTTACGCGAGATGTGATAATAGTATAGCGTATATATTGCAACGGATGTTATGTAAACGCTGACGGTTTTAACTACTGGGCTTCGCTTGTAGTTGGTCCTTCCCGCCGGATGCCGCGCCTCTGCACTCCACTGCGAATATTGACAGCACCTTCTTATATCGATATCTCTGTTGTTTCGTAGATCCGTGCGCAGAACGGCTTGCTCGCGCTCGAGTCGAAAGCACCCTGTGATTTTGAGTGCAATCACTCGTGTTTATATATACGAACGGTGGCACTAGCTGTCTGTTTGTTCGTTACACTTTTCCATTTAGACGTGGAATGGTGTGCTCAGACGGTGGTCGTTCGCGCACGGCACCGGAGGCCCGTCGACAGTTGCAGCAGAATGTGACCCTAGTTAAGAGATATGTGTATACAGCTCGCCGGTGTGGGACAGTCGATATTGTTTCAGCGCAACCAAACGACCAAGTTATTCGGAGCTTAATATGCACCGTTATCGAGTTTTCGTGTTTAATCGATGTTTAGGAATTGTATTGCCCCCACCCCCCTACCCTCACTATCCTCGATTGATGTTTTCTATTCCTTTCGAGGAAGTCTGTGGCTTGGAGCTTAATGTGTTTTTTTTTTATCGTAAATAAACCGGAACCGAGTAAGCGATTGAGGCACACACGCCCGCAGCAGTAAATCGTTAAGCAGCCGAGGCGTTTCTTGTTGAAATATTCTACGTAGCAATTTATTTCCTGACGAAAGATTTTGTAATCAAATAAATGATGGCTATTTTATTCTTTGTTTCATTTTCCACACTTTTAATGTGACTCCGTTATTTATGAGCCATTCTACACAGCTAAAAAATTTGCGGTGGTTTGATTTAACTTAAATTCACAAAACTGCACAGATTAAAAAATATTTTTTAAATTATGGATTTTTAACGTTAACATTTTTTTTATGATTATTGGTAAGTAGCGCTAGACGTGTGTTCATTTATTGTCGCGATGGTAACGACACGCTGTATAAGAAATATTGGTATAAATATTTTAAAGCAAACTTTACCCCGACTTATAATTAAAACATGATTACACCATTATATTACATTATAATATAACCCAAAAATAATTTTTCGTGTAATCTTCACTAATGTCCGGTTCCTATATTCAACGAACGGCCGTTACTTACATAGCGTCGTAACTTTCATAACGACTTGTAGATTAAAGGAACGCTAGTAACTCACTTTTCGTATGTAATGCAACGGCTCGTAAGGACTTTTATCTAAAAGCCGTTATGAAAGTTACGAAGCTATGTATGTAACGGCCGTTCGTTGAATATAGGAACCAGGCGTTAATCGGTCGTCAGCAAAACGTGAACGTAGTGATTACATTCTCTTTGGTCGTCAGTAGGGACGGCAAAAATTCAACAGCTTAGTGGCGGCAAATTTGCAAAATCCGCCAGCAGAGGTCGTCACATCACGAACCCGTTCACTGGCCGAAACGAAGCTGCGACGAGACGAGACGAGACAATTGCGAGTGTGAAACGTCAAACTGCCAAACGGCAAACCGCCGTACGGTTGAAGTTTGCGCGTTGAAAACCGCCAAAAAAGCAAAGAAGAATCGCGAAATGCCCTACACGCGTTTGGCCGCGTTCGTGTTGACCGTGGCGTGCGGCTGCGCCGTCGAGCTGGAGGGGCTGTACGGGGCGCGGGGCGGCAACCGCGTCACGCTGTGCATGGCGCCCGGCGCCAGCAGGGACGCGTGCGCCGGCGTCATCTGGCAGCGCCACTGGCTGCTGGTGCGCGGCAGCTGCGTCGCAGAGAGGCCGCTGTTCCGCGCGCTCGTGCTGAGGACCAGCGACGCCGCCTGCGACGCCATCGCGCCCGGTATCCAGACTCCCGGAGTCGCATATGCTTAAGCCGCGCCATCGATCACCAATGCGACGGACGACGACCCGATTGCCTGGGGAGTGGACCCTGCCTCCTGTGCCAGAGGGTGTGGGTTCGATCCCCGCTACTGGAAAAATATTGTGTGATGAACGTCGTGTTTTTCCAGTGTCTGGATGTTTATGTAAAGCGATTCTATTAAACAAAATATAGAAGGCTTCGAAGCCAAGTTGACTCGCTACTGTCTGATGGTTTACGCCACTGTACTTACCATCTTCACTAAACACTTTACCAGTGAAAATCGAGTTTAACACAGATCTTGTACTACCTCTCATCAGTGGTCATTCGGATATCTTTACTTAGACTAATAAACAAACTTTCCCTTGTTATAAGTTGACTTTTGGTTGGTGGAAATTACTTTTAGAATAACTAAGTATCTGACTTGGTTTTTAGAACACTGACATATGAGTTATCGACTACTGAATACATTATTGTTGTAGACGAAAAGGTCTCCGGGTCGCGTAAAGTGAGAGCGCGCTTCTTGCACACGTCGTACCCGCAGACAGACGTCGCGCTCATTTGCTTGGACAGGCCGTACGATGCCCTGGATCCTGTCCGCAACGACAGCAACGCTGCTCTCTACAAGTTTGTATACCGCTGCAACCATGCCTTAATTACTGTTGGAATCTTCTGATGTTGCATGTGGAAATACCAGAGCAGTGGCATATATCTAGTGACCAGGGCCCACCTAATTAAAGCTGAAGAATGCGACTTCAATCTTAATTACTGTTGTCACTACTGTCAGGTTGTCAAAACAATTGTTGCCATTGGGGCATTAAATCGCTTTGTGTTACATCCAACCAGTCTAACAAAATTAAATAGCTGAACTCTTTATATGGGGACCATAAAAACCACACGAAGAAACAATGATCTCACTGTCCAGAAAAATGTCAAGTTTTGCCACTTTCTCACATACATATGTGATAATCTGGCTATTATGGAGGCAGAGGAGACTTGATGTAAGGTAGTACATTGCTAACCTTAAAAGGTGTGAGCCCGTTACCTCACTCACTAGTTCAAATGTTTCTAAAATAAAAATGTATTAAAATGATTTCTTCCAATAGTCTTCTGAAAACCATGGCACTTCTCTGATAAACTTGCCCATTAATACAATGGCTGGAGCATCAGTATATAACATTATAAGAGTATTCACTTGCTATTTTTATCAAACTAGAGAAATTTATTCATTTAATTTAATACACAAAATGAATGCTTCTTTTTATAAAACCTGTTTCTTTACAGATTGGAGCCATGGCTATCAGACACTTTCAACCAGTATCTCCTCACTACACCAAGAGCACAATCTATCCATGAGCACCGAGATATGATTTTCTCATCACCTGTAAAAATGTTTGTGACTACTGTCGTCCTACCATTGACCAGTTTCATAGTGTTCTTCCTTTTCATCACTTTCTTCACAGGCTCCAACAAAAGTACAGTGACATATAAAAGCCTTCATAACGATAAAGATGGTAATTTTGCATAGAATTTATTCAAATAAATGATAATTTTTTAATAACTTCTTTAATTATTTTACTCTTAATGCAATAAGGAGAGTTTAAGAACTAAAAAAACATGTTTTTCATAAAGTTTTATTTTTAACACAACTGACAATATAAATATGCTTTTTTTTTATTCCCAATTTTAATATAAACTAGTTAGATTCTAAGCTTCTGTCTTGTTCAACCTCCTCTTCCATACTTTTACTTTCCCTCGAAGCTCTCGCAACCTTTTCATTTCTTCTTTGAAATCTTGATGTTCGTCCCTAAACAATCCATAACTGCGTAGTTTCATCATTAAAGCGTTCGTTTCTACGTGGCGCGGATAATAATGGATAATATCCTCGTTTGTGTGTAGCGGACGCGCTGAGAATATTTTCACAACTTTCATAGATTTTGAATTAGTTGGCGTAGCAACCTCTCCAAAGATCCTGTTTGACAAATGTTTCATTCGCCGAGCGTAGTTTGTTGATGCATTAATTAACTGAGCGTACTTTGTGTAATTTGTAGCCATTTTATCTATAAACGTTACAAATTCCTCGACTGCAGTTTTTAAGTAAATACAATCCTTACATCCAAAGATCCACAACATAAAATATGCTTATTTGAGTAATTAAGAATATTTATATAACAAAATGACATACATGACATTGAGCATTGACATAATGACAGATGAAATAACTACTTTTTGTAGTTTGGGCATAATAATTTCACAGGGGCTCATTAAAACTTAAAAAAATGTTTTCTTTTAGTAGCAAAGCAGGATTCATTTTAAAAATAATCAAATGGTATCTCCTATAGCTATTAAATACAGTAGTAACATAAATGTTGCGTACATTCATGTACCTAAAAAATTTAAGTATGAAATCAAAGAAAACTAAAATAATTAATTTAATAATTTCTTAAATCTCTCCTCTTCACCTTCAATGAAACAGTGAATGAAGTCGAAAAATTTTTACTTACGCCCTGTTTCTGTAACACTGATCAGTTAACGTTAGTTAACTACAGTTATTTATGAGTTAACTTCTACGATTATCAGTGTTTCAGAATCCGGGCATAAGCCTATTTCATTATTTTAGAAATCTTAATAGTTGAATAATATTTACACTTGCCTTTAAAATGTCGAAATTGCATGTTAAGTATCTAACAAAATAATGAACTCAAGCAAATTGTTTCCCTTCTTTACTTTACGCAATATAAATACTACAGCGAACCGCTCAGTTCGAATCTGGGTAACATATAAAAAAAAGGGTGGCGAAATTTAGTCTTCCGTTGATAGCAGGTAAATTAAGTCATGCTATTCTTGCGCACAATTTCTAAAATGTATCTTGTATAGTATGCCAAGACTGGAAACTCCGTGACTGCGTTGAGCGCCAGTCAGTCACGGAGTTGCCGGCCTCTTGGGGAACTTCGTTCCGTCTGTCTATCCGTGTGTCACCACGGATTTTCTCAGGAACGGGTTGACCTAGCAAATTAAAATTTATTCCAGATACTAAGTCCATAGTCCCTATAAGTTTTGGGTCGAAAAACTAAATGGTAGTTCTTGTTGCCCTGGAATCACGAAATTTAGTAAAAAGCAAGGTCTTACAGCACATATAAAGGAAAAATCTCGAAAAATAAAAAATCAAATTAAATGAAGGTAAATTTTAATACGTACAAGTTTTCGCGAAATCTAAATTTGCCCATATCCTTTTATCGTGTTGACTCAGGGCCTTAATTAATCACCTAATAGGGACGACTGGTATAAATTTTTTTTCGACTTGTCACTTCCGCCCGTTAATGATAGAATCGGTGGTGATCTTTAATATGACGGTATAATAGGTAGGTACGGAGCTCTAGGCTTACGAGTTCGATTCGTAATTAATTAGTTTTTTTTGGCTAGATCAATTACAGTTGGCCTTGTTAGGCCTTGCTGATCCACCGGGCTTGAGGGCGCCTAGCCTGTACCTCGACTATGGGTGACTAAGCTCGAGGGCTCCCGAGTGAGCCTTGGCTCGGGTTGTCACATTATTATTTTCACCAGTTTGTTAGGCCGCCAAGCTATTAGGTCATTCTGTCAAACGCTCCATGGAGTAACTAAGCTTAAGGGCTCCCACGAGGGAACCTCGGCTTGGTCAGTTACTGAGTATCCGTTAAGAATTCACAGGACCAGTAGCTATAGTCTGACTGGAATTTTCGGGATCGGACTCTATCGACTCGCGATTGAAATCGATGGTACGACAAGTAGTCTATTATGATTTTAGTCCATCATTTATAGACTCCGCTCTGACGACAGTTTGAAATTTCTATCGGAGATTGCTATAAAGGCGGTCTCAAGTGACTATCTTATCGAGGATTTTTTCTAGGTGCGCCGAGCTCGTAGATTCAAGGCCCTTGCATAGCTTTTCCCAGTCCGTAAAGATCTTGGTCGGAGGGACCGTCGCGCCCGTCGGACCTTACCATGAATTGACGAGGCCGACAGTAAAGTTATGGTTAGGTCGACTTAAGCTCAACAAGTATATTTAGATACTTAATAAAGTTTTAAATCTTTATATATTAAAATGTAATCTATGCTTTGTGGTTGATAAGTTCTCTATACTAGTAACTAGAGATGGGTCGTATCGCTTTTTCTGAGTACCGTATCTGAATCAGATTTCGATTTCAAATATCAGATTTCGAAACTATGTATTTTAATATCTAGATATTTTACGGTCCCGTATCCACCTTGAATTCTAAAAAAAAAAAAAATAATAATAAAAAAATAAATTTCATTAAAAATAGAAATTGAAGTAATATAAAAATGATTTATTTCAACATCTTATATATCGCTTAAAATAATTGAGTTTAACATATTCTTACAACACGCAATCATGAGTGAAAATATTTTTATAATTTGTGTAAGAAATAATACATTCAGTATTATAACTTAGGGCGGAAGAATTTAAAATATACACACAAAGCACATAAGCCTTGGTCTGATTTCCACCCAAGCAGCACAACACTATTAAATTATATTTTTCTTTCTGTGTAGTTTTATTTTTTTTCCAAAAATATGAATAAAATTTAACGAATAAAAATATTCACAAAAAATTTACCTCCTAAAAAATTTCCATTTAAATTTTTCTTCCTTAATTTAGGCAGAAAATTCTTAAGTAGTAAGTTGGCATCCCTTACTATTACGTGATATGTACCAATGCAATCCAGCTCAAGGTTAAACAAAATTTAAAGACATCGTTAATACCGTAATTCGTATTTAAATGCAACTAAAAATGTTTTTTTCTATGCTGTTAAGATTCAAAATTACTTAACTGCGCGCTTTGTCGCCGTTACGGCTCAAGGCTAAACAAAACAATAAAAATATACTTAATAATATCGTTGTAGTAATCGTTGATACCATGATTAGTATTTAATTGAAACGGATCTTATTTGCATGGTGTTAAGATTCAAAATTACTTAACTTATTCAAAATATCTGTTTAAAAATCTGATATTGTGCCTTGCTTGCCGTACTGCTCTAACTAGTGTAATATTTGTATCTCACGCGCTTTGTCTCTCGATATCTGATATCGTGCATTGCTTGCCGTCCCGCTCTAACTAGTGAGTATTTGTATCTCACGCGCTTTGTCTCTCGAAATCTGTTTAAAAATCAGATATTGTGGCAAACGCGTATGATATCGCGATTCGTGTCGGTATAGCGAGCGAGCACGTTACATCAGATTTCGGAAATATCAGATATTGTAAAATACATAGATATTGAACGAGCCAGTAAGCGATATTCGGATATTGTACTAATATCTAGTTTTCATATCTGATACGATATGTATCGCCCACCACTACTAGTAACACCATTAATTAAATCGTAAAATAATTGATTAGTTTTTGTATTTGTAATTTGTAATGTATTTGTATTGATATTGAGATTTTAGTTCTCATTGATTGATTATATTTGCATCGGTGCATTTGCGTTATAGTTTCATAGTTTTGTGAAAGAACAGAAAATACATACATAAATAATGTCGCACTTAGTGCCAGGACCGCCGAAACCCGTGGAAAAGGTAAATTTTGTTGAATACCGATACCTATCAATTTTTGTTTTACAATGTAATATGATGCACAGAGGCGAAAAAATCAATATCTGAACTATCGTTTAATGTCGTTGATGTTACCCATTGGAAATTGTTAGTGGCTACTACAAATTTGTTATCAAGTAAATTGTGTGTAGCTGAAAATGTGAAAATAAAAACCTTTACATGCTATTATATTAAAAAATAGTTGGTCTTATATTTAATATATTACATACTTTTAAATTTATGACCAACTAAGATAAATATTTTCCAAAAAAATGGACAATTTTAGTTCAAACATGTAAAGGAAAAAGTATAATAGGCTAATTAGAGAATTATTAAATATTGAACAATTGTTAATTAAACAATAGTTAATAAATGAATATTAGATTAATATTATAAACTTAGTGCCATTAAATATAGTTCAGGCACTTAACACTACATAGCTCTAACTAGACATACTTTTTTTGTGAGAGAATGTGGCACACAAGGCAACAGTTGTTCACCTGATGTTAAGTGAAGGTAGCCACCCTTATGGTTGCAGATGCGTTACCACCAGTCACCAGGTGAAACGCAGTATAACACTTCCACAATGGCCTTCTATAAGGTTGTGGTATTTACCCAGGTGGACCTGCCCATTCGTGCAACAGTGAATACTATTGTGTAGCCCTACCACACTAAAAACACTATAGATTTTTATTCAACAAGTAAACATAATAAAAACTCTTCTGCATGTGTAAGTATATTTTTAAATTCTATAACCAGCACTTCTATTACAGCAGCCACCCAATGTCAATGTTATGACAACAAAGTTAAAACTGTTCCTGGTGCTGCTGGTAATGCTGGCATATGTATATGTACTGTACTTTGTCAAGACAATGTATGGAAAGGTAAAACGAATGGATCGGATGAATGTACTGGTGAGCAGACCATTATTTCTTAAAGGGTGACCCTCATAGATGTCTGCAAACGCTTGGTGTTGCGAGTATCCACCTTACCTTAAGGTTTATTTCGGAACCATGTTTTTATTTGAGTTATTGGCTTTATTTTTATGACAGGCCTCCTGACTGACGTAAACCCAAAATAAAGCTAATAAGTGAAATAACAACATGGTTTGGAAAATACATAGTGGACACATTGTGCTGACCCCACTTAGTGTGGGGTCAGCACAATGTTAGGTTTACCACTTCATGATCATTTGCATTTATTAATTGTGCTCATATAATATTACACCATACACACATTACCACTTGCTATATTATGTCAATACATGTATGATTTACTCACTTGACCATTAAATAAATTTCGAAATTTATCTTATTGTGTATAATTTTGATCATTTAATCACTTCACAGTTTTAAATCGTAGTTAGATAATATGTCTTCTTTTTGTAATATGTAATTAGAATGTTTCTTTATTTCAATAGCCATATTTTCTTTGCGAGTGATAGTAATTTTTGATTTATCAAATCTCAAGCTTTCATACGGTCTATTAAGTAATATTGATTAAAGAAGACAACATCCATAAAATAGTAGAAATTATTGTAATGAATTACCACTGCTCTGCGAATTGATAATATATTACATTACTGTCCATGAAAGAGTTTTTGTACTAGGTATTATACACATATGCCATTAGTGTTGTAAACAATACACTCAAATAGATCATCTTCGTTATTGGTCGCTTTTGGGCCGTTAGCAGTATTTTTTTTACCGCACACAAATGGAACATTCACAATTAACAATTTATTATCCAACAGAAGCGTCTACAATGTTACAAGTTAATTTTAGTGCAGGGTTCACTGATATGTCGATAATGTTGGCAGGTCATGGAAACCCAGCAGATGCTCCACCAGCTGCATGTCATGGACCAGAACCAGGGCATAGACATAGAGCAACTTGACAATATGTATGAAGACTACTGAATGAGCCCAGCTGGTATCTTACCCCATGCCCCAAGTGCTTTATGCCTCCCCCACGCTGTCCTTTCTGAGCCGTAGGTGGCAAATGCCGATTAGCTTTTTCGTATTGGTGTAATATAAAAAATAACAAAATGGTAGCTCGGATACATAATCGTCAAACATCAGATAGTTTGTAAAGCGCACCCTTCAGTGTATCATTTATGGCTTTTGGTCACATAAAGTATAACAGTTTTCTACATATTTTTGTTTACCTGTGTAAGTTTCAAATATTTTTCTTATTTATCATAACATGTGTAAAAACAGCTTTTAACATATATTGTGTTGATATTCTGAATGATGGTAATTCCATAATCTACTGTGATGTATATTTAATTATTGTTAATTTTGTTATTATTTCCTATCTGTGATTGAATCTCAAAGAGTATTTTGACAAGTATTATAGTACCTAAGTTGTTTATATTGTAAGTAATTTTATTTTTAATGATGCGGAATGAGTGAAATAAAAAAATTGAGCTGGTTTGAATGCTTTTATTATAATTTAAAAAGTGTAAATTATTATTTGGGTGAACATTATTTAAAGCTGTTAATTAAACTATTGATAATAAATGGTATATATTATATTTTAAATTCAATTCAATGAGACATAGAACTTCACGCTTCAGACCATAGACTGTTTGAATCATTTAACAACAAATAAATGTTTCATGAAAAAAAATTTAAATATGATTTTAACTGAGTTTGGAAATGAAGCTTGTTTTTGCGGTGATAAAGTAATGAAAAAGAAACAATTTTGTGCCTTATCTCTATTTATCACTGAAACAAAAAAACAAATTGTCAAATAGGTATTTCTTTGTTACATCCATTCAGGCAAGTTAATTAACATTTCTGATCACAACTTAATCATATAAATAAGACATATAAACATAAGGATGAAAGAAATTGAAAAACTTGTTTAAAAAAATATAAAATGGTGATGCTTATTTATTTATTTCCAATTTATCGTGACACCTTTATCTAAGAGCTACAATAGGCGGATTTAATACCTAGTGACATCTCTACCATTCAACCCTTGTCATGGTGAAATGTAAATGGGTAAACCAAAGAATAAAATAAGAAATAAATAAATTTCGTCAGAAATCAATATTTATGGGCAAATATATACATAAATTAATATGTATGTGTATATGTATATATATAGATATAATTAATCATCAACTGAATATTTATAACATGTATGTTGTATAGATGGGTATATATGTATATATATAAATAGATTTATAAGTATATGTAAAAAATGCGTGATGTAACTTATGTTAATATATATTTTTTATTTAAATTTGTGCCTACTTCCCCTAAATGTAAAATCTCTGCACTTAATAATATATATATTTTATAATAATCAATAAAACGTTAAAATTTTGTAGAAAAAAGGAACGAAAAACTTCTCGCTGTGCGAACTGGGAACCGAATGCACGTGTTCGGCATTCGCGGCCTGACGCTCTAGCCACTAAGCTAAACGGCTGATTGCCACACCGACGAAAGATCCCGAACGCGTGGGTTCGAGCGGCGAGAAACTTCGTTCCAAAGAAATTTAAAGTTTTTTATAGTGCTAATCTCTGCACTTAAGATTAAACATTAAAACATGTAGAAAAAGTACGAAAATATTGTCGCCGCTGTGGGAATCGAACCCACGTCTTCGGCATTCGCGGCCTGACGCTCTAGCCACTGAGCTAAACGGCTGATAGCCACCCCAACCGAAAAGCGTCAGGCCGCGAATTTTAATATTTTTCTACAAAATTTTAATACTCCATCGTATGAAGGTGTCCATGATGTGCCCCTGCGGATCAGTAGCCGCGCTCGAGGCCGTTGTCCAGAGGGGCGCAGGTTAGCGAGTCCGCGTCGATGAGCACCCCTTGCGGCGCGCAGAGCCAGGGGTCGCGCGTGTCGCTCTGCCAGAGCCGGAGCCTCGACGCCAAAGTGGCCTCCAGCTGGGCCAGGGCCGGCTTGCCTGCGAACCTTCCACTTGTCACGACACGGAGATGGCGGCAAAAAAAAACTTTTAACCTAAAAACTATCCTCATTTTTGTCATATTTTTTTTCTTACAAAAATTAAAATATACAACTGTTTATTTTTCCTTTTAGAAATAGCTTGGGAGCGATCAACTCATTTCCAGGGGTTATTGTCATTAATGAATATATCATTTGTATTATAATAACCCGTGGTATAAATAGTGGTCTTTCACTTCCAATAACTTAACAGACTGTATTGCTGTATGGGAATAGCAGCTTGAGCAGCAAGTTGCACTCGCCTTGTTAGCCCAAATTGGATAGTGATCTATCTATTGCTAATGATACAGGTCTATCTATTACTTAATTCGAAACACAAATTACGCGAAATGTACGCTCTTATAGTATTTTAAATAATAGTTCATATAACGATAGCCTGAAATTTTTTACTAAGTATATTCGGTTTTAACCTGTCTAAGAAATAAATAATTTATTCATCGAAAAAATGAACATACATTTCATCTATTAATACTCATTTTTAAATCTACCACCGTTTCGTAATGAGGTTCCTCTAACGGAGAAGAAACAGACGATAGAAACTCCGTAGCTGTCATTACATTAAAATGTTAGACATATTTTTATTAGAAATAGATTTCCAACAACTCATTCCCAGGAGTTTCAGGAAAAAAATGTATTAATTTATATTATAATAACCGTTTTTTTAATAAATTTCTTAAACTCGTTAATAGGTAGGCTTTGCATTTACTGGGACCTTGTTGTAGAATAGTATGCATGGCCCCATGAAAGCCTACTTACTCTATGGAGTCTAGTAATTGGCATTACAAGCTTGTGTTAGATCCATGCAATAATTAGGACCACCGGCCACCCTGCCACCTCTCAGACGAAACGCGAAAGTACAACGCTTCCACTTCACGGCGCTCCTGTGAGGTCGTGGAACTTCCCGGAGCTGCCCACTCGTGCAACAGAGACTGTTGCGTGGCCCTACCGCCGTCTAGCGATACCAGGAGCGAGGAGGGCCCGTGTCGCACCGTGCAGGTTGCGAAGCTCGGCGGGGTCTTTGCGCAGGTCGTAGAGCTCCCACTGGGGCCGGCGGTAGTACTGCTGCAGCGTCTTGTACCACGGCAGCGGCTGCCGCCCGCGAGTCCGGTTCAGGATATCCTGCACACAGGACCACAAGGGTAGCTGATACCATTTCCTCAAGGAACATAACATGACAGCGTGTTCTTGAGTAGAGTAACAACCTATACTATCCCAATTCTGGGCAAAGGCCTCCTCCAAAAGAGTATTAATAATAATAATGAGTTTATTGATTACAAAAAGTGAAAAAACATATAATCATTAGAATCGCGATCGGAACGGCATTAGAAAATTTTAATAGAAATTAAGAATGCGTATTATATAGAGACGTGGCAGCTCAATGTTCGGGAGCTCGGTTTTAGTTCTTTATTTTCGAACAATCTGAATTCACCGATGAAATTATTTATTGCAATTTTAAGTGCTGCGATGACTGAAAAAATCATGAGGAATCCTGCATAATAATAACAGAAAACAAGTATGTGAAGTCTGCCAATCAGCAGTTGGGCATCCGCATGGCTATGACTATGCCCAAAATCCCTCCATAAAGAGGTGGCTTGCCCAGCAACTACTTTACTTTTGAAACGAACATTATGCGATCTAAACACGGACGAAATACTATGGCGTAAGGCCTTTTACCTGGAAGGTGGGCGATACGTATAGGTCCTGGTCAATGGGGAATGGCATCTGGAAGTTGACGTTGTGAATGAGCTTGTAGCGGCGCGTGCGGATCGCGCGCATCGGGTAGTACATGGTGACTTCGTGGTGCGTCTGAGACGCGAACACAGCATCATTCTCCGACGGTGCCGGTTCTGTACCGTACGTTATTCAATTATTGAAACTTTCGTGAGACATTAAAGGGATCAAACTGGTAGGGCCATGCAGCAGTCCTCTGATGCACGGATGAGCAGTCCGTCCGGGCAAATACCAAGACCGGGGGGAAGTGGAAGTGTTGTACTTCTGCACATCGTTTGGCGACAGGTAGCCGGGGCCCACTTCGTTAAAAGGTAACGTGTTGCAAATGCCCACGGCGGCGGTTATCACTTAACATTAGGTGTACCGCCAGCTCGTTGCCATCTTTTCACATTAAAAAAAAACAATAGGTTACCCAACAATAGACTTAGGTTAAACAACAATAGACTGATGTAGTCGTCCCGTGTGGGAATCGAACCCACGAGCCGCGGCGCCGAAGCCAAGACGTTGCAACTCCGCCAAACAGCCGTCAAACAGTCATCATTGCAACGAACCCTTAACCAAGATGGGCAGCAGGCTTCTGGGGCGGTCGCTCGACACCTCGTTGCTCATCCCCTCGTCCGCCCTGACGGTGACGCCAAACCAGTCGAGGATCGTGGGCGCCACGTCGAGCAGGCTGACCAGTGCGCCGGACACCTCGTTCCGCCGCGCGCCCTCCTCGGGGGAGACCACTATCAGTGGCTCGCGCAGCCCGGGATCGTACAAATTGGTCCGCCCCGACGGGAACGGGATCCCGTTGTCCGAAGAGTAGACCACCAGCGTGTCCTCCTTGTGGCCCGCCGCCTCTAGCTCCTTGAGCATCAGCCCCACCCCTGGGAACATAACCCAATCCCAATTGATGTACGTACACGCTGTAGCTTGCACTGAGACGGGGCGCGGCGGGCCTTCTATAGCCGGTACTTACACTGATTGGACGTTAATTAATTTGTTAATAATGTCTCAGGAATATTTTTTGGAATCTAATCAATAGGTGAAGTTGTCAAGTTTACGTTTGGATGAATTTTGTTGGGGTTATCCAATAACTTTTTAGAGTAATTTATTATCATACAAATTAAGAATGTGAAGATAAAATTGACAAAAAAATCTTTCGCTCCTGTTAGGACTTTCGAACTTCCGTCAAAGTGCTTCCTTTCAGGCGACCACACTTTCTCGAACAACATTTTAACGATGAACATTTGAAAACCAGAGATTTCTTATTATAGTGCTAGTCTCTGTACTTTAGATGAAACTTCAAATATTTGTTGAATAACTGCCGATTTCGATTCGAACCTCTCAGATTATGCGCCAAAACGTCTAAAATTAAACGTAAAATCGCTAGTATTGTCATGTGTTTTCATTTATTTATATAAAATTGTTTGTTACCTTGATCGAGTCGGGACATCGTTGTATACTGGGCTGCTATGTCTCTACGTGCTGCCTCGGTGTCCTGTGGACATTGTATACTCCTTAATAAGCTATTTTTTTCTCTTTAAAAGTAAATGAGCTTACATATTAGAAGCTCGTTCCAACCATTCGTTTAAAATATCAAAATATAAAGCTCCCATACTCTTATACTAATCTAAAATAAAGCACGAACCTCACCAAATTGTAATCAGCCCAAGTTTAATAAATATCGTCAAAATTTTCTATATCAGTAAACCTTTTGTACTAATGTATCAAATACAAGACAGTCGGGGCCTCCAAAAAATTTAAAGTAATGAAGAACTACAAAATGACCACCGACCACGACGCCATCTGTGCAATCGATGATTCTTTCAGCTCTATGGTTTTAGAAGGGGGGCCGCAGCTAACCTGCACGTGGTAGGGCAGCTGCACCTCGTCCCACTGGTAGTACCAGGGCGTCCAGTCCGGGATGGTCCCGAAGCCGATCTCGCCGGAGCCGAAACGCTCGCAGAAGGCTCCGTACTGGGGCTGCGAATGCCCGCAGCGGTGCGGGTCGTGGAAGCCCACGTACAAGAAGAACGGCCTGGTTCGTTATTTATGTAATAAATCATATATATATATTATTTTTTATCTGTACAGTTGAGATATTCTATGCTAACAGAGTAAGTTGTCTCAAAACGTGTTTGTTTGGTATTCTTATGTTTGCGCGGTTAAGATTATCTGTACTTTTTCGCGGGCAATTCACCGATACAGGAAAAAAACAAATATGGCATTTCCTGTTTTATAAGCCTCATTCCGACTTGCATAAAAATAGGCCAAGTGACAGGAAGTAACTTCGGGTTAGTAGAGAATTGTTCTCTGTTATATAGACATTAGATTCTAGTCAATCAACCGCTATATTCTGATGGTAAGGTTTATGTTTCATTGGTGGTAATAGCGCTGTTTATTTTAAGTTTTTCCAATATTATTTAATATATTGTGTAGTTACATTATTATTTTTAAGTTTTGTATGTATTCATTGTGATTAGACCGTGAATAAACGTTTCTTCTTCTTCTTCTTTTTCTGTCAAAATACTCACTTGTTCTGTTGGTTCGCGTTGGCGAGGAACTGCCTGGCCAGCAGCTTCATGTGCGTGATGTTCCTGCCCACCTGGTTGATGTGGTTGTTCTCCTCCGTCTGCTCGTAGTCGAAGCGGTACGCCTCCCCCGGGCCTACGTGCTTCTTGCCGATTATACCTGGGGTTCGAAGCGACGTGTAAAGAGATGGCGAGCTATTAGCGACTAATTAGGACAGAGACATTAGGTGCGTCGTCTTGTGATAGGGACACGCAGGCAGGGCCGGATTTAGAGGCCTCGGGGCAACAAAGGAGTGGAGGCACCTTGACCCCAAATTATTTTCAAAATAAAATGAACAATTTTTTTCAGTCGAGTTTTCCGATAAATAATTTATCGTGAAACAAAGTATAGATTCTTTTATTATTTAACGAACATATAAATATAACCTCTATTGTTGGGGCCCCACTTGTGTGGAAGCCCGTGGCTGTTGCACGAAAGTGCAGGCTCATCCGTAGAAGTACCACGCCCTCACAGAGAACCGACATGAAGCATTTTCCTTTCGCGTTTCGTCTAGTGATCAGGGACTACTGTTTTATTGTTTGGCCACGCGTGCCACCCTGTTTGCTTTAACTAGCTGTCGTGTCATGCGCGTAACAGATATATGTGGAAAATAACATCTAAAATGGTCCTATGAATTTAAAAAAACCTAAAAAGACCTACTTACATAATTTAAAGTAAAACCTTAATTGTAAAAAATATTGTTTTATTTATTAAATAGGTATATGATTTAATTAATATATAGTTACGTGAAACATTACTTGAATAATAATTATAATATAATTTTTCTGTTATATAAAACTCGTGACTTGTTGCCCGCGCTTAATACGGGGATGGAGGGACTTTTCACACAATACACGTTTTTTTGTATTGAGAAGAAAATTTTACTTACATCGTTTTGTGGTTATCTGTTGAATTAGTAATTTTTTATTTCATATATATGTAACATATACAAGTTTGTTCAAAACCATTTTTGTGTCGACAATAAATAAATTTGTCAATGAATATGCAGAATGGAGCGCAATTCCTTACCTGTGTAGACGCCATGTTGTCTCAGAATATTCGGGATACTGGAGATGTTGCTGAAGGAATTGAAATGGTGCACTCCGTGGTGTAACCCGTACATGCCATTTTGGTGGCTGGGTGTTCCCGTAAGAAGCGCGGCGCGACTGTGCAACGAGATATATCATAATGCAGACAATTCATGATGTTTTTGTTCCGTTTAAAGTTTAGATATTCAAAGATCTTAGTATCGTATCTGGAGATGTTTAAGTCCCCTAATACCAGTTTTACAATAAACTCATCGATAAATTAAGAGTTCCAACTAAGATTTAACTATTACACCCGAATATTAACTATGCCACATAAATTAAATGCGAAGTTTTTTTGTATCATTAAACGTATGTATTTGTTGCAATTTAACGCTGCAACGGGGAAGGGATATTAATGAAATCTGAAATGAGTTAGGTTTAACCACTAAATAATGCTTAACTCATGTTTTTATTTGTCGTCTGTTTAAACCTTTTTTACTCATATACCGTAAAGATTTGGTGACTCCGTGGCGCAGTAGCCAAGGTATTGGCTTCGGCGTCGGGGGTCGTGGGTTCGATTCCCACACGGGACAACTATTTATGTGACCAACAGATAGTTGTTTCGCATCTGGGTGTTTGTCCGTGTTAAATTTATGTTTGTAAAACGTCCTTACAACACAGGATAAAGTTATCCTAAAGTAAGGGCAATGTTTTTTAATAAAGAAAAAAAAAAGATTCGAAAACAACGTCGCGCAGACGTAGCCACAGTTTAAAATAATGATAAGTAGGGACGGCCAAGTGGAAAATAAATATCATATTCTTGAATGTGAAATAGAGGAAGTAGCAACCTGGGGGAGCAACTGCTCACGGATGTGAACGCGTTGTTGAACAAGAGGCCACGACGCGCCAGGGCATCGATGTTTGGCGTCTGACATATCTTGTTGGTGTAAGCCCCCAGTTCGAAGCCGCCATCGTCCGCTGGAGAAACGGACTTATCTTAAATATGTACTTATAATCCCTAGTTATATTATATTTCGAAGATATGTGAAGTCCGCCAATCCGTATGACTTGATACCCTCTGTACAGACGAGGCCTTTGCCCAGCAGAGGGAAATGTATAAGCTCATACTTTACTTTTTAATCCCTAGTCGATATATAGCATGAACCAGAGTAACGTATCTGGCGTTAATTTTGCAACACAGCCCGAAAGTGTATATATATATATATATGTAGTGTATATATATATAGTGTATATGTTTATCATTTAGCCAACATCTCAAACGAAGCAACTTTTGTTATATGTTCCCATATTTCACATACAAGCCTTGCTTAATTTGGGACTAGTAGTTGTGTAAAAATGTGTCCGAAAATATTCATTAATTTTGGTAATGGTTAAGAAAAGCACAGCGATAATGTAAATGTCGCTGTATCTAAAAAACTCGAATCTGGCTATCCGACGAGATTGGCATTAGATGTAGCCTTAATAGGGCTACGAACTAAATGGCTTATTCACTTTTAAATTCACCATCATCGAACCTGACCTAAAATTTTGGTCATGAGTCACGTTTAGAACTAACCAAGCTCGTTGAAAAGCGTTTAAGTTCTTATCGTATCCTAGCTTAAATATTGTCCTTAATTAGTATGTATAAATTACGAGGTCTTAAATTTACGCGAATTTTGTTTTTACACTCGGTATTCGACCACTTTATAACCATCAGTGAATAGGATTTTTAAGATATATTGCATGCACCACGTAAGCTCTACTTAGAATTCAAAAAGTAAAAGTAGTGATTTCAAAATAATCCAATTCATCGTAATATAGAGCTCAGAACAACATTATAACCGGTTATATATATTAACCGTTCATTGATAACGGGGCAAATGATCACACGTAACGGTATAACAGCAAGGGAAAAAAAGATAGAATAAAAAATTACACGCCTCTTGTATTGCAATATACGTTTATATATACCATCGATGATACTTATAGGCCAAAGAGTACTTTTATATACCTGAAATAGTGGCATATATGATATAGGTACCTGATATAGAGACAACATAGTGGACGGATTTGTTCACAATTTGTTTTATTGGAGTATGCTAACATTAAAAATTTATGTACATTGTTAGGAACTTTGAAATATTTGAACTAAGTAATGATAGTTATATATTGTAAATATTTTTGTAAGTTACATTTTAAGATTACTTCAGTAGAGCTTCAACTAATGTCTAATGAACTGATGAAAATTATGTGCATGAGTAAGTAATTGAAAACGTTTGACCTAGAATGTATATTGGATTTGTTTTCCCATTTATCAAAATATCTAATTTATTATTTACTTGATATTATCTGTGAATTCGCGGTGAACGTTAATAATGTTTGTATGAGTAGCGTTACACATGATTTATATTCTATATTTTTGAGGTTAAGAACAAAAACTCACCCAATAGAATGAGAATGTTTCTTGGCTTGATAGATAACACTGTATCAGTGATAAACAAACATAATAATAATACATATGAACCGACCGATGCTCTTCCCATGTTGAGCGATAATAGCGCGGAATTGACGTGTCGCACCGTTCATAAAGACGAAGTGCTCAGTTGGCAATTTAAAACTGCGTTTAGTTTGGCTTCTGCCCACCACCGGGGCTCTTTGCATTGACCGCCCAACTAAAAACAGAAAAATTGTAACTACACACTAAAACATTGTTAGAAAATGTCTATCCGTAAAAATATTTTATTCTTGTTTGATGTTGACGGAACACTAACTAAACCGCGGCAGTGCATTACTGAAGACTTAAAAAACTTTTTATTGAATGAAGTAAAAACTCGCGTTCATGTCGGATTAGTCAGCGGCTCGGATTATTGTAAAATAGTTGAGCAAATGGACGGCGAGAAGGTAACAAACGAATTTGACTATGTTTTCTGCGAGAATGGAGTGGTGCAATACCGGCAAGGGCAACTCAAGAGTAGCGAGAGCATTTTAAGTTACATCGGTGAATCGACGCTGCAGAGAGTAATTAATTTCGCGCTTGGATATATGTCCAAATTAGAGCTGCCTGCTAAGAGAGGGAACTTTGTGGAGTTCCGTTCAAGTATGATCAACATCTGCCCCGTGGGTCGCTCCTGCAGCCAAGCTGAAAGAGATGAGTTTTCAGTGTTTGATACGCAGCACAAAGTTCGCGCTAAGTTTGTTGACGCTCTACAGAAAGAATTCAAAGATTCCAAACTATGCTTTGCCTTGGGTGGACAAATAAGTGTTGATGTGTTCCCGAAAGGTTGGGACAAGACATTTTGCTTAAAACACATTGAGGGAGAAAATTTCACTGAAATACATTTCTTTGGAGACAAAACATCTTTAGGCGGAAATGATTATGAGATCTATAATGATGAAAGAACAAAAGGTCACACTGTTACTTCACCTGAAAATACCAAAGAGCAATTAAAAAAGTTCCTCAACATTGAATAATAAGTTGCACTTACAACTTTTGATGGCGCTGTGGATGAAGATGTAATAAAATGCATAAAGATAAGATAACAGAATTTATTTGTACTATAATAAATGTATAATTGTAATCTTATTGTAAATATACAAAATATTATCGTTATTAATTTTACAATTTTTATTGCAACTAAAATGTATCTGTAATAATTTATTGTACTTATTTTGAATGAAATATGATATGAACGCTTGGCCCCAACTTGAACTTGGGGTTACTGGATATCTGACCCTGTTTTATCTTTATAATAATTATCTAACTTGGTGTACCATTACAATCCTCAGCAAAATAAACATGTCTAGATGAATCTAGATGAAGATTATGTGGCCCAAATTATTAAAAATACAGTTACAGACCAACCATAATAATTAATTGTGTATACACTTGTCAACCTTAAAATATTAACCTTGCAAAAAGTGAAGTAACAAATCAATTTTTGTACCAACAAATATTGTCTCAACAACAACAACTCTTACCTAAATATATTCAAAAATATAGTCTCATTTATACTTTGTATACACATCAAAAAATATAATTGTATAAAAGTCATTTAAATATTGGTCCATTGTATATTATAATAATATGCATTTTAAATTCTTTGACACTGTGATACAGAATTTGCGTTAAAAATATACATTGTTCTCTTCACAGTTAATCAATCTGTAATTGTTCAAATTCTAATTACATAATGCAAACCGAAAGCTAAAATTTAATGTTTTGTCATCTGTATGTGTAATAATTATTCAATACTATTGTATTAACATAAAAAATATTTGTAAATGCAATTATACCCTCTCCCTAAAGATGTGTTAAAATTTTAAATCTATTAACTTTGATATATAAAACATTCATAAGCACATTGTAAACCTTAAAGGCAAATAGTTTAAAAATATTCCATATTGAAGGAACAATTGAGATTTTTGGAGATTTGCAAAAATATTCAGGGACTCGACTAAATTATGTGGAATAACCGGAACAATCCTGACTTGTGCATTTAATATGCGGGTCTCTACTATCAATGCCCTTTGTATTTTGGTTTCCTCTTTTCAATGAAGGAAAGCATGCCTTCCTGCCGGTCCTTGGTCGGTACATTGATTTCGTAATATTTCTGCTCAACTTCATATCCATCCTTGATGCTAAGTTGAACACCCTCATTAATGGCCTGCTTGGCGCATCGCAGAGCAATAGGCGCGTTGGGCAGTATCTCCCTCGCTAGTTCTAGCGCCTTTTCGAAAGCTGCATTGTTGTTTTCGTTTTGTGCTACAGCGTGGTTTACAATACCTGTAACATAGATGTGTTTTCAACTCCGAATCCACCTACGTAGGATAAGGGCAGGAGGATGACGATGCAAAAGCACTAGTATACCCATAGTTTTAAAGTTGGTTTATGGCACATATTTTAAAAGAGCATATTCTGTTATCACAAATTTCTATTTAATATGATGACATAAAAAGGTGTATTCATTTAAAAATTTGTTAATAAGTAAAGTAACATATATTATACCCATTTCTTTAGCCTCTTTTCCGTTTATAATTCTTGATGTAAAGATTAATTCCTTGGCTATATTTGGATGTATCACACGTGGTAAACGTTGAGTGCCCCCAGCACCAGGTATGAGGCCCCTTCCAGTCTCAACTAAGCCTAATCGGGCAGTCTCCGCTGCCACTCGTATGTCACATGCGAGAGCGAGTTCAAGCCCACCACCTACTGCAACTCCTTCAATAGCTGCAATAGTAGGCATAGGCAGATCTTCTATTTCTATAAATGTTTCTCTTAGGCCACGCACAAATTTTGCTACTTCTTCTTCTGACATCTTGAACCGCTCCTTTAAATTTGCACCTGCAATTGTGAAAAATCGACATATAAAACGAATGTACCATCCATTAGCATGGGAGCCACAGGATTTTTGTTTGCCAGATCATTTATTTATACAGGAAGACTTTTTTAAAGGTGCCCAAATTTACACAGGAGGTTCAGACTCTGTAGTATAATCGTATATTGAAATAAAAACAAACTTTTTTTGAAAACATTGAAAAAACAGAACTAAATTACTTTTACTTACACCTAAATTTTACTGTTCATGCACAAAAACGAACTTGTGTGCGTGTTAGTTATGAATGATCGCGCGTAAAATAAATGAGTTGCCCATAAATCACACACGTTTTGAGATAAGTTCAAATGAATGTAATTAATTACTTAAGAGTGATTTAAAATATTTATCATTTTTTTATATTACATTATTTATGTCTAGAACTTAATTTAAAAAAACGGCACACACAGAAAAACCTCCCTGAATGTAGGTAAATTTTTTTTTGTTACGGCAGTCCGTTTACTGGAAACAGTATAAGCCTTAAACTGTGATCCTTCACATTAGGTATGTGTCAGCTTGATAAAGAATCCGACCAAAAATACTTGCAAAGGAACACCACCTCCTAAGTACATGTAAAACTAAGCCTGTTTGGCATTACCATAAGCTTGTGATTCAATAATTCATTAAATTAAATCCAAGGACACCAATACTGTAAGAGTTTGATATATGGTATGCTCCGATAGAATAAAATAGTAAAAAGTTTATAGTAGGGGCTACTAATCAACCTGGACATTCAGATGCAAAACATCTCAATCCATCCCTATGGACTGGTTATGTTTGAAATATCAGGAATCAATTTATTTACAAAAGAACATAATATTTACAAGATCTAAAATTACATATTATCTAATAAACCTAATCCACGCAGGAATTAAAATCATAATTAACTATGAAAATCGATATATTAGTTTTATATGACAATATGTACTAATCACATAAACATAAGAAATCATTATAAAAACCAAGTCTTATAGTTACAGATGAAAATTAGTAGTTTCTGAATCATACAAGTTGCATAATATCATACAGAACTACTAACAATAAAAATGTTATATTTCATACAATATAACAAAATATATGATGATTATTATTCATCAAAAAGTTGTGAATTGTACTTTTATTCATGAACATGTTGAATTATGGCAGGCTAAGGCTTTCTCATACTTCGTATATAGAGAAATCAATGCCCAGCCTTAAGATACAGGGTATTATTATAATCTGTCTTCATAATGTACAGTCCAATCAAGCATAAGGTTTACTTACCCGCACAAAATATTCCTCGTACCAAGCTATGTAACACTACTACAGATATTCTTGTATCCTCCCTTATAAGTGCGTTTACCTCTTTCATGGACTGCACGAGCTCATAGCCCAGAGCATTTTTGTTTGATGGGCTATTCAGTCCATACACCGCTATTCCTTTGTCAATCCCAGTCAATTTATGAAACACCACAGGACCAACATTTTCAGTCTGTTGTAGAGTTTGTGTGGACAACAGTCTTACATATTGAGCTTTTCTTAGTAAACAACTTAAATTAGCTCTTGGTATCATCATATTAATATATTTCACTCTAATACAATATGTAAACTATATGGCCAAAGTTATGTCACCGGCTTACTGAATGAAGACGTACACAAATCACTGCTACAGAAGGGATCTGTAAAGATTACCTTTCCTAATAAAAATGTTTGCCTATAACGATTTACCTTGTAGTCTCGAATCGACTAATCAAAATGTTTTATCTATACGGTGATAACGTCAGAGTTTGACTAAAACTTAAATTGTAATCTATACATGTTATATCAATATTCATAGAGACAAATATTTTACATAACAACATAATTGGATATTTATAAAAGGTTATGTTATGAATTTGTGCGGTTATCGTCTTATTTCCTTTTTCTGTGAGGTCTATAATAGCTTGCCACATTAGGTAATATCATAAATGTAAATAGTTAATAGACAACTACGTTTTTTAATCGGTTTTCGAGAAGGTCGTTCGGATTGACTCACAGTCAATTAATGTAACTTCATATATAATTTAAAATGAATGTTTCGTGTTTCTAAAGAATATTTGGATAAAACTTATTTTAATTTCAAGGATTATTTTTGGTCCCAAATTGAAAATACATTTTTTTTGTGTGATGTGGCAGTATCGTGTAACGATCACGTTGCGATACACAAAACAATATACTCTCTTACGATGCGATGTTGGCTTCTGGATAGGTTCTAGTATCGATTGTGTTACAATCAGAGCAAACCTCCATCTAAAGGACTCTGGATCGTATTTTTAAGGAAGTATTAAAAATATACTCCTATTGAGTATATTTTTTGTAAACAAATATCAACTCAACCCATCGGGTAGTTTTAGGGTTCTGTATCAAAAGGGTAAAACGGGACCCTATTACTAAGACTCCGTTGTCTGCCTGTTTGTCACCAGGCCGTATCTCATGAACCGTGATAATAATACATTAACCAAACAGGTCAGAGTTGACATCAAAAGAGTATGTATAATCTGAGATTACCAATCAACACCTATTCCCCTTTGGCCAAAAGGTCCTTGATACCGGGACATAAAATAAAAAAAAAACCTACTCCCTAAGTGTATAGGTCAAAGAGTACTTTTATATATCTGAAATACTTTTCTTTTATATATCTGAAATACTTTTATAAATCTGTGTATAGTCAATCTATACTACTCCCTGTTCAATTGTGTATACTCTGTCTGTTGTTAGTTCTTCTTCTTCTACCAGGCCATAAAATCTTTAATAAATAAATCTTCTTCTTCTCTTCTTTGTTGGCGGCATAGATAAGACGCATATACTGAAAGTTTTACTGGCGGTTTTCAATGAATACGCCAATGCACATCTGTTGTTAGTTGTATGATTAGTATTGATTTTGATCAAACAATTTGACATTGACATAAATAACATGTGCAGACGCGAGTAGTGGCAATTTTACGATTTGTACATAAATATTTGTGCAAATAAGTTCAAATAATAAGATCACATTATAAATATCTGATTGAGTACGGAAATTTTAATAATAATAATAACAACTATCTGGTAATAGTTAATATTAAAAGTATTATAATAATATTTTAAATCATGTATGAACCATACATTTGTAATTTGGACCCAGAAACAAACACCACACTTAAAATATATCTGTATAAAGACGTCAATAACGTCGAAGAAATACGCAATAATGTGATGAATGGAACTTGGAAGTGCGCCGTAGTTAAGCCGAGTTTGATCCTAGACGTTTTTCAAGTTGTTGTGGCGGCGAATAAAGCGGCACTTGCCGAGAAATTTAAAAATATGGTCACACGGACTGTGTACTCTGAGATCCTTTTTAATCTTTCACTGTCCAAAAACATATCACAGAGTATGAGTAAGTTTGGTGTAGAAAAGGATGAAAGATTGTTAGTTTGTTTTTTAGTGACGGCTGATAGTGACCATAGCCATGCAATTATTCAGCAAATCAAAGGCGAGCTATGCCCAATAAGTGAATTGGTGAATTTTACCAATTTGAAAGAACTGAAAAGTGTATACAAGTTGGGTAATGTTAAGTCTGACGTTAACTTGCTAGATGTAATTGTCAGCAAAATTGTCACAAAGAATTTTATATCACATTAAATTAGAAAGATAAAGTATTTTAACTGTTTGTGAACTTTATAACCAAGGAAGAGTGAACAAGAGTAGTGAAGATAATGAAATATTTTAATATTGTGTTTTATTAATTGCTGATTTTCTATGAGTTTTATCTCAAATACAACTTTATGGAAGCCTTTATTTCTATTTAATTTTGTTTTCATACTGCTTACTCAAGTTGTTGTAATGCTAACTAGTAAATAAAATTATACAACATTAATATACTCGTAAGATTGGTTTGAATCATGATTGTAACAATGTGTATCTTAAATTATGTCATAAATATGGTCCAATAGCTACAAATGATTTATGATAATCACTTATATATGGTGTGTGTATCCTGGGTCATTTTTGGCCATAAAGGCGAGACAAGCACACAATCATAAGACGGTCTGATTAGATGATAGATGATTACAACAACACCTGGGATTCAATAAAGGCCAGTCAAGGAGTTTTAAAATCCCATGTTTTGTCTAAATTAACACACCACTCCGATTAAAACTCAGATACCTGCTAATAAAGGACAATTGCCAATCAACTGGGTAATACCTAAGGTACCAGGATATTTTGAAGATTCAAGAATGAGCCATCTTAATGAGAGAAAAAGCAGTTAAATATAATTGAATGAAGACATTCATTTTAGGGTTCCGTACCTATAGGGGAAAACCTATTACTGACTTTGTTGTCTGTCTGTCTGTCCGTCCATCACCAGGCTGTATCTCATGAACCACGATAGTTAAAACTACTCAATCGATTATCATGCTAATAATAAAATAAAAGTAAAGAAATAAAGAAAGTTAAGTTTTGTAGTCATAGCCCTAGAAAGATCTTAAACAGGTGTTAAAATACAGATTATTGTCACCTGATTTCTATACGCTATACAAATTACTGTATTCAAACAACACAAGCACCACATTTTTCGAAACTACAGGGCAGCAAGACGCTCCTAGCGTATTTAGTTCCGAAGGGGATGATGTGACGACACACGTCATCCCACATCCACACTAAAGGACACTAATTTCACTGGTTTCCATGAACAATTGCAACCGAAACAAGCGTTGTAGACATCTAAGTCATTAACAAGTACATTGTTTTTATTGACTGAAAAACGAAACAGACTTCAAATATCTCGCTCTGTATTCATTATATAATTGATTTTCAGAAGTTCCCTAAGTAAGTCCGGAGCCCGAGATACAATACCAATGAAATTATAATACCATACCATACATGGGAAATACATGCTTTCAAATAAAAAAAGAATCATCAAAATCTGTTCGCCAGTCGAAAGTCTGAGGTAACAGACATAAAAAAAAAAACTACACCGAATTGAGAACCTCTTCTTTTTTGAAGTCGATGGAAAATAATTTTGACCACTTCCTCGCTTTTGGATAAGAAAAAGACTCCAAGCATCATTCTCCTGCAGATATGATTTTGGAGCGAAATGAAACGAACGGATTTTATGTACCATGTTTTATTTTAACAACAACAATAATGTACAATTAAATTACACAATATGTAAAAGCGATGATGAAACAATCATTTCATAGACAAAATGCAATTAGTTTATACAATATCCGATAACTTGATTACTTGCTCATTCAAAGTGTCACTCGTTCGACGAAGTCACGCGCGCCCTCTGGCGGAATTGTTCCATCTCATTAGACCAATGTTAATTTTTGTTCAAAACGCCTATTGTTCAATTAAATCTTTAAATGCTCGTTAAATCGTTAACCTTTATCCTAATCCTACTTCCGTATTACAACTGACTCACTCGGCAGATTGCAAGTTAAACTATGCGAAATAAAACCTATAACCCTTTTGAACATCGCATACGTAATTTGTATAACTATTTCTAATATAAAAAGAACACATCAATTGTTACGTAGTTAACGAAAACTTACGGTTAAATAAAAAAAAAATGGCATCTCGTAATTATTAAGTCTTAGGAACTTTCTGTAAAATCACTAATCGCGTAGCGGCGCACGTCGCAAACAAACCTGAGACTGCGCGTAATGTTAACGACAATTTCGACGAACCAAACATACGGGATCCGACGTCGCGAGTCAGTGTATGTAATATGTATATAATAAATAACTTCTCGATTACACAACGGTCGCGTAACATATACAATACGTTTATATGAGGTTAATATAGCGGCGGGAGCTGGGGTTTGCACAACAGTTCCGAACAAGAAAACGTCTATTGAGCTCTCTCCAATCGGAGACCATTGATGCGATAAAACTATAGAGTATAAGGTAAAATCTATGCACATATGATATTCCGCGCGTAGATTTGCACGGGGAATAAATAAAAAGGGAACCCGCGCGGTTCCCATATATTACTATTACATCTATATAATTTACACTAAATGACAACAGCTGGTAGGTGGTTATTTGAACGGTTCGCGTGAGCCCCCGCCGCGCCCTGACAGCATCCGCTAATTGAAGCATACCGTTTTGGGGTGGAAACTGCGACGAAATAATACAGCGGCGAATAATTTAAACGAGCCAGCGGTGGCCAGTTTGTGACGACGACTCTATCAAAGGAATGCGAGGGCAGATTCGAATTACTATTGGACTAGGAGATGTTCTTTACGAGTTTGATAGGCCTACGGATGTATCGGATTCTATGGCGTCGCTGTAGACATCTTTCGACTGCCGACTAACCGCTATGTACACTCGGCGTCCAATAAACGCGAAGCGGGGATCGATGCGCCGGTGCTAGGTACAGTCGGCGGCGCGGTCTGATTAGACAAGCTTAAATTGGGCTACGGAATAACATAGATAGAGGCACCGTTGACTTGTATAGCGAAAAACGGCGATATTCGTCAGCGCATCGATCTCGCCTATTTTTTTTTGTATATTTGATTTAACCGGAACAGCACGCGGCTGCTCCCGGGTGAGGCGTCGTGTTCCCAAATCGCCCGGGACACTGTCAACTATCGCTACAACATTAGCACCAAACGCCGCCTAGCAAAGCGATCGCGGCGACGCCGCAGTTGGCGGACGTTACATGTACAACCGTTCGGAGCTAACGGGGCATTGTACGGAGGGAGCACAGAGCTCTGAATGTGTTTAATAACCTCCTCCATTTGAAGTCGGTTCAAAACCACAGACATAAAACTTCGCATTGTAATAGACATTACAGTGCGTGCGGATTGAGAGATCACCCCTTCCGATGCGTGGATAGCATAAAATTATACGAATATTTCCAGACCGCATCACCCGATAAACAACTATATGCTCTTAAAAATACGATCGATTATCTCGCGTCAGTTGTATTCGACTGGTAATCGGGATGCATTAGATGCCTTGAGATGCCTAACTACTCTGAAGGATACTGTTCTTGCTGCATCTGATGAACCAATGGGTGTATTGATTCGGTCCCTGGACTGATATATGTATGCGTTTTGTGCCCCGCCGTGATTGGCCCAGTTTAAGCAGGCGCGGGAAGCTTACGAAGCGGGGGTTCCCCGTAGCACACTGTCCATTAGCTTTCCTGCAACAAAGGAGTTGATTTATATAAGTGAGCTTCGACGTCCATTGTATGTTCCACAGGGTCATATGAGTTTCTATTTGTAGCTATGTACTCTTGTGAACGAAATTTTTATTATTTAATTTGTATTATATTAATTGACATACTCTACTACATAGTAGTGGGCACAAATCTCTGCATCGATAAATCGTCGTGTCGAGCGTACAGTTTTTGAAGTAAACTTCATTAAGCTCAACTAATGGGTAACTAAATGCTTTGGACAATGACAATGCAACGGAAACCCGTTTATATAGCATCTGATTTTTAAATATTTACTTTTTATGCATGTATGTATCCGAACTATACATTTAAAATAAAAAATAAAAAAATGATGTATTACTTAATACATTAGTGTATTACTTAATACAATAGTTATTCAAAACCGTTTTCAATGCTTAAACACAGTAATATTATCTTTGTTTGTTTGTTACATGTTGTTACAACTGTTATTGTGCACCAAATAAAAATAGATTTATAAGCAACCCAGATTTTGTTAGAAACCGCCTGCATAAGTATGCAAGTATAAAACGATTGAACAGTACGCGTTGTATGTACACTCATTTGACTGTTTTCTAATGTTGGTGCGGCCACAGTGGCCACAAGTCAGCACCCCTCGGACATGAAAAATCCAGAGCAGAGTGTGTACCTGCCGGGGCTATCGCTAGAGGGCGGTGGGGTGGGCGGGCCCTCACTGGAAGGGCAGCGGCAGCGCCAGGCTGTAGAGCGAGGGTCACCGGCGCGGCTCCGACACGTACACCGACACCGTCGAGTCCTTCGCGCCCACGCCCAGCGCGCACCTGCACACACGCCACGCTGGCTCATTTCTACTTCACGCCGACCTTCTGTGCGATCGCATTACTAGTTGCGTAACTACACAATTGGGATTTACATTAACAACATGAATACTATTAGACCCCATTCTCATCTAACTTTGAACAATGACTCAATAAACCTCACGAAACAATAATAATAATAATAATAAAATATCTTTATTCACATAGACGCTTGCGCGTTCTTATGAAACATCAAAATTTTACAAGAAATTAACACGTTCGTAAGTTACCACCGGTTCGGAAAGCAGTTTCTGTTGAGAAGAAACCGGCAAGAAACTCAACAGTTGCTCTTTTTTAAAAAATCAGTTTACAATATAATAGTACAGGTACAATGGTCTTGTTTTAGCCTACGTGAGTATCAACAGTATTAACCCCACACATTGGCGTCGTCAAGATATTCGGCAATAGTATAATAGGCTTTAGCCATAAGTGTACTTTTAATTTTTCGTTTAAATTCATCAAGTGGCAGACTTAACATCGACTGTGGGATTTTATTATACATGCGCACACTTTGCCCCATGAACGATCTGTTTACTTTTTGTAGGCGAAATAATGGCGTAGTTAGTTTGTCCTTATTTCTAGTATTTAGTTTATGTCTGTCACTATTCTTTTGATAATTATTAATATTCTGTTTAACATACAAAATATTACAATAAATATATTGAGACGCAACAGTGAGTATATTAATCTCTTTAAAAAGATCTCTGAGTGTATTCCGGGCTCCGATGTTATAAATTGCTCGGACAGCTCTTTTTTGAATAATAAATATTGAATTTATATCAGATGCACTACCCCACAACAAAATGCCGTACGACAAGATGCTGTGAAAAGAACTGTAGTAAACAAGTCTGGCAGTGTCGATGTCTGATAGCTGCCTAACCTTCCTAATTGCAAAAACAGCGGAGCTTAACCTATTCGCAAGAGATGATAGATGGGGACTCCATTGGAGCTTTGAATCTACTGTGATTCCCAAGAATACAGCGGACTCAACAGGATTAAGGGTTACGCTATTCAATTTTAAGCTAAAACTTTGCCTTCTTACGTTGGGAAGGGCAAAAAGAAGGCATTTAGTTTTTTTTAGCATTTAACACCATATTATTAATGGTAAACCAGTGGAGGATACGCGAAAGTGCACTATTCACGTCGTCATAATTCGATACATTTCGTTCAACCTTAAAATAAGCGATGTGTCGTCAGCAAACAGTACAACATCACATAACTCACTGGCATAAAAGGGGAGATCATTTATATATACTAAGAATAATAATGGGCCCAAGATCGATCCTTGTGGGACACCCATTTTCATGGGGGACCCTGCGGAATTTACATCATTTATAGATACTTTTTGAATTCTATTATTAAGGTAAGAAGCAATGAGATTGAGGGCGATGTCACGAATGCCATAATAATCAAGCTTTAGAAGGAGGGTTTTGTGATCCACGCAATCGAAAGCTTTTGAAAGGTCGCAAAAAACACCTATTGCATCTTGCGACCCTTCCCAGGCGTTATAAATATGTTTGACAAGTGCGATACCCGCATCTGTTGTCGATTTGCCTTTAGTGAATCCATATTGCTCATTGTGAAAAATTTTGTTCATATTAAAATGTACTAAGAGCTGATTTAAAATTAAAAATATTAGCTAAATGTGGTGCAATATATGGCATTATTGTGGTCATTAATTTTATGGACATGCCCCATAAATCCCCTGTATTCTTAAGATTAATAGAATTCAAAACTTTTATAATATCATAAGTATCTACGTGATTAAATTTAAATGTGTGGGGACAAAGGTAACATTATTTCTTAGAACGTTAATTGCATCTATGGGAGATGATTTTAATGTACATGTGACATTAACTGCAATTTCTGAAAAATAGCTTTCAAAACTACTTGCAATTTCATTATCTGATGTTATGGGAGTATTACCTATAACCAGTTTTATAGGTTCCCTGAATATCTTGGGTCTTCCAGATATACGGGTAATGATGTCCCATGTGGCTTTAATTTTATTGTTTGAATTTATTATTCTATTTCTTATATGAATAGATTTTGCCTGAATACAGACTTTTTTAAATATTTTTGAGAACATTTGTACCCTTTTATGAAAGTTGGGGTCATGATTCCACTGCCTCATATTATATAATTCATACAGTGAACAAACATAAGTGATTCAAACAAAATGGAAAAAGTTAAAATCTAACTTGCTGGAGTTGAAGAGAATACAAAATTTGGCAAAGAGTTGTCCAATGGTTACCCAGGGCAGTACCTGAGCGGGTGGAAGGTGAGGCAGGAGACGGGGCCGATGCGAGCCCCCATGAAGCCCTCGTGGAACTTGATCGTGTTCAGCGGCGTCCCCTTCAGATCGTAGATGCTGATGCTCTGGTTCACGGAACCGCTGTGGAAAACCGATCAAGTCTTATTATCAATTTGTACTTCAAGAGGCCCACTCAATTTGTAAACAAAAGTATAAAAGGCTTGTGTTGAATGTTTAATAGATAAATTAGCTTTTTGAATGTGTAGTAATGTACTAACAATTTTTGAAGTTATACTTCTATTAGCGTATTTGGGAAAGACGATGAAAGTGAATTTTTAGATGCAAGATGGAGTCTTTATATATTTTTTGAATTTGAAATTTTATTTATTAATACTTTTTGACATTTACCTATATATTTAAATTTTTAAATAAAATTTTATCAATTACATTTAAAGTCTTTCTTACTTTTCATTTATTCACAATTAAAGAGTATTGTGGCACACAGAAAAAAAATTGTGTAATTTTTTGTTTTGTTGCTTAGGATCCCCTGCCACCCGGTTGGGAGTGTGGGGATAATAGGATATAGGGATTTATCTCACATAAAAAAAATTATGTATGCACTTATGTACGTACGTAAGAAACTATTTTTGTTTTGTTAGGCTAAAAAAGTATAACTAAAAACTGTCCCATGCCAGTATTATTTGATAGTGAAAAAAGAAAAACCTAATAGAGGTTTAACTAAACGGCTTGGAATTATAGAGGTGTCAAAAGGCTGTTATCTGTTGCCACAATGAAGCGTCAGCAGCACGAAAGAGGGGTGGGTAGTTTTTAGGGCCCCAAAAAGTTACGGGGCTTTAATAATCGGTTGATAGATAATATTTCATGTGTCACTATTTTGACCGGCGAAAGTAAAAAAAAAAAAATGTCTATTAATGAAATGTTAGTTAATATCGTTTTGTTTTAGTTAATTATTTCAACAGTTCGCAGTGCAAAATTAGTTAAACTATATTCAAACAATATGTTTGAATGCAACAGTGGGCGGCTTTTTGGCGGCTATTCCATATCGATTTTGTCGCAGTTTAATTTGAAGGTATCAGGCGAGCAGCGGGCAGCGCGGGTGCAATGTATTATAGATTCCTTTCCTATCGAATCACTCTATGTAGTAAAAAAACCGCATTAAATTTCAAGGTACCAGGCGGGCGGCGGTATCGGTAATGTTTTTGATTTGGTGTTTCCACGTGGGGTCCGTTACCAGGCGAGCAGCGGGCAGCGCGGGTGCACGTCGACGGCGGCGAGCGGCGCCGGCGCCTGCAGCAGCTCGACGGGCGCCATGGTGCGCGTGTCGTAGAGGCGCAGCGCGCCGTCCGCCGCCGCCGTGAGCAGCGCGTGCCGGCGCGGCCGCAGCGCGCAGCACAGCACGGGCGCCGCGTGCGCGTGCAGCCGCACCGACGGCGCCCCGCCGCAGCGCTCGTCCCACGCGCGCACCGACCCGTCCGCGAACCCGCACGCCAGCAGCGCGCCGCGCCACAGCGCCGTCGCGCCCGCCTCGCACTCTGACGGCACGACACAAACGTCATTTTACGGACTTCGGATATCGCCACTTAATATACCATACATGGGAAACACATGCTTTCAAATAAAAAAAGAATCATCACAATCACTTCGCTCTGTCGAAAGTTCTGAGGTAACAAACATAAAAAAAAACTACAGCCGAATTGAGAAACCTTTTGAAGTTGATTGAAAAAAAAAAGAACCAAAATCATTCATTCATCAAGATAAGAAACATACATTTCATCTATCGATAGTCATTTTATTTTAATCTACCTACCGCCGTTTCGTAACAAGGCTCCTCTAAAGGAGAAGAAACAGGCGGAAGAGCCACACAACAGTTCCCACTGTTGCACGAATTAGCAGGTGTGTCCGGGTAAACACCAAGACTAGCATGAAGTGGAAATGTCATACTTCTAAATTTCGTCTGCCCACTTAATTCGAAGTTGGCAACGCATTTGTACAGGTGTTGCAGATATCAGGTTGACCACCGGCTCATTTGCCAATGAATCGCATAACAAATCCACCGATCCGCTACCGAGGATGGAAGTCGATGTACCCGTGTCGATGTCGCCGCTGAGCATCTCGGCGTCCGCGTCCCACAAGCGCACGGTGCTGCAGAGGCCGGCCAGCGCCAGCGAGCGGCGCGACTCGCTCCAGCGCATCAGCACCGGGGGCGGGCCCCCGCCCGCTCCCGCCGCGCCGCCGCCACCCGCTCCGCCCCCGCCCACGCCCCCCGCCACTGTGGAGTCGCATCACAGATATTAATCATTCAAATTAAAACTGACCAAGTGCGAGTCGGACTCGCGCACGAACGGTCCCGTACTCCATAATCATGTCTGTTGTATCGGAGCCCCACTTAAATATTTTTTCATTCCGTTTTTTAGTGTTTTTTGTTATAGCGGCAATAGAAATACATAATCTGTGAAAATTTCGACTGTCTAGCTATCACGGTTCATGAGATACAGTCTGGTGACAGACGGACAGACAGCAGAATCTTAGTAATAGGGTCCCGTTTTACCCTTTTGGGTATGGAACCCTAAAAATAAAAACGAAAAACATGAATTGGGAAATGTACACAAACAATCCCATTGATAATTTTAAATGAACCAATCACTTTGGTAGTATACTGGACCAGTCTCAGCTGGCACTCACATAATATGTGAGTGCCAGCCATCAATATTATGGATTTATACCAAAATCTAACTAAGAAACTCACATAGGTCTGCAAGTCTTTACGGCAGGTTATCGTCTAAAAAGTTAAAAACAAATATAACCTGATCTAATCTCATTTTGATTAGGAGAGAAGTAAAACTCACTTTCTCGTCTTGGAGGGAGTGTAAAAACCTCTTATATAGTTCATGTACTCTTAACCTTATGTTTCTTATTGATATATATTATATAGTATGCATTGGCGGTCTTCTCAGTCAGCAAACTTTATAACTCCCTGGTTCTGAAACATCCTGAGGATATTTTAGGTCATATTTAAATGAAGATTGAAAGCAGCCTTAAATGCTTCATGATGTTGTCATAGATATTTATTCTTTGTCACTTTTCTTGTATATACCATAAATTTTCTTATATAACTTGCTTGTTATAATATTATCTTTGTATTAATATTTAAATATGTTGGTCATGCTGCTTTATGGTGCTATGAATGAATAAATAAATAAGTAAGTAGGTGTTAACTTACAAATCAAGCTCTACAATATATGAAAAATTAATGTGATGTGAAAAAATGCATGCGAAATTTAATGATGAAGGAACAAAATTCAATATACATGGCAAATCAACAAGCTATGATTCACTAAAGTTACATAACTAATACTACAAATAAATACATTCTTATCTACTCAATAGTGCATTGAATACTACTTAATAGTGCTGGAGGCATGAAATGGCGTGGTGACTCACGATTGGGGTCTGACTGTTTAGTCTTGGCGGCTGCCTGTCGTTCTTCGGCCGAGATGAACTGTTCCGACACCAGCTGCGCAAGACCTGTCACCGATCAATCGCTATACCAACGTACTGGAGCCGGGGAAGGGGTTCCCGCAGGGCGTGCGCCTACGGCCCGCGGTGTTCTCAACCATTTTTAACTTTCTGACGTTCGTTTCGAGTAATTTAAGGTTAACGTGACAATGTGATGGGCAATATCGTGCGAGTGGTCCGTGGAGGCTTACTGTAGAGGGGCTGCGCGGGCGGGGGGCGGTAGTCGGCGGCGGGGCGCACGGGCAGGGCGCGCCACGCGGCCGCCAGCGAGGGCGCGCTGCCGCTGCCGTTCTCCGACGGCCTGATGGTTTCATACTTAATATAACTGCGTTACAACAACCGAAATGTGCGAGCAAATCGGTGCTAAACTAGTATGTTTTAACAAGCAAGTTTTAGCAAGAAAAATCAAGGCCAATTTAGGCGAGCGTGCTTCTCTTCTCTTTTCTACCCAAGACAGCATATTGATATTTTTGATGTAGTGGGGTCACCACTCCCCACAGTGGGTAGCCAATTTGGGGTCGAGAAGGGAGGTTTTATCCAGTTTCGATGTGTAATATATAATATTTGATAGGTTGTCAATTTTTTTTCCACACTGCAAGGACTCGAACCTGCGACCATAAGGTGACGCACTTGGACGCGTTTTGCACAATTTCTCTTTTTGAATTGAATTAAACAATGAGCATTATTATAATAATGTTCAAGGGGTAGGCGGGTTCGACCTGTAGACGGCCAGGTTGCCGGTGTGCGAGGCGACGGCGAGCAGGGCGCGGTGGTGCGCGTTGAGGTAGGCGAGCGCCGTGATGCGGCCCCACGCGCGCCGCCACGCGCCCGCGCAGATCTTCGCCGCCGTGCCCCAGTCCCAGATGCTGCGGCACAAGGATTCCAATCTTAATTGAGGAGCGTCGCAACAAAAACCGATATATGGGAAATTAAAAAATAATACATGTATCTAAGGATTTACAATTTAGAGATGGACAAAGTTTACCTGTGTATAGGTTTTCTGCTGTTCAATGTTTTCATGTGTAGTGTTGTGTTGTGGAGGCTGTTGCGTGGCCCTACCACATTTGAATATCTACATGGTGCGTTACCCGAAGTTGTCCTTGAAGGCGACCGCCAGGTGCTGCTCGTAGGGGTGGAAGAGCACCACGGCCGGGGGCAGGGCGCAGCGCGAGTGGAACGTCTGCGTCTCCAGCCGGGCCGCTTTGGCGGCGCGCAACGCTGACGAAGCCAAGGTCAATGGTTATAGCACTAGGTAACACAACATAGTTACTTATTGATTGTGCAGTGTATTGTGCAGTGGAGTGTTTGCTGTTGCACGAATGGGCAGGTCCGTCTGGTTTAGTACCACGCCCTCACAGAAGAGCGGCGTGAAATAGTAGTGTGTGCCCACTTTATTAAGCAACAAAAGGTGGCAATGCAACTGCAACCCTACGGATGTTGCAAATGTTCATGGGCGGTGGTTATCACTTAACATCAAGTGAACCACCTGCTCATATGCCACTGTCACATAAAAAAGAATATAAATTCATAAAATATTTCAAGAAGGAAATAATCAAGAAATCACCGTTCGCGTAACATCACACTTTCCGTAACGCTCTCGTCGCGCATTCACCAGCTTGCTCCCCAAACCAAGGGGCATAAAGAAGTTTATGAGACGCACCCCTGGCGTCCCTGCGCAGGCTGCGGTTGCGCGCGCGCCGCCACACGCGCTCGTGGTGGGCGCGGCTCTCGCAGTCCCCTCCCTCGCCCCCCTCCGCCACCTGCGCCCCCTCCGGCCCCTCCGCCCCCTCGCCGCGCGCGAACTGCGCCGCCGCCCACTCCACGAACTCGGTGCTCACGATCGCCTTCTTCGTGCTCTGACCTGGCGAACAGAGCGACTCCCATCGTTAGACACGGCCATTGTCATAACAATAGTTACTTACATATCTAGTTACAATTTACATAGGAGCTTCATAAAGTACCTACGTAAATTGTAAGTGTGTAAGTAGTAAGCGCCTTATGTGTATGTTTAAGTCTTCAATAAACGTCTCAACGGGCCAATTTAGTATCATTAAATAATGAAATTATTACATAATTACAAGACTGGCATGAATATTAGCTGGTCTAATTAAATAGTTGTATATGGGCAGCATTAATAACTTACAGGTAAATTAATTTGTTTGTTCATCATGAACTTTTTAAAGAAAGACATAAATAAGAATTTGAGTGCTCACTGGAAGTGGAAGACGTGGAGTCGCGATCCCGATGCGCTACAGAGTCCTCGGAGATCGTGTGCGGAAGCCCAGACTTGCCTCTCCGGTGACCTACGTAGGTGAGTGAAAGATCTTTTCAATATACCATTCTAACATATGTCAAATCACTTCTTCAACATTTATTTATTTATTAGACATACCAACAGTATACATATTAAAAAACTTGGTGATATTACATTACAATATGTTCTTATATGTACACCAATGACAGGTATGTACAACTTTTACAATATGACAAGTAAATACATAAATACTTAATTAAAAAAAAACTTATTATATAAAAGAAAACAAAAAAAAACGAAATCAATTTCAAAATCAGAAAGTCTAAACTAATTGTAGTAATTTAAGTAGCATTTGCATTATTTTGTTGGTGCAATGACTTCAGTATCTTGTTTAATGTTGAAGAAGTGATTTGCAGCATACAGAGTGATCCAGATTGGAAGCAATTATTTGTACACAAACTAATGGTCCATAAGTGTTGTGTTGTTTAAGCATATGACCCATGAGTCGGCAATTATAATAAAAAAGAGAGTAGTTCTAGGCGCCATTGGAGTTAGGGCAGGGGAGCAGGGGAGTGCGCACCCATAATGGGCAGGGTGCGCGTGTCCGGGTGCAGATGGGCGGCGAAGGGCGAGGGCCGCGTGTTGGGCGACGGCGGCAGCGAGCTCGACCCGCCCGCGCCCCGCACCACCTCCGCCTCGCGCCCCACGCTGTCCACCTGCCGGAGTAACGGAGAGTAGCCACTTAGAGACACACGTGGACAGGAAAACACTGGTGCCCGCCCGCACTTTAGAAAATCAGCAAAACTTTTTACTAACAACTCACTAACCAACTTATTGCATAAGGTACTTAGTGAGCGAGTGTATGCTACGATCAAAATAGTAAATTTCGAAAATCGCAAATTACGACAGGCTATTAACATAACTAGTAAAAACACAAAATGTATGAGATTAATTCTTATCCAGCTTTAATTTATAGAGAAAACGAAGCCAATCGATTACCTGATTTGAGATATAATTGATGATGTCTGTGGCCATCTGAGAGATCTGCGGGTGTGGCTCCTTTGCCATACTGCACAGTGTACTCCACAGCTTCATGTACACAGAGCCAAATCCTGAAATAGAAATAGCTTAGCAGCTGCACTTGCGAAAACTTTAGCGTTGCGTCTGATGAATGAAGTAACGGTGGCCCAAATTTTTGACCGCGCAACAGCAAGGCATCGGGTAATTTAGATGCCCTTTAGCGACGGTGTCAATTTAACATCAGGTGAAACGCCCGCTCGCTTGGCAACTTTTCTCATAATAAGAAAATAGCGTTGCTGTCCATGAGGCGCTTATGGCGTATACAAAGAAAAAAAGATCTATCGAGAAAATACAAATATTTAATACTTAATTTTTTGGCCATTATGACAACGTGGCCTAAAAATAAAATATCGATACCGTAAGCGCCTCATTTCTCCCCGATACATCGTGGCCGATGTCGATATATGTGGCTCCTACCGATGGCGGGCAGCGCGAGCGGCTGGTGTGCGTGCGCGTGCCGAGGCCCGAGCGCGCCCCTCGCCGGCGCCAGCGCGTCCTGCCCCGCCTCCACGCGCCCGCTGCGCCGCGACTCCCTGCAACATTGCAAACACAACATTTCTTAAAAACAAACATCTTCTGGTTTCGCGCCCAGGCGCTTTGCCATTTCTCATTTATCTACCGTAAATTATAATTTACTTTCATCTTCACCGCAGAGATTATCACTTAAAATAAAAATTAATACTAATTTTTTTTTTTTTTAATATAGACTTGCTTAAACACTTAAGGACCATCAAAAAACTACCACCAGCTTACATTAGACCGGAATGGAGAATATCATAAAAAGATCCTTTTTTTTTAAATGATACATGTATACAAAATTGTTTAGGTATATAATCAACAGCGCCTAGAGGACTTGCAAGTGCAGGACAACAAGAACTGTAATGTCCCATTGCTACATATGTCCTACTGCTGGGAAAAGGCAAAAGCCTTTTGTGTTTTGTATAGAAATACAACGCATATTAGGGCGTAGTTTACCGCGCGACCCCACTGCGGGTTGGCGGACTTCGCATATTATGTAACATTTTTTTTATTTCGATAATGTGATTGATTTACATGCAACTAAGAGTTTGCAAGGTCGGTGAAAATGTGTAACACTAACCTGTCACTCCTCCTCATCCTCTCTTGGATGTAGACGGCAATGAAGTGTTGCTCAAATATCAGTACCAGCCACTGTAGAGCTGAAAAGTGATAGTTATAGTTTATATAGAGCCATGATAGCTCACTGTCCGGGCGCTCGCCTTTAATTCAATACGAGTATACTCGAGCAACCTGAGTTCGATCCCCGGTGCCGGCACCAATGTAGTTTTTAACTTTAAGTGCTCACTTATCACGTGCTCCGCGGTGAAGGAAAACATCAGGGGAAACCTGTATATTTTCGAAATAATAACAAAAAAAAAATATTTTTCGAAGATATGTGAAGTCCGCCGATCCGCAGTGGGGCCGCGTGGTGGACTATGCCCTGATACCCTCTGTACAGAGGTGGCCTTTGCCCAGAATAGGGACATGTTTAGGCTGTTACTTTACTTTTTATAGTTTATATAGATAGAAACAATAATCGATGGGGAAGAAAGGTTCTCGAGTGGCAGCCTCCAGTTGAACATCAAAGTATGGTGCAACCTCACATTAGATGGAGTTACAATCTTTGTACGTTTGCAGGAAGTTGATGGATGCAGGTGGTTTAGGGTTCATGTTAGGTTGTTGGGGAGGCCTATGTTCGGCAGTGGGCACAAATAGGCCGATACACCTGCAGGCTAACCAATTTTGTTATTTTATTATAATAAACTAGCGTCAGCAAGTTGGAATTTAAGAAATGCCTTTTTGTAGGTACCAGTGATCACTTTTCTGCTGTGCATGCTATACGTATCGTGAATTACATTCGCGATACGTATAGCCATTTGCCATATAAAGCCCGATATACACTAGTAGTGTGAGGACTGATATGTATGATGACTCCGTGGCGCAATTGTCAAGGCGGTTGCGCAGGCTGTTGCAAGGCGAAGTTGGATTGGCTTCGGCGTCGGGGCTCGTGGGTTCGATTCCCACACGGGACAACTATTCGTGCGACCCACAAATAGTTGTTTCGCATTTAGGTGTTTGTTTACGTGAAATTTATGTTTGTAAAACATCTTTACAACACCGGATAATGTTATTCTAAATGCAATAGCAATGTTTTTTAGAAAGAGAAAGTGTAAGCCATCGCACAGAGGTGCCGCCGTCCGACGGTTTAGAGTACTGTATTATTAAATAGATGGGGCGAGTGGGCACCTGCGAGCAGCTCTGCGCGCACCAGCGGCGATGCGTCCGGCGGCAGGCGCGCGGCCAGCTGCACGCCCACCTGCTGGTCGAGGGCGTTGGCGTGCTCGGTGCGGGCGCCGCACCCGCCCGCCGCCACGAACGTGCCCAGTGCGAACGCGCACGCGGCGCGCACCTGCGCGTCAATGGGCAGGTGAGTACCACGGCCACGCACAAGACGCGCGTCAAATGTTCAGGTGAACCGCCAGCTCGTTTGCCACATTCTCACACAAATAACCAGGCCACGGCTGCCCACCTCCGGCTGCGGGTGCAGCAGCAGCGCGTAGAGCTTCTCGTGCGCCAGGTCGCGCACGCCGGCCCAGCGCGCCGCGTCGTAGCCGCGCCACAGCCGGCCCAGGCCCACGCACGCCCACTGCCGCAGCCGCGCGTCGCCGTCGCCCAGCTGCTCCAGGCACAGCGAGATCATCGAGCCCTGCGCACGCCCCCACACACGGTTAGGACGCCCCTTTTGTCCGGCTCGAAGGACCAAATACGATACTCGCCTGCAACGCTGCCTCCTGCCCCTCTGGATAGTTATCCACTATCCCGGCCAAAACAAAAGCCGCCAGCGTTCTGTGCTCGCTCTAACGGCAATAAAATTATTCATTGAAATAAAAACTACAGATTATTAACACCATTATCGTTCATCGTAAAGATGATTCCATGAGAACATTCTCTTCAAAATACTCACATCGATTGACGGATCTTGGAGGATTGACAAAAAGTACTTGTGCCCCTTCGCGTTTACGAGGTCCACTTGACAGCTCTGCAACCGAGGCAAAATCGATCAATTATTGAAGAGCAGAGAAACAAGAAGGATGTTGCTGCTCAATGAATCAATGTCAGCTTTGACGACCCGATTGCGTGGGGAAAAGTAAAACTGCCTCTTACGCCAAAGAGTGTGGGTTCGATCCCCACTACTGGAAAAAATGTTGTGTAATGAAAATAATATTTTTCCAGTGTCTGGGTGTTTATATATTATGCGTTACACAATTACGCATCCCGGAAATCGCCTACACTGCAACCACCTAGCTACAACATTCCACATTCCATTCTCAAGGGATTGCTTATTCCGTGCTACGTGCCGTCGCCCGTAATCTCACGGATACGAAGTGGTTGCGCAACACAGGTTTTGGACACCGGGACCGTCCGAAGCATCGCAGCGAGCGTCACTCTTGTCTCACACTTCGAGCAACCGTCACCTCACTTAGAAATAGTTAACTTGTAATTTTTATGTAATAAATAAGTATTTTTAAATTTAAATTTGCATTTTTTGTCATCCTCCGGCCGTAGCCTTCGTAATTTATGTATTATTTACAAAAGAAAAGTATGTTCTAGTATTTTTATCAGAAATCCAGTACCCATAGTACAACTGTTGTTTACTTTGGGATTAAAGAACGTTGTGTACAAAAAAATGATTCCGAAAGTATTACATATTAGTATATCTATGCACGGCTGCGCCCGTGCGTATATCTTTAAAGCACTGTGTTAACAGCAAGAAGTCTTATCACTCGTGCCCCTACGGTGTACAACAGACAGAAGACAGAAGCGGAAAAGTTGTTTTGGCGCGTTGGACATTTTTAGAGAAAGTAAAATGTCGCTGACCGGGTCGACGGCGATGATCTTGGCCCAGATGTAGACCATGGAGGCGCGCAGGTCATGCGCGGAGGCCTGCAGCAGCTTGAGCATGTAGGGGAAGATGCCGACGGCCAGCACGGCGCGCACCGCCCACGCGCCCAGCGCCAGGAAGCGGCACAGGATCTGCAGCGCGCGCACGCGGTGCAGCGTGCTCAGCAGCACCTGCAGCACCATCGGCAGCTGGTCGGGCGGCGCGCGCGACGCCGACCCTGGCCCACCGAAACGGCCGCGTTCATATTGCATCGCTCCGCTACTTCCGCCATGCCACAGCGAGACGATTGGCGCCACTCACACTTGCCGAGGTCCAGCCACACCTGGAAGGCGGTGAGCTGGTCGCGGAAGAAGGGCGAGTGGCGGTAGGCGGGCGTGCGGTCGGCCAGCAGCGCGGGCAGCTGCGCCAGCGCCAGGTCCAGCGTGTGCTCCCAGCCCGCCCACAGCGGGTGCGACGCCAGCGACGGCAGTGCCGGCGACGACACCGGCGTGCAGTTGTACGACCTGCCCACCCACCACTTTTTATTTTTCATATATATTTTAGGACACATTGCTACAAGATAACTGATAAACATACTTTTCTTATGTAAATAAATACATATCATGACACCCACCGGGCACTAGAAAAACACTATGTGCATCACACAATATTTTTATTATATAGGTACACTACCCACTACGCCATTCAGGCCGTCTATTCAATTATTTCAATTATTTATTCGGATCAATTATTCTGGTATTGTGGTACCGAAATAATTACTTTATTATTATTATTTTTTAATTTAACATTGAATTTCTTTTCTAGATATATTCGAAAAACTGTATTCAAAAACAGTTTTTAAAAAATTAACTCTCCTCTAAACTGTATAAATGATTGCTACATTATCACAAATTATGTACATTACATTCACAGCCCCCCGTAATCCACAAATTGCAATTATTAAAATTTTGGTATTTTGTTAACACAGCTTGCAGTCGTCACAAGGTGGTGTACAACTGAGAATTTGGAGAACCAAGATCAAAGTAGGACCTATTAAGTGTTTAGACAGTTCACAGACGCCCAACGTGCCTCATAATCCTGTCTGCCAGGAGGAAGTTGCGGCAGAGGCTGGCAGTGAGCAGGTCGGCGCGGAACAGCTGCTGGAACAGCTCCGAGGGCAGAGAGCTCCACGCGATCGTGTCCGTGATCGCGGTGAAGATCCAGTTCAGCTCGCCGAGCATCGTGCGCCGGTCCGTCACCTGGCCAGGTATCCTGCGGCAGGGAGCGCAATATAATTATAAGGCACTTAGCAACAACCATATTCGCAAATGGTACACCTGTATTTTTTTTTACAATAACAAATTGGAATAATAAATAAGTCTTACTATCATATGATAAGTGATATCAGAGGACAGGCAAATCCAGGGAAGAACCACGACCTCACAGGAGACCGGCGAAAAGTAGAAGTATTATGCTTCTGCGTTTTGTCTGGTGAGTGAGGTAGCCGGGGCCCAATTTATTAAAATGTGGCAACGCCTTTGTAACCGTGCAAATGTCCTTTGGCGGTGGTTATCAGTTACCATCGTGTTTACTTTTATGTCATAGAGTGAGTCGGTCAGTTAGTCAAGTCGTTCGGTGTGATTGCTTGATGCGGAAGTAGGTAAGCGGCACTGACTTGTCGATGAGGTCGAGCAGGTCGTGGGTGGCGACGCGCACGCGGCTGCGCAGCACGAACCACTTCATGGCCATCTTGACGGGCGTGGTGAGGCAGGCGGTGAACAGGTCGGCGGGCAGCTCGGGGCTCATGGGCAGGCTCTGGCCGGCCGCGCACGCCGCCAGCTGGATGCAGTTGCGGTACGAGACGCCCCCCGCCGGGGCCGCTCCGCCCCCGCCCCCGCCCGCACCGCCCCCGCGCCCGCACCGCCACCCGCCGCGCCCGCTCCGCCCCCGCCGCTCGCCTGCATCTGCGAGGAAGCAAGTAGTTCATTGTAGCCTTTGAAAACGATGCCCACTTGTTGTATGGATAACATTATCCTGCGTTGTTAGGACATTTAACATATACATTCATATATATCACGTGGACAAACAAATTTTAATTTCTAAAAAAGCAATGGCGACATCTCGTTAGAATTATCGTTGTAAAACGATATTCGAAATTGTTCGAATGCTGGAAAGGATATAACAATGGATACGCCAAGCATTGCTTCACATGCTAAAAACAATGAAGATAAAAGACGTTAAGAGTTTTCGTCGGTGCGGCAATCAGCCGTTTACCTAAGTGGCTAAAGCGTCAGGCCGCGAATGCCGAAGACGCGGGTTCGATTCCCACAGCGGCGACAATCTCTTCGTACTTTCTCTACATATTTTAATGCATTGCAATCATTCATCACCTCGTAGTCGCGCTCGTGCTGCTCCGCGAACTGCTTGAAGTTGTCGACGATGACGCCCGCGTTGGAGCAGTCGTACACGTAGAGCGAGGGAGCGCCCATCCACGTCTGCAGGTCGTACATCGACAGCGGAATGTACTGCGTATACGCCTGCCGACACACGATCATCATCGCTACATTAAATGCTGCTTCATTCGAATTGAACTTATTTATTTATTTACTCAAGATATGGAAGACTTACAGCTGTTCAAACCTAACTAATCCTAAACTAGAGGACAAACAGTTACAGAGCAGACAAGTATTGTAGCTAATTAATATTTTTAATTTATCATATAAATTAAAAATTACAAATACTTGGTGTGGTCAATTAAAACATTAGGCCTCCAGTGAAGTCATCTCATGAACTTCGTAATAATATACCACTGGTATGTAAAGGAAGAAAAGTTCAGAGAAGAACCATCGATAAATTAGACTAGAAACCAATTTTCGCATACACCACATGCAATATATGTTTAATTTATTTTCAAAATGTCGGATTGTGCCACTAAATATTTTTTGGCATTAAACATTTATTATTTCACTCGACATTCACTCATGGAGAAGTGCACTAACGAACATTGTATGGGCCTCTAGTTGCTTTGCTGATAAGATGAAATGCAAAAACATAAGTACTCTTATGTAACACAGATGTGCTGTGAGGTTGAGCCTCTTCAATTAAGTGTCGGCTAATTTATACCACGTTAGAAATTGTTGATTGGTCTATACTGCATTCAACAAACATCAATTGAAAATATATGGTTACGTTGCCCATATGACTCTTTCATTCTGTTCAGCGCAATGCCTGGAGTTGCATGTCCTCACCCTGTTGAATACCCAGATCTCGCCCTGGGATGTGGGCTTCGGGACCCCGTGGCCGTTGTAGTGGAACAGCACCCGCTCGTCCTTCGCATTGCGTCGTAGCGAGCAGCACAGCTTCTTGATCTGGAGAGGCATTCGAGAGGCGTTATAAGATTTTTCATGACAAGTTGGCAAGCGAGCATCTGATTCACCCAATATTAACCGCCATCTGAGGACCAATAAAAGATTTGATGGGTTGCAGATGCGTCGTCAATCTCTGATCGGGTCCCAGTTACCTCACTCACCAGTCGAGACGCGAAAAAGTAATTTTATTCAGATTATTGTTTTGTCGTTAACTAACCTAACTAAGAAACAAAAATATGTACAGGATTGAGGGCTCATCCTTTGTTAGGATTTTGAAATCGAATGCAACTCTTTGAAATGTGTTAAGCTATTGGTTTCGGAGCGAGGCTCGTGGTTTCGGTTCCAGCCAAGTATTCGTGTAAGCCAGAGACAACTGAATCTGGTCTTTAAAAACCTTTCAAGTATCACAAATAAAAGGAGGGAACGATGTTGATGAGTTACTCTAATGTACGTGTTTTTCGAGCATAACTTTCGAGTTTCGAGTATGGGTCATCATTCACAGAGAGCACTTAGCCCTGGCCACACTAATTAGCCTAATTGCCAACGGCACGCGGCCTTACGACGAATTTTCGCACGCTGGCCAATTCAATGGCTTGCCGTTACGAAATATAGACACGCAACAAAGTTTTACCCTAGTGTCTATAAATCTGTCATGAAAAAATAATTAACTCAGGATTTAAATATTTTTACACAAAATCCATTGTCACTAAGCAAATCTTGTACTATGGATACTGAGAAGCTGTTAAATATGTATAAAAATAGTTTCTTACTGTAAATAAATATGTATTATAGTAATATTATATTCAACACACATTACATTTTTCTAGTACTGGAGTGCAAACCCACAGCCGCTGGCGCAAGAGGTAGATTTACTATCCACTATGCCATTCAGGACATCATGGTACTCTCAATTTCAAATTGTCTTCTTCGAAGCAGTAAATGAGTCATAGATGAAAAGTTAGTTTAGTGAAGACTTGCCCATTTGGAGTAATCTCTACATTACAACTTTTAGGCATATGATTGACTACAAGTTTCAACAATGCAGTCAAGATAGGCTAAAGTATTATAAATTAATAGATCACAAAGAAGTGAAATCATCAGCATTTCATTTGAATAATATGTTGTAAGAAAGATGATGATGAACATGCATGTAACTATAATTTTGGGTTATTAAATCATGGACAATGTTACCTCATCGCTTGTGGGGTCCAGTGACTGTTTGTAGCGCGCCCGGGGCTGCCAACGCTCATACTGTGTCTGCAAAGCGTGTCCAATGCTCTCCAGAGCCTTGCTCGGTGATAGTGAGTTGGGGTCTGAACACAATACCCACCATATATTAGCTTGTGAAAACTTCACTTTGGATTTTACATGTACATTATACATATGTATTAACATACAAATTATATCCTTCTGTTGGATACAGTGGAAGAAAGTTGAAACATTTTCAATGAAGGGACTTTGAATGGAAAACTTACAATTATTTACTCAATAAATATTAATAAAAGTATAAAATTCGATTGGAAAAGGTCTATAGCACAATATCAATAGTAATCTACTTTCACACAACTTGAAATTTCTTACAGAAAGTTTTATAACGATGTTTCTGTGTGTAAAACTGTATGGCAATGTCTATTTAAACTCCTGACATACTATCTAATTGAATTGTAAACATAAGTAAACATAAGAGCATCAGCTAAAATATTTATTTACATTATATTATTTGCATACTTAATGGATAAAATTTTACTGGTAATGAACTTTAGTATTAAAAGGTAGTGATCTGTAAAAACATTATAAAGACAACCTTCCTGTAATATTGAAAAAAATGCATTAAAACAAAATAACATACCAATCCAACATTCAAGTCTGGCACAAGGTTGTGTCTTCACCACATCTGGAGGATCGACACCCACATTGAGGCACAGGACCAATGCCACACAGTGGGTCTTGTACTAAATGATCAAATGGGATTTTATTAGCTTTGCAATATTTAACATTAATTTACAAGTAACAAAGAAAATAAACATATTATAGGTTGAAAGTTGTGAATGCATACTGATGACAAACATTTAGATTTTTTATAAGAAAACAATTGGCTTGCGTTTTTTTTTTTCCTTTAGAGGTTTAAAGTACATGTGTAATAATAGGACAGTTGAACGTATGTTAAACGCAGTCGCGAACTATCCACTCCCATGAGTCCAAGACTACTATGTACTGAACATACACCGGTTTAATATGAATGCAGCCATCATATTATTACATTAGTAATGTCTCACGAAAGTTTTAATAGTTTTATTAAAGTATATGGTTTATGAATTTATAGACAAATCAATTGCTTACATACAGAAAGAAATATTTCTGTATGTAAGGGTTTAATGAAGCATTCACACAACATATTATGTAAGAACAAATATAACCACCAATGCAAAACATTTGAAGCTAGTGTCAAGTAAAATATTGAACCTCATTTTATTATTGTGAACTGTTATTATTTAAATATAACATTTTTAGCAATCATAAGCAAAGATATTATAAGAATGAATAAAGTTCTTTGTGTCTCATGTACCTATATCATGTTTGTTATATTCATGTTTAAATTTAAAAATAAAAACAGGTAAAGATGCAAATCACGGACACAGGTTTTTTTCCCCTACCAAGTATAGCGATTTGTCTGTTTTAGCGGTTTATAGTAAAATAATATTTTTTTCGTTGTATATTGAAAACTGGCTGTAACCAATTAATAGGTTGAAAATTAGGTAAATTTAACTTTAATATACTAATAAAAATATGTGAAATAGAAAATGACATTTAATTAAAACAAAAAAAAATGTAAATTAATTTGAATCTGTTTGACAAGTTCAAATAAAAACATTTTTACGTATTTATGTAAAGAATATATGTTTAGTCTACGTTACGTTACGAATGTGTAATGTGTATTATATGTGTTACAGAATATTAGTAACTTTCCGCTGAAGTAATGATGACCATTCAAATAAACACTACAAACAAGCCATGTGCGTTTGTTTTTAAAATAACGTGTCCTTCAGTAAATGAAACGCAATTGCACTTAGCAAAGTTTTCAAATAAGAAAAAAACTAATGTTACCTTTTCTTTCACTCTCCATGAGTGCTCCTCACGTTCTGCACCTTTTATGGGTTCTATATGCCTCGGTTTATTAAAACTTAGAGGCAAATCATCTTCAGAATCTGAACAGTCGCTATCTGTCTTCTCACTATTTTTTTCCTCATCTTTAACAGCGAGATAAGGAGGCATTTCTGTCATTGTCACGCAACACTTGTACACAATTACTTCTGTTTTAAATGTTTAACGCACAAAAACACGTAAAGAAAACATTTTTAAAACCTCACAGAATCATGTGCGCGTCCATTTTTCAACACCACATGGGAATAAACAATAAAGATCTGTCTCATTCTACGCATAGGTTCTAGTGAAGTCGAAGTCAATCAATTTTATTAAAATCAACTATTTTTTGTAATATGTTGTAATGGTAACTAATTTGTGTAAGTGTATAAATATGTATTATTCTTTGAGGGATATATTTTAGTGTCTATAAATTTATCGAAAGAAAAATATTTATTTACAATATTAACCATGTTATCTAATAAACCTAGCCCACGTATTGTACGTGCCAAGAATGCAGCTAGCATTTCCTCTATGAATAGTTATGTTCGTATGTACTTAATCTTTGAAAGAAAAAAGCGAGAAAAGAACCGGCGTGGACGTATTGTACTCGCGATTCGTCTGGTGAGTGAGGTAACTGGAACCCACTGCTTAACGTTGGTCGATGTCCATGCTCTGCTGGAATTGCTCCCACTATCAATCGCGGTTTAAGCTGTTTAAACTTCCATCCAAGGTTTCCTCGGACCGTTTCGTGCCCCATTGCTTGATATTTTTGGTTCGATTGTCCACCTTTCGCTAAATGGGGAAGAAGAGATGGAGTGGATGGTGTCATCGTTTACCTCACGCTACACGTTATTCTCCTAAGTCCACGTCCGAGGGTCGTCTACCTATGGACTTCTTCCGACGAAGGTGTAATGCGCTGTGCTTTCAGCTACACAATTACACAAACACTACAAATTTAGATTATACCGATTTTTTGAGGCATCTGCATATTATGATATATATATAAGTATAAACATATTTTACGGTTTTATAGACCGTCCATCACATAGAACTAGTATTTGCAAGTGTAGTTTGTAAAGCCTATGTTTAATGTAGCTACAGGCATAGTTTAGTCTCAAGATGTACTAAGGTATACAGCGTGTCGTTGCCATCGCGACAATAAATGAACACACGTCTAACGCTACTTGCCAATAATCATAAAAAATATGTCCGTTAAAAAATTCCATAATTAAAAAAAGTATTTTTCAAACAAACTAATTAAGTGAAAAAGAAACAAAATTTGTAACATCCTATACAACTACAACTGTCTGATTCATACATTCAGATACTTTTTCATTCGTTGCCATAGCGTCGCATTACAAGCCTCTCCTTCTAACAGTATGTTTTGTCCCTTTTAAATTCATTCAACCCATTCATATGCTTTGTGACCTTTGAAAATGAACTTTACGTTACAGTTTTATACGTAAGTGTTCTAAAATTGTTTGTTTTGGAAAATTTAATAATTCTGTAAATATTGATGTTTCAAAAAGTTAATTTTTATTACAATTTTAAAAAGTTATCCTCTATATGTGTGTTAATTTATTGTCGCGATTGTAAAGACACGCTGTATACACAAAAATAATGGATTTGCTTAATGAATTATGAACAATTTCTGACAACAAGATTTTTCCTATGAAAATAAAGCAATAAAATAAAAAAATGTAACTAGTTTCCGTTACCACTAGATTTTAATATCAGTTATACTTTAAGTATAATGGAGTAGACACGCATTGGAAAATGAAAACAAAAACTTAAAATTAGCCAATATGGCATAGGCAAGGGAATTCTCCGAATTTGTTGCATAGATGTCGTCAAAGCCTGATAGGTTGGTGGTAAGAAGTACCCGCCCTCCCAGTTTTCACGAAAATCTAAATTTGCCTATACCTATTTATCGCAGGACCTTGATTTTTATAGACCCTTTGATTCCCTGTCAAACTGTTGACCCAATGTAGGCATAAACTTACTGAACACACTTTCGTCGAAATGTGGTCTAAATACTAATCAAGATTCCTCATAATATAGTAATTAATCTCATCGCTCATGCGGCCACTGTACGCGTTTTTGAATCATTCTTCTCGACGGATGATTTCCTCTTTTGGCTAACTTAGTAAACTTTTGATAACAGCGGAATTGACTCGAGGATGGCTTTATGTAAATTTGCACCCGACTGCCCACTTACGAAAAATCAATAATTATACGAACACATCTCAGATTCTCCATATCATCCGTGTGTCATATCCATGCAGTTTGCAGTACCCTTTGTCACGTTTATAGCGCGTTGCAGACGAGTCAGGAAGAGCGAGGGATAACTTTTTTGATAAAATTATTACGGGGCCATGGCTATTAGAAAATAGTAATTGAGAGAATATGCAATGTATAATTACATAAATATACAATTTAGATCGGTCATCATCCGCGGTTATAAAGCTCACCGTTACGCCGCCTGCGTGTTCTAGGCCGGCAACGTGCGAAAAATATTCTCGTCAACTGTTGTTGACGCTCCAACTAGATATATTATTTTTTTTGAAAAAAAAAAAAAAAAAAAAAAACATGCGGGCCAAGCCGCAGCTTAGTACCGCAAGCTATTACTCAAGCTACAATACCAAATAATTTTGGGGATGAGGATTAAGGCAAAGATATTAAAGTTGATCATGATTTAATGTTATGCGCTTTTGGCTAAAAATACCACGAAAATAATACAAGCGACCTCATTTAGAACCACCACAATCATTGATAGTGTTACATAAATAAAGTACTTAGTGTGATAAACATGACTTTATATTAGTTAATTAATTGTTCAACATTATTATAGTTTACATGGAAAAATATTGATAAATATAATATACACAGTCCTATGTTAAAACATTGAGCAGAAATCAGGTCACATCTTGACGGCACTGCATACGTAACAATTATTGCACTGTACACCGTCGGGCAAACATTCTATGTGGAATGAGTGCCTGCAATTGTAAACTATTAAATTGGAGGCGTTCGACAGGTCCCTGATGATGATACGCCCTTGACACACGTGGCACAAAAAGTCGTCGGTCACCGATATGCCTCTCTGCTGGCCAACGATAAGTTTCTCGTGGAGGTCGAAGTAGTTTCGGAGGGTTATGACCTTGCAGGCCTCTTGGACTGACATCTGGAGGTGATAGTCGCACATCATCTTCGCCAGGCATTCCTTAAGGTCCTTGATTTCGCAACCGGGCTGTATGTTTTGTATCAACATACGGGGATCGACGTAGTTCCCTATTCTCTTCAGTAGCAACGTGACGCACTCGGGTTTGTCTACCGTCTGCTTAATTAGATCAGTCCATAGCTCCTTGTCGTTGTGCTCTTGACAGAAGTTTATCGCCTGGTTTATATCGTTCAACTTCTCTATTATAATCTGCAAAGCCTCCCTGGTGTTCCCGATGCGACTCAGGAGAAACACCATTTCCGGATAAAATTCATTACTTTGACACACATCTAAGGCCTCCTGGATAGGATAATTGTCGCTGCATTTCAGAAACGGTAATAATTTCTCCCTTGCATATTTAGCGTATAACCGGATAAGCTTCCCGTGGTATCTACCATTAGGTTCGATCTTGCTATAGGCATCTAGGTATTTGAACAGGTACAAATCATGGTTTTCCAATTGTTTTTCTACAATCTCTACTGGCACTTTGGTCTTCTCTTGCTGTTTATCAATTAGCTCTACGGGTGTTTTGTCCAATAGTATCGAAATGGCTTTATCACAATCGAGGTTCATCAGATCGAGGATTTTATCATATATCACAGTGTACATATCATGTTTGGTTATTAACTTAAATACGTCCATATGTTTTAGTTTTAGGTAAGTCGTCAGTGCCTTATCGTACTTCTTTTGATAGCAGTAAAGTAAGGCCAAAGCTTCTAAATAAACATTCTTATCAACTTCATTGGAGAGCAAATGTTCTATGACCTTATTGACGATGAATCCAGTCTTGTACAACGATGGGTTCCAATCTTGTACCAACTTTAGAAAGCCCTGCGGATCTTCGTTGAGATACTCGTAAAAAATCAATTCGTATATGTGAGGACTTAACGCTTGTTCGGGAACTCTCGGTACGTAGGCGCTGATAGCCCGCAGTTGCTTCACAGCAGAAAACTTAAGGATTTGTGTTTCCCATAGAACCTTATCATTCCTGCATATCCGTGCGCACAAGATCGCCGCTTCCTCAAAGAGTTGTTCCGACATGAGATGATCTAAATACTGAACACCGACGGTAGTCACGGAGTGTTTCGAAGTTTTGCCACCAACCTCTTCCAAAACGGCTATAGCTTTTTCGAACCTACTGTGTTCGGTTAGCCAGTTGACCCTGTCGTCGATGTCATAGGGGCTGGCAACGACTATATCTTTTGGGGACACGATGAAAAAACGGTTTTCTTCAATAAGCATGTCCAAATAGTAGTCATTGCATGAATATTCTTCGTAGCCTCGTATATTTAAACAATCCGTGGAGACCTCGCAAAATTCACAATCCTTGTAATCCGCTACGGTGAGTACAGGTCTTTGTGCTTTGCCGGTGTCCGCGTCAAACTCTTTTGGCACGCCTAGCAAAACCAGCTGGTCGTCCAGAGGGCCAAGACCACTGATGAAATAGTCTGTTTGAAATGTGTGCACAGGATCAACTAAGTATTCAGTCACGTCCCGTGTTTGTAATTCGATGTGGCTGCGCTTTCGTATAACACATATTCGAATTGTGTCGACCCAGCCAATCATTAGAGTCTTTGGTGCGGACCAGAGAAGATTGCAGCGGTAGTCTTCTATGGACCTATTCGGGCTTTTCTCCCATTGTATAAGACCTAGAGAGCAGCGGGCTACGAGGTCGTACACTCGCACGCCAACCTCGCTTGCCCACGCTACAAAGCGATCCTGCCAGGCTATAGCCTGGACGTAGCCTTCGCACTCACAAAGGACTGTGCTACGTAAGCGATTCAGGAAAGTTTTTTCATACAGGGTCAATTTGTTGTCACCTGAAAGAAAAAAAGTTCACTCTTTAGATCTATTCGAGACTGATAATTTCTTTGGAATTTATTAATTTCAAATTTACTACTTTGTTGTTTGTTATGAAATCAATGTTTTTCTAATTATTGAGTTTAGGCTTAAATAATATATAATAATAAATCCATCCTGGTAAGTACCACAAGCTCACAGAAGACAGGCGTGAAGTGGACATATTACACTTCTATGTTTCGTCTGGTGAGTGAGGGGCACACTTTATTAAAAGAGGGCAATGCATTTGTAGCCCCGTAAGTGTTGCAAATATCAAAGGTTGGCGGTTGTTACTTAACATAAGTTGAACCGCTAGCTCACTTGCCATCTTCTCACATAAAAATAAGTACCTGGAGGACCGAGCTTTGCTCGGTTTGTTTTTTTGTAAACCGTGTATTTTGGAAATTACATTTAGATACAAATTACTGAGTAATGAAATATGCATAATATTTTTCGATACCGACGTAATAATAAGAATTTTTTTTTATCTGAGAAGTTGCCAAGGGAGCAGGTGGTTCACCTGATGTTAAGTGAATACCACCGCCCATGGACATCTGCTATACGCGAGGGTTTGCAAATGCGTTGTCAACCTTTTGAAAATCGGGCTCCGGCTACCTCACTCACCAGGCGAAACGCGGAAGTATTTGTCATACTTCCACTTGACGCTGTTCTTCTGTGAGGTCGTGGTACTTACCCGGACGAGCCTGCCCATTCGTGCAGCAGCGTACAGAACAACCACCGTAAGAAGTAATAAATGAACTGTTGTTTTTAACAAAAGAAAGAACTTTAAAAAAAAGGTAAAAAATAACAAAATAACAAATAGACAATAAAGAAAGCAATGACCTGGAATCGAAAAAAAAGTAAAAAAATAAGTATGTAAATGATCGTGATACGAACCGCGGCCGTCTGTTTTGGGGCCGCCCGATTAGAGACCGAGCTATTATAACATTTTTTTTGCGGCAGAATTTACCGTCATATTCGAATGATATTTTTCATTCCCTGAAAACAGGGATAAAAGGACATTTTCTTCAAATGAAACCTAGGCAGATCGATTTCTCGCCCCGAATCTACACACATACTAAATTTCATGAAAATCGCTGCAGCCATTTCCGAGATTCCTACTATATATATACACAAGAATTGCTTGTTTAAAGGATAAGATAAAATAAAATAATTGATGAAAACATGGACACAGTAAAACAATGTTTGGGCAGCAAGTAAATGCATCACAAGAAGTTTGATAAACTTCACCATCATTCATATAAATATTGGGTTAATTTTAGAACAGCAACATTTTCAATTTTCACCAAAAATATTTTACAACAATAGAGAAACGAAATGTAATATATATAACATATGTAACAATATGCATATAATATTATTCTGTAAGAATAAAAAATATTCTGATTTCAAAAAAAAAGGATTTAATCTTGCAACAACATACATTAAAACATTTATATGTTATAAAAGTTCCTTAGCATATGTTTAAATATTTTCTTACATAAAAAGTGTGTATTCCCGTACTCATTTTTAATAATAGTGTTGGTTAATTTCCTAAATAATTTAGATATTCTTCTACCCAATTTACTATTCTTCATTACCCATTATACATTTTACATAGTACAAACTAATTTAATTTCATTTATTTATTTACTAGCAATATTTACAATTGTTTTGATATGATATTAGTGTTCTTATACACCATGAATTATTTTGGTTAAGGGCTTATAGAACTCAGGAAGATAAAAGAATAAATCAATATACAGGTAGATGTATTGAAACAATAGAGAAATTATGCGTACCTGTAAGAAACCTTCTTCCAGACCCAGATTTAAAATAGTGAGGATCTAAGGCAACAGACTTGACAATTCTACTTAAAGTGAGGTTATGAGTATTATCATCGGTGTATAAGCCGTATACCAACACCTTCCCATCATCTGAACAACTCGCGATGTAATCCCCATTCAGATCTACTGATATCTTGTTTACTGCGATAGCGTGTGCCTGGAGATCCTTCTGATTTTTGTCCTGCGAAATTGGCACTGTGTTCCCCTCGTGATCAAGCAAGTGTATAACACCCCATTGCGTGCCGAGGCAAATAAACTTTGTATGCACACAAATACAACTAACAGCGTCCTTCAGTAGAATATTTTGGACGTCATTACCCATTCGATCGTATTTTAATTTAGGTTCCTCGTCCGGAGGCAGACTATCACAACTCTCAAGATTAAGAGTCATATTGGACAATTTATAAATTTCAATATGATAACAATCACATGGTAAAATATTTGTTTCGGAAATATTTAAAAACCAGGAAACACTTTTGCCTTTGTATTATGATATTTTTCAATAATGACATAAAGTCGAAGTTGCTATCAATGAGGTAAAAAAATGTATAATTATTTTATAATTACGGAAAAAAAATATTTCAACCAGCCGATTCAAATTTTACGCAATAATCATAAAAGAATAACAAAAAATATGGAATTTTTCGCTATCATTGAATATAGCCTATCTGTTGGTTTTCTAATTTCAAATGGCAATACTATAAATAATATATGCGCGCGAAAATTCAAATTGTAATAAGGTGTGAAGTATATTAAGTTTCTAAAGAAAATGAACAACAATTTTCAGAGTAATAAAAGACAGGAGTACGAAAAACATTTGTCTTCTTTCGGGCGCAAAGTTTTTGATGTTTTAAAACAATACCACCGCACAGGTATTACTATTGCGTTAGCTTGTTTCAATTTATAAATATCATTTAAAAACAAAATGTGTGTGTGTGTGTGTAGTCGTGTAAGCAGCACCCTATTTTTTTCATGATTTATTCAATATTTCTTTAATCTAGGAGAGTTTACAAGTGGTAAAAATCAGATCAATAAACGTAGCGTGGACCATTATGCAGGTTCTTGCCAAAAATGTTATGAAGGAATCGATGCGTGCGTATTTTTGCAATAAATAAATTTTTGATTGTATTACTTACTAATTTTGTTAAATAGACTTTTTAATTTCAGTGAATCGGGCTCTAATTTCAATCTCCACTATAATAAGAATAATGATTTTGTTAATCCTGAAAATCTGATCAACTTATCAGATGACTTAAATAAGGTGTTATCAGGGGTTGAAACTCAAACAACACAAAAAACAGCTGAAGTTGTTAAAAGAGCTCAGGTTAAAAATAGTTTAAATACCCACTTAAATATAGAAGATACTACTGATTCAGATAAAATGACTAATTCACAGCCAATTTTTGGTTTACCTAATACACAGAATGAAAAATATTTTACTGCACACTTAAGTGAAAATGGTGACACCTTAAATATGGAAGAAGAATTAACTGCAAAAGATCTCTTGGATAATTTACATAATTTTGACATGTGTGATAATATAGAGAATATTCAAATACTCTGTGAGAAAAAAATGCCTAAAAATGCTAAGCGCGATTTCGTGGTTAAGAGCCACGAAATAAAACGTAAGGAAAAGAATAAAAATGATTTACACGATTCAAGCAAGGTTAATCTATTACGAAAACAGGAAAAGATTTTACTTAAAGTAACTGATAAAAAAGCCAAAACTAAAATTTTGAAACGAAAATATACTAAATCCGTGAAATCTTGGCTGAACAGTGTTGATCCCACAAATTCTGTGGATGGTATGGACTTTCCAATTGATAGTCGTGATGCTAATAGTGAAACCAATATTACTTTAGAATATCCAGATATACTGCAAATCTCATTGGAGAACATTGAAGTTAAAAGTAAACCTAAGACCATGGTTCAGGCGCAACTCATAAATGAAAATGGTTTAATAAAATTTCGTAAGCCAAGAAGTAATAGTGAATTAAGAAAAACATTATACAAACAAAACTCTCAATTAGTAGAAGCAAACAAAATTAACTTAAACAAGTACAAATTTGTTCCACCCCTAAAGTCACAAAATTCATGTGAATGATTTTTTTTAATATTTTTCAAATTCATGGTTGTTTTTTTTAAAATAATAAGATACTAGTGGTTACAATAAATTTAAATTATATACTATGAAGAATAAGAATATATCAATTTATGTGTGAGGAATTTAATATAAGCACATACGGAAGTACAATGTTCTTTGACATTTTATGTTCTATCAAACTTTTAATTTACACACACATGGTTAAATACATGTAATAAATGGTTTTTGTCAAGTAATTAGCATACCAAAAACATTACTAGGACCAGACACAACCTTAACATTTTTTTTTTGTTACAAATAGGTATATTTTAAAATTAAGTACCTTTGAAAAGAACAGTAGAGTACATACAAACCAGTTATATATACAAAGACGAGGTGGTTAAGAGTAAGATAGCACACCGAAACTGAGGCACTCAAATTACGCCAATTGTTGTAATTAGATTGCAGTTTTATAAATTGCTATATCTTTCGGTATGATATGTTTTACATCATCTGTCACATTTACTTATGTCACATAATGTAAGCGGAACAATTTATAAACGCCTCGCAGTATGGACATGCGTCATCTTTATTAAAACATCATTGATATTAACCATTGTTATTCAATGATATACAAATTCAAGGTAGATATGACACTAGCGTTCCGAAACTGAGGCACTCAACTACGCCAATTGGTGTCATTACATTGCAATTCTATAGACCGCTATCGCCTCCTTACCCCACCTTGAGTTGGGGTCGGCACAACATGTGAATCATGTTGTAAGCGTTTTTATCCGTCTGCCTGACGTCAACCATGCTTGGGAAACAAACATCCAGATCAGGGAAAATTATTCACGGATCACACAAATACTTGTCGCTTGTGGGGGTCAAACTCACGACTCTCGTCGCAAAAGGCAATAGTTTAGCAACGGCGCCATCGATTCATCATATATACAGCGTGTCGTTACCATCGCGACAATAAATGAACACATGTCTAACGCTACATGCCAATAATCATAAAAAATATTAAAGTTAAACAAAATCCATAATTAAAAAAAAATATTTTTCAAACAAACTAATTAAGTGCAAAAGAAACAAAATTTGTAACGTCCTATACAACTCGCGCCACAGCGTCGTATTACAAGCCTCTCCTTCTAACAGTATGTTTTGTCTCTTTTAAATTCATTCAACCCATTCTGCTTTGTGACCTCTACAAATGAACTTTACGTTACGCTTTTATAGGTGAGGATGTTCTAAAATTCTTTGTTTAGGAAAATTTAATAACTCGGTAAATATTGATGTTTAAAGAATTTAAATGTTTAATACAACTTAAAAAAGTTATCCCCTATATGTGTGTTCATTTATTGTTGCGATGGTAACGACACGCTGTATATCTCTCTTTCCGTATATTCCTTCTATATCATTTATCACTTTTAGTCATGATCTCACAATGTAAAGCGGAACAAGTGTTTTTAGGGTTCCGTAGCTTAAAAGGTAAAAAAAGAACCCGTATAAGATCTCTCTCGTCCATCAGTCTGTCCGTGTGTCACCACCGATTTTCTCAGAATCGGGTGGGTCTATCAAGTTGAAGATACCAGATACTGAGGTCAATAGTCCCTATTACGTATACATATCAAATCATGACGGTTTTGGGTTCAAAATTCAAATCATTTATTCATCGAAATAAGAAATATACATTTCATTTATCGATAGTCATTTTTTAAATCTACCATCGATTCGTAATGAGGTTCCTCTAACGGAGAAGAAACAGGCGAATGAAACTCCGTAGGTATCCTCGTTCTTGTCATTTTTTTTTACTCAACAAATACATAGTTATACAGTACATATTTTTTTTTTTTTTAGAAACAGCGGGTTGATCATGATAAGGTAATTCTAATTGACCTAGAATCACAAAATTTGGCAAAACGGTCTTACAGTACAAATAAAGTTAAAATAAAAAAAGAATTGTAAATTAAGGTAAATTTTGATACTTTTTAAATTAATTTTAATTAAAAAAACCCTAATTATAATGTATAGTAAAACTGAATGATTCTCTATAATATTGATAATATAATATTGATAATATTGATAATATTATATTATCAATATTATAGAGAATAAATAATAAAATATTTGTAAATATTGTGTTTATAATTAATTTATTAGATATAAAAATATTTTAGTCCGCCAATCCGCAGTGGGGCCGCGTGGTGGACTATGCCCTGATACCCTCTGTATAGAGGAGGCCTTTGCCCAGCAGTGGGACATGTATAGGCTGTTACTTTAAAAACATTTTATTATTAGGTGATTTATTCTACAAAGCGCAAGTTTTCTTTGTTTTTCTTGTCTTTTTTGGCTGTTTTTTGTGGATACGCCAATAATATTAGTGAAAAGAGGAAAATGGTTAAATGGTTTGCATATCAATTGATTAGATTTTAGGCCATGCAATAGACAGGCTCGTCCGGAGAAAAACCATTTGTATTGGAATTTACCTATATAAGTCTGTTGAGTGAGGTTCCCCACTTTTTAATGGTTGGTAACACATCTATGTCAGATGATCATGCCCAGAGTTATTTTTTTAGATGTCCGTGGGTGGTGGTCAGGACTTAACGTCAGGTGATCCCCCTGCTTTAGTAGCCATCATCTTACATAAAAAGAAATTAAAATATATACTTCTTTCTATTTATTCACTTTTTAACATGATCTCATCAATAAAAAAATGTTGAGATATTGTTGAAGAAAAAGAAAAAGTGCTCAAAGACAAATTTGTAATAACATCTTAAAGAAAATTAAGCATAGAAAATATTATTTATGTATTATTCTATAATGATTAACAATCAATGACACTGAAGTTTGACATCTACCTGATGCAAAATCAATATTAACACAAAATAATATAAAAAATAATTATTATCCTATTTTTTATGTAATATTACATGTCATAATTTGACACCAATGATTGTAAACAGACGGTTTCTTTTAACACTCTTTATTGCATACTCTACTGAGTTGAGCCCATCCTTGTGGTAATGCATTTTATTTTCCGTCATAATGCGTCCCCGGTCTTTGTTCTTTTGTTCCTGACGATGGAGCATCATTGTGTACCTTGATAGCTCTCGTGGAAATCTGAAATTATAGATAAAGTTATTTATTTATTTATTACATTTAATTTTTGATGATGAATTTACATCAATCAAAAATAATCAATTATATACAAAAAATCTACTGAAAAACACAAACTGGTAAATGAAATAACACAAACCTTAAAACTTTTAGGTTTTTCGATGCAATCCGTCCTGCAAAGTCATCATCTTCTCCACCCCAGCCTTCAAATCTATTTGAAAACCCATTAACTGATATATACTGCTCCGTTTGAATTGCCAGGGCTCCACCAACCAAATAGTCATATGTTAACACATATCTAAACTTATCTATACTAGCACTCATGTGGCGTGGTTCATGAAGGCATGCATATAAATTTCCAACATCTAAGGGAAGAAGGTCAATGTCATGGAGAATAAGACATGGAAATTGGTCGGCTATAGCTTGTTTTGCTCCTATATTGTAGAGAAGACCTTTGTTCCATGGCTTGTCATCTTGCTGTTCTATAACATAAATACTGTAAAAATATAAAAAGATTTTAAAATAATATATCTTGTGTATTGTATATACAAACCTATAAGAAATAAAAACTTACCTATAATGAATTCCCTGTTTACGAAGAAAATTGTGCATATATGGTATAAACACATCTAGCTGGCTTTGTCTATTTCTGTAAGTAACTATCACAGCAACACTCAGAAGTGCATTACAGTTCTCAGGGCTGTAGCTGCCATTGGCTAATCCAATTGCTGAGAAATCGTCATATTTCCTAGGGACCTCCCAACTATTGATGGAGCTTGTGCTTTGTAAAATACCATCATAGTTGCAGGTTGGTTTCTCTCTCTTTGACACCAATTTTGGATTAGTACGGAAGAAAACACTGCTCCTCAATTGTTCTCGGGGTATGTGTTCATAGTTGTAATGTCCATAGGAGGCAAAAAATTGTATGACTCCAATAAGACATAACAAAAATATTAGACATGTACTGATCCGTACTTGGAGACATTTACTTATTGGTAACCATTTAGGCATTGGTATAGATTTATTGCAACTTTAGTTGTGTTTATAAACTTCCATTTCGCTGTATCTTCGAGAAAAAAGGTAATATTTATCGAATTCAATCTATGATAAGATTAACATGTAAAGGCTGATAAATAAACACATGTTTTCAATCGAAAATGAATGGTTTTTTAATAGATTAAGCAAGAAAATTTTTCAACACTGAGTATAACTGAGTACAACACATATTGTATTCGATTATTTTATAAACATACCTTTATATTTATATAAAAAAGGAAATCAATAATAACATCGTGTAGTATATATTTGTAACAACAAATATATATCACCGGAAATCTGACAATCTTTATTTTTTTATTTTTTCTCACTGTCTGCCAAATGACATGTGTCTAAGTAAGCTATGTATAAACTGTCAAATGTCAATCAGTGCTGCCATGCCAACCAGTGCTTTAAGTAAATTAAAGCCCAATTTAAATAAAATTATTTCCATCTAATAAAAATAGCATGTAAAGTTTATTTGGTGGCGTTAACTTTACATAAAATCACGAAAAATAATTGAAATTCTACTTCGTCTGTCAGCAGTAATAAAGCACCAACAAGATTTTCGCCATCAACGTCATCAGTGTTAGCTGATGCACTGGTGTAAGTTTATCTTGGACGGTGGGAGACGTATATTTTTCTGATTCATCGCTGCTTCACACATTTTTCATTTTTTCCTATGTCCTTGACACGAAAAAAGTACCTTTCAAAATACGTGCGCAGGACACTTTTAAAGTGATAAAAAAAACCTGTTCCCGAACTATATGGTCAGTATAATAGAAAATTGCGGTAGTCATTAATAACAAAATGAATACAAATAACTTCATACATAAAAGCTACGAATAATTCTTGGTATTCCCCGATAATATCTACAACAAAAAAAAAAAAACAGGCAAACAGTCTACGTTGACCACACTGCTGTCAATTCTGTCCTTGGCCAAACGTAGAGGTCCTTTTTTATGAATAACACCCTCGATACTTACAGCCACTACTATCAACACAGATTAATCACATGTTCAGTGCGATTAGCATGTTTTTGTATAGTCTTTGTCAAAAGTTCTTTCACTAAGTTTACGACGTAAACCTTTCAAATCTTCCAATGTGCGCGGGCCTTACGGACCTAAAGTTACAACAACAAATGGCACAAAGACGATAACCTAAACAAAGGAAGTCACGCTATTCACTTTAGCTGCCTCTCATGTCACCCTGGTCCTGACCGAAGTAGGCCATATATAGTCTCTTGCCACCGTAAAGAGAATACGGCATTTCAGTAGTTTCTAAGGACATCGTTCAGTGGACTGCGGAACAACACATGTGAATCATGTTGTCTATGGTGTGGGAAATGTTTTTTACGACCTGCCCGACGTCACTTCTCGTAGGGAAAAACACCAATTATTTTCTTCACACAAGTCCGTGTCCCGTCTATGAATCGAACCCAGAACCCGTGGACTTTTGATTATATCTTAGTCAAGTATATAATCAAATAGTGTGACATAGTTCTTTTTGTTATGTAGCTACTTAATGTCGAGATATATATATATATATATATATATATATATATATATAATGTTACTTTATTGCGTTTTTGTAGCCTAAAGGATGTAAACACGAGTGTAACGTGTTTGTAATTATTTACCGCGACTAAGTGAAACACGATTTCCAGCACTCTAGTAATTCTATTTTATTTCCCCTTTCTCGTGAGACAAGTTTGAAATTACAGCAACATATTGTTACGTGTTAGGGGTTCGAAGGATTTGGGGAGAAAGACCTGCTGACTCTTTTGAAGACTTTATTCAAGCACTAGGTCCAACACAAAGCACTAGGTCCAAACACTAAGCACTAACGATGTCCTATTTTGTAGCCAAGTCGTAGGTTTCACTGGTATCGCTCTCTTGATCCCTAGTTTTCGCTCTGAAGTGGCCTCGAAGGTAGCTCAAACTGAACTGTGTCGCTCGCCTCCCTGCGGCTTTTTATATGGGCCGAGACCGGTTCCGGACTAATCCAGAAAGATCCTTCCTGGAACGTACCCGACACGCACGAACATGTTCGTGATTCCGGAAAGTTCGCGAATGTACCCGGTTTTCGAGACTAAAGTTCCACAGCAGTTCCTCTAACGCCATCTAGTGTTGAATAGGGGGTTTCATGTCGTCTTTGTTCTTGTGGTTTTAATAGTTGACGCTAGATGGCGTTAGTTCCTTCGTGTGTTCATAATAATATGTTACCCCACTCACTGATTAAATATTGCGATACGAAAATAATGCCAGGTGGAATCGATGGAAATCGTGTTTCACTTAGACGCGCCTTCTTACGCCATTCCAAAGTATGTGACGATATTAGTTTCTCTTCTCAATTGCTGTCCAACTGATCTTATAAACTAAGCGAAGCAGCTGAGGCTTCACGGCGCGGCGCGAAAAATTCAATGTAGATCAATTTCTTTGTTGTATTTAGCAATACTTGAATTTACAGAATGCAGAGACTTTTCAATTATGATTTTTACAATGAATATTTGAACATGTCACTTTGTTATTCAAATATTTGTAGATAAATTGAAGAAAATTTTTTTTTTTTGACGAACCTGTTTTCTGGGTAAAGCGCCAGACGCACTTACCAACAAAACGGTACGGCGGATAAACTCACAGTCCAGAGATGAAAACTATTTTATTAAACATGTTACCAGATTTTTTAAATTGTAAGATATAAATTTTGTACTTGTTGTTAAGTAAAGAATTTATAATTACCAAAGAGCTGTAGAGAAGCAGATAGTGGGTAATCTACTGCTTAATAAACAAAAAAGTAGTCATGATCATGGTAGTAGTCACATGTGAAGTGATGAGGTTACATATATATTATATACTTTACTATGGGCATATATATATAGATTACTATGGGCAGCAATATTAACTTAAAATCCCGATTGCTGCAACTTTTATTTATTGAAAACCTTAATGTAAACAAAAAAATCACCTATTGGCATCTATTCAATCATAACATATGGTCACATCAAATACTGTATAGTCTTGGAAATCTCAAGCATTCACACCATTATTTTTTTATGAGTTGTGGTGGACTTACTTTCAAATATTAATGAAAAAATGTCCTCAGAATAAACCTAAGCTTCAATTTAGCTGGTCTCAAACATAAGATGTTACTTGTTTTTAGATTTGGAGTTATGTATTAGTTTCATAATAGGTATTAACCATTTTCAATCCTTTGTTGGAAAATTCCTATAGTTCCTTACACAAAAAACTTAATGTTTTAATTAACAAAACAAACATTTAACTTATTAGTACAAAACTTATCTGCTCTGACACATATCCTGAATTCTTTATCATATCTAGGCCAAACTAGTCACACAGAAACTGCAAATATTCCATTGTCCTAGAAAATTTTATTCTTATATTATTATTGATTAAAGGGGTTAAAATGGATAATTCTAATAAATCAGTTTCTTATAGGGGAGTATGCTAACTTATATTCAAATATTAATTTTATTTTACAAAAATGTAGTCAATGATTTTATATTCCATCATTTGTCACAAATTGGGGCAGCAATTATATTAAATATATATATATATATATATATATATATATATATGTCAAAAAAATCTTTGTAGCAAGGTTTGAAATAATTTAACTTGATATGAATTACACTTCAAAATATTATCTCAAATTAGGTATTGGTAAACAAGGATCAAGTTTTCTTGATCTAATCAATTTAAACATAACTATTTTATTTGTAACTGAAATAGTTTGCGCTAGTAATTGATTTTTGTTTACTTATTTAACGATCACTTGAATCTTGAGAATCTTTAATACAAAATAACCTTTTCACAAACAAATAGTACTTACACCAATTTCATGAATTCCTGTAATTAAATCCAATCGAAAACTATAAGCAGCATTGTAATATTTGGTAGACGAAAATTACATTATCTAATAAATGCTAAAAACGGCAAGAGGGTTACAATAGAAACAAAAATTCTTACTCCCAAAACCGTGAGTCAGATATAAACAATTTATTTAGCACAATAAAATAATAGGTTGCTGCACCATAATGCAATAAAGAAATAGTGTATACAACTAGAATTGCAGCAATTGTGGCATTGACCTGTGTTCTAATTACAAATACCCCTTGCAGCTTTATATTATTTTACACATTTGTTTACGTGCATTCATATCAACCGCCATTGTACAAGCCACTTGTCAATGTCATTCGGAACTCAGAAATTGGGAAACTATATATTTTTAAATTGTATATAATTTTGGATTAAAGTGTCTAAATCTACTTTTATAAGTTACAAGTTATAACCGAAGTTATAATATAAACATGTCGGAAACGAATTTTTATCAAGAATTAACCTGTAAGCCTTTAGATACGTACGAAGAGATTTTGGCATTTTTAGAAGATCCTCCTCCATGGAGAACTCTATGCACAGAGTTAACACCTCATAGCGATCAAGCAATACGAAATATAGAGATCAATAAAGGTTTTGGTGAAACATTTTTGGAAACCCCGCAAACGTTCTGTCATTACAGTACGGATACGGAAGCCAATCTAATTAAACGTCACGACCTAAAAAAGTTACCGAAAACTTTGGTATGTCACGATATGGCCAATGGTTATCATGACGATAGGTAAGTGCTGGGTCAGATTTTTGTTCTTTTTAAAATAATTCCTTGTTAGGATAACAGTAAATATCTGTGAATGTAATAATTTTTTAATTATTATTTTTCTTAGTTATAATTTCTTTTATTATTTTTTTAATTTTTTTTATTTAATGTGTTGTTGAAAGGACTTTCTCTTAATTAAAATTATAAATTATAATTAAGAGAAAGTCCTTTCCAGTTTTTCTGGCACTCTTTTCGTTATTATAATTTTCTCTTCTTCTTGGTATTTTGTTCCTTTTGTTTATTAAAAAATCCATTTGTGGGGCTAGTTTTGGTTTGGTTTTTCTTTTTTCTCCTATGAAAGGGGGCGCTCGGCGTCCAAGAATTTGGAATTGAAATGAATCAAGAACAAAGAAAGTAATTCGATATCTTTAAACATTATATAATTTTTAAATGACAAATAATAGGATTAAATGTCTCTCACATTTAAATTTTTACAATGAATTTTTAACCGCTGCCTAAACTCCAAGAAATTTCGTTACTTCAAAGATTAATTTTGTTCATTCAGTAACAATTTGGAAATATTAAAGAATATTGTTATCATCAACAAATTATACATTCAGACAAAAACAATTACGAGAGTGAATAGGATAGCATAAAAATGTAAATTTTTACCGATGATTCTGTCCAGTTGAACAGCAGACATGCAACTTGTCAAGTTTTCCTCTCGAACTTTCCTGAACCTGAAGACGAAAGTCTTCAAACAGTAGGTTCTACCAATGGTCCCGAAATGCGGATATTGACGCTAAGGTCAAAAGCTTAGAGGGCAACGCTTGGAAAGCTATGCTTGGCGTCTTTTTCGCGGGAGGATACTGAATGAAGAAGTTCGGTGGAGATTTAAAGAAACCGGATAGATTTCGCAAATTAAGTATAAAAAATTAATAGGAGCACGTTTCCTTCAGAAGTGACCACCAGTAGAGTTGTTAGTGACGGGTTAAAGTAAAGGCTTTAGTCAGATGGCAATTAGATTGGATTTGTGTCTGGCTGAAGATCGAGAGCTTCGTGGCTTAAGACTTGAAACAACCATAGACTGGTGACGATGACGAACAAATGATTTAGACTAGTTAAAAAGAGAAAGCTGCAAAAATTATGTTCATAATAATCCATTTGTATAAAGCTCTGATCTATAAATAAGCTGTATTTATTTTGTTGTATACGCATAAGTTCAGCATATATTTCTACTGTTTGTGCCAATGGTTTAGCAGTGTCTCTGACGTCTACGATCAAGATCAAGATCAAGATACGCAATTGTTTTTCCAATACGTGGAGACTAATTTTCTTTCATTTTTTTGTACGCTGCATATCTAATCTCTAATCTATTTATGTGGATAATACAATAGGATCACAAATTGTAATTAAAATGTTCTGAGATTACTGCGAATTTAACATATTTTTATGCTTAAAGATTAAATATATTAAAAATATCGGGTAATTTTTGATTCCGTCATAATGCTTCTACGTTGTATTTATCTTTTCAGTATTATCGACGGCACGAGTAATCACGAGGCATATACTTTTTACAACTGGGGTGGAATCGATATATTCTGCTATTTCAGTCATCACTTAGTCACCATCCCGCCTTTAGGGTGGATCAATGTTGGTCATGCCCACGGGGTTAAAGTGATCGGTATGTTTTGCCGAGGACAGCTATAATTACTGCAAATTTTTTTAATATAAATTTTTAATTTAAGCCGTGATAGCTCATTGTCTTGGCGTTCGCTTTTAACTGAGCAGCCTGAGTTCGGTCCCCAGTGCCGGCACCAATAAAATTGTTAATTTTAAGAGCTGACTTATCATCATGTGCCCATCGGTGAAAGAAAACTTTGTGGAATCCTGCATATTCTCGCAATGATAACAAAAAGTACTTCGATGATATTATGTGAAGTCCACCAATCCGCAGTAGGGTCGCGTGGTCTAATATGATGTGGAGTCTAATGTCGTCTCTTCAGTGAAGGCTTTAGCCCAGCTGCGGGACATGTATGGTCTGTTACTTTATTTTACTTTCATAAAAGTTTTAATTTTCAATAATGGTATAATAATTATTTTAGTTAGGAAATGGACTTGGTTAAGTAATTTGACATTAAATTACAAGTACGCTTTGAGTAAAAATATTTTATGGGATAAAACAATTAAGTTTTTTTTAATGTGAAAAGCTGTTAAGCGTTGCGTTTAGTGAATACAACATGGAAATCTAAAACACCCTATGGCTTAAAAAACTGGGCCCCGGTAATGTCACTCACAAGACAAAACTCAAAAGTACAATACTTCCACCTCACGCCGGTCTTCTGTGTGGCCGTGGTAGTTCCCCGGACGAATTTGCCCATTTGTGCAACAGCATATTTCTACTACTCTACATATTTCTCAAAGCTGACGATATTGACAGGGACGCTTATAACCGAATGGGCCGAAGGCGTCGCTTTCTGGGACAAGGTTTTGGAGTCCGACGTGAAGATGCAGAACTTCGCGAGCGCCCTCGTCGCCATCGCGAAAACACTTAAGTTCGATGGATGGTTGTTGAACGTCGAGAACAAGGTTCGATGCGAAATTATTTAATATGACCAAAGACCAGAATATAAACTGTTCAACCGCAGTGACTTCAGTGACTCTAGAAGTAGCTTCATTGTCATCGTAGCTTATACATTTTGGGGATATTATTATGCATATTCCTCACTTAAATAAATGTCGTGCGGTACGCCGGAATGAAACTTTGGTCATACAAGGATGTTTGATTCACTGTAGAAACAAACAGCCTTCAATTGCAATTTTAACCTAAAGTCTACCAATTTTACTAGGCATTAAAATATACTGTGACAGTCATACAGTTCACGTTCAATTATCAAGCGAACCACGCGTTCTTAAATTATCATATTATATCATAGTCTATCACTGTCTATCAATTTCGTTACAAAGCGTTATAATAAATTCTATTATGATTTATATCTTAACATCATCATAACCGGTGTTAGTAAAGTAACAGTAACATCATCATAACCGGGGTTAGTAATTAGGCCCAACCCAAAATGCTCTGGTCCTTCGAGCCGGATGTAGGCTTTCGCTGTCTGATAACTGCTGTCCATAATAATAATGTTCATTCTCGGCTCAGACTTCTAAGCCGAACCAGCTAATAGAGTTCGTGCGGCTGCTACACTCGGTGCTGCACCAGGAGTTGGTGGAGCCCGTTCTCATCTGGTACGACAGCGTCACCGTGGACGGGCACCTCAACTGGCAGAACTGCTTAAACGCGAAGAACAGGTCAGGGCCGAATTATGACTTAAGACTCAGTACATGGAGGGGCCCTAACATGTCGTAATCTAATTATAGCAAATATATGTATAATTAAATGAGCGCGAGATTTGCCTGAATTGTACCTGGCGACAGGTTCATCACGTCAGATTTTAGACGAAATGAGGTAGTTTTAAATAAGTCTGTTTTTGATATTAGGGACAATAATCTTGGGTCACATCAATAGCAGTCCCGTGTGGGAATAACCCTGAATTATCATTTTCGTTGGAACTCGGAAATATATTTTGAAATCACATACTAATGTATAAAATTAGCAATGTATGTACGTTTAGACACAATGATCGAACAAAATGCGCACGAACAGGGCGTTCTTCGACGCGTGCGACGGCATCTTCACCAACTACTCGTGGTCCGAGGCGGACGTGAGGGCGAGCGCCGCCGAGGCCGGCGAGCGGCTGGTCGACGTGTTCGTCGGCATCGACGTGTGGGGACGCAACTTCTACGGTGGCGGACAGTTCAACACGCAGGAGGTCGTTACTCACACCCCGCTAGCTTGAGCCAATCCAGCGCAGGCTTCACGAGAAGGGAGGCAAAGAGGAGAAACGATTAGATCCGGATATATCATCTGTGTTAGTTCTTGAGGGGGGTATCGAACCCACGACCCGCGTGCCAACGTCTATCGCCTAGCAACTGAGTCTATTTAATTTCATAATCACATTTAACAATTGAACCAGTCATGCATACAATCACTGGTTCACTCAACTCACTTATATGCGGGCCAAATAAAACCTGTTGGTGTTTAGTAGTAGAACAAATAGTTTATGGATAGGGTACTTTCAAAAATTTAATCCATTCCTACCTTTAAGGCGCCTTTTCGACTCTTCTGGTGTTGCAAATTTGGAACGGTGAGCAGTTTGTGAGTTTGCCCACAAACATATTTCCCCACTCCAAAATTGCCCACCGTACATGTGATAAAAACGAAATTTTTTGAAAAGACCACAGAACCCAATAAAATATTTTTTTTTTCATAAAACGAGTATCAAGTGTATACGTCACTTTATATCTCTTTCCCTCTCATGTAACGAAAGGAAGCTAAATATTCATCCAATTCTCATCCTGAGAAGCGTGTGTTGTGAGCGAACGCGGGTGGCAGGCGGTGAAGCTGGCGCACGCGTACGGCTGCTCGCTGGCGGTGTTCGCGCCCGCGTGGACGCACGAGGCGCTGGCGGACGAGTCGTGCGACGTGCAGCTGGCCGCCGGCGTGGCCCACTACCGGCTGTTCCTGCTGCGCGAGCGCGCCCTCTGGGCCAGCCTGTGGCCCTTCCTCTCCACGCGCCTGCCGCGCCGCTTGCCCTTCGCCACCTCCTTCTGCCGCGGCCAGGGCCCCAAGCGCCGCCTCTACGGCGAGGTGGGCACGCTCCTCGCTCGTCTCGCGTATTCGCTCATTGTTCTAAGGAATCATCAATCAATGATATTAAATGGAATTGAAATTGTACACACATTTACATGCAAATATGTTAATATTTAACTCAAGTTTTTAAATCTATATGTATGAAACAGAATGTATCTGTGTATGTATGTTCACCCAAAACTCGAGAACCGTTAGGCCGATTGATATAGAACACATATAAAGGGCGACATGACCATTGTTGTAGTTTTTAAAATTTTGGAAATGGTAGATTGTTCTAGATGGTAGAAGCGCACCGGGCACTAGTTAGTTAATAATAAATATATACATAGTTATAACTACAGAGTAAAATACTAGCAAAAAGGAATATATTGTAATTTCTTGTATTTACGCGATTACACATTATACATGAAACTAATTTTACGGATTTATCGCGTTTATTTTTAATTTTAATTCCCGACGTTTCGAACCCTTTACAGCGTTCATGGTCACGGGACAGACTGAACGCTGTAAAGGGTTCGAAACGTCGGGAATTAAAATTAAAAATAAACGCGATAAATCCGTAAAATTAGTTTCATTTAGGAATATATTGTGTTAATCAACGACTAAATCTTCCCAAGGTTATATGTCCCGGGCCGTGGTACAACCTGCGCCACATGCAGTACCAGCCGAACTCGTCGCACGGCCCCCACGGCTACATGCTGTCGGTCCTGGAGAACATCCTCGCCGCGTCCAGGCACGGGCTGTTCAAGGACAAGGCGGGAATCGTCCGCTGCCGGCGCTCCCTCGAGCTCAGCAGGAACGAGATAACGTCCAAAGGGCCAAAAGACGGCGAGGGATCGGGTCTGGCGGCCGACGACGAAGTGCGAGCGGTCGACGCCACCCCCGAAGAGGGCGGCGTCAAGGACAACCAGCTCGAACAGAAGCCGAAGACCCGGAAGGTCTCGGACGCCTTCAGGAATCTGTTCAAGATCAAATTCTCCAAAGCGGCGGAGGACGAATCGCGCGAGTCAACCGACGAGTCGACGTCCAGCCTGCGCCAGGCGTCCAACAAGTCCATGATCCAGACGTCGGTGAACCTCCGGCTGGGGCAGAACACGGCCAAAGTCCGCCTAGCGCTGGCCCCTCTGCCGGGCGAGCTGGAGTGCCTGGAGCCGTTCTTCGAGGACAGCTTCGTCGGCGGCTCCTGCCTCAAGGTCAACCCGTCGGACAAGGTGTACCCCGAGCACCGCCTCATCAGGCTGTTCCACAGCGACCTGCCCTTCGGCCGCGCCCTGGTCGCGTGCGTCGTCACCAAAACGCTGCCCACCGCCCCCGACCAGGCCCTGGACGTGGAGCTGCGCGCGGTCGACCCCGAACGGCGCCAGCTCAAGATAGTCCTGGTAGGAGACCACACGGTTCCGAGGGAGCTCGCCGAGAGGACGGCGCCCGACGAGACGGTCGTCCGCCTCTTCCCAGTCACCCCGAACTCTGTCGGATTCAGGGACATCCAGAAGTATCTGCTGCTCAACCAGCCCGGCTTCTACGTGCCCGTGGAGAACTCGTTCGGCTGGAGAGTTCGGTGGGTGTTTTAGTTAAAACTTTCTCATTTATTAAGTTGACAGGGAGCTCCAATTATCACAAATATTTTTTTAATGATGGGACGGATAACGCGATTATTTTATGGATTCCTACCTTTAAAGCCGGCAGCGCCAATGCGACTTCTGGTGGTGTTTTACAAATCTGGAATGATGGTAGCAATCACTTATCATCAGGTGCCCACAAACATCCTCTATAAAGAAAATTACCTACCGTGCTCGTAATAAAAATGAAATTTCTTGAAAAAGTCACAAAACCCAATAAGATAAAAATTAATCATATAACCAGTGTTACTTGAGTTGTATCAAGTGTATATCATGTAACGACTCGTCTTTGAAATTACACTCGCTTCTCGTCCAAGTCTCATCCTGAGCCCCTAAAGTATCTTAAGAAGATCCGCTTTAAAGGAAGCGAATAGCGAAATAACGCAATTATTTTAAGAATGTTTTGGAACACTAGCTTATCACGAGGATCTGATGATGGATTCACGTAATGAAGAATATTTAAGTATGCTATTAAGTATGTTATATTTAAGTATGGTCAAAAACCTATACATATATAGTACAAAATATGTCCTTAAATATTTATTTATTTATATGGTATATATATGTTTATATGTTTTTGAAAAGGAATTGACTTGATTACAGCAATGGTTCGTACCTCTCGTATCGTCGAATCATGAACATAATGGTTTCTTAAATTTTGAATAAGAGAGAAATCGGTAACTTTTCATCCTGTTGCAGATTATATTTGCGATTTGATTGTTTGGGTGGATTTATCTACTGAGAATGCTTGCATCTGATAGTCATTTGCGACTATAAAAAAGTGTACATTGTCTACTGACATTTGTCAGTAGACAATGTACACTTGTGTATGTTTCACCAGGTACTATACAGTGGAGGTACCGGACTTGCGAGTGGTGTCGATAGACTGCCGCACCGGCCAAGCGGAGGGTCCGATACTGCTTGGCCACTTTGGCCTCTGCCAGCGCTCTGAGGTGAGTAGCTTGTGGGTCCTTCTAAACAGTGTCCTGAAATTAGCAAAGACTCTCGATACATTCCTTACGGTTGTGGATATACTTATGTAGTTTTGCGCGTAGGCAAGTTGTGACGCGTTGTATAGCGCATAGGCCATTTTTCCATTTTTCCATCTAAAAGCCAATAGTCGGCTATCATCAGGTGGATTCGTTAACCAATAGGACTCGTTGCCAATAGGCAATAAAGAATATATAAATAAAAATGGTAATCAAGTTCGTAACTTCAGCATGGAATAAATAAAAATTTAAAACTTAACTTATTAAATTACCATAATTTAACTTACCTACTTATTATTTTTTTCAGGATACAGATGGCTGATGTATGAAAATGATAGGACCTATAAACAAAATTATAATTTATATTGTATTCCTGTTTATTTTACGAACAGTTAAATATGTTTTTAATTATTAAAATAATATATAATATTATCTGTTTCATTTTAATTTACAACTTAATCCATATCGCCCATAGATTTGTTTGTAATACGAAACATTTTAAATGCCAAAAGAAACATAAAATTGACCGGAAACAGTGAACGCAGTCTTAAGTTAGGTCTAATCAAATCAAATCAATCTTTATATATAAATATTTAGCTTCCGTATTTTTGTGTCCACAAACCTCAAAAACTAGCCGATAGATTGACTTGATATTTGTTCACAACATAGTTGTTGAACAGTAGAGTATTTCTATATTCTTTTTATTGCGAAATTCCAACGGAACGGATATAAAGCTGCAGTGAAAAGTGGCCCGGTTCACAGCCAATATAATCTCGACTGCACGGGCCGCGCAATATAGCTGGCGGTTCACATGATGTTAAGCGATAACTCCCGCCCATGGACATTTGAAAAACCCATGAGGTTGCAGGTGCGTTGCCACCTATTAATAAAGTCGGCCCCGCCTACCTCACTCACCAGAAGAAACGCCGAAGTAAAATACTTCCACTTCACGGCGGTCTTCTGTGCGGTTGTGGTACTTCGCCGGACGGAACTGCCCATTCGTGCAACAGCCAAAACTGTTATATACCTCAGATATAGTTCAAGTTGGCCGATTACCATTGCATCTGGTTCGAAATTGCCTGATAAAATATTTAACGTGTTTTTGTTGAATTCCCATAATTGTAAGGTATTAACGAGACCATGCATTGTAATCCAATGACATGGATATTTCTTGAATTATTTTTCATTCTTATTTTTCACATAGAATAAAACGAATTTCGTACTATCTATAAATACACCTCGCACTTGAAATTTGACGACATCGCATACTCAATTTGGTTATAAAAATCTAAAATCTAAATGATTCAACTTATTTAACGTAATATAAATATAAATATAATATGTAATAGTTTTTAAGGTATAAATAAATAAGTGGCAGTTCGAAATCGTTGCAAAAGTAAGGATTCATCATAATGTATACGAAAATCAGTTTTCCATAGACATTTTTTTCCTTTATAGTGTAACATTAAAAGTTATATACCCAGAGTATTGGGTGTATTTTGTGATTTCTCGTATGTGTGAAACCTTTTGATAGACGCTGGTAGTCAATATGATATCAATGAGGAATTTAGGGAGTCAATATACAGCTTCGTATGTGACCAAATAAAAAAAAATGACAAGGAATATTCAAAGTCAAAATGTCTTTTTTAATATAGTTAACGTTGCTCCGGCAAACGTTGCTTTGCCATAATTTTTCATACAACGTGAGCCATTCTTAATACTTAGGGGTATAATAATATATAAATTAGTAATATAAAAATTAGTTATAGGTTTATTCTCATACCTACTGAAATTTTATATCTATAATATATTTATCTATAATATATAATTTTATATCTATAATATAAAATTTCATCGAAATCGGTCCAGCCGTTTCGAAGGAGTATAAACACTAAAACTGTGACACAAGAATTTTATATATTAGAGAAGAAGATTATAAATTATTGGATCGGGTACGGGCAAAACACTTATTGAAAGTCGCACTTGGACGTCGCTTGGAATTGAATCAATTTATGTTTCAAGTGCGGGATTTTAATTGATTACTCCTTAGGCTTGAACGTGTTTTACGCTGACAATGATCGCTGATCGACTTCTCTGAGTGTGACCGCAAGACATCGGGGAAGCGGAATGAAGATAACGCGTCTATTGTTTCGTGTCGAGCACATAACGAGATTGCATCGTTGTCGATAGCGTCGATAAGGGCGCTCGAGATAAACGCGCGGGATGGCGTTTTTACCGCGGAATGGTTGCGGTAAATTGGCGCGGTGTATATGTGATTTTGGTGTGTTATTAACTGGCACCCGAGGATATATTGTTGCGTAAGTAATATATTTGCTAAAAAAAACTGATTCTGAATTAAAAAAATTACTCCATTTGTGTATTTACCTTAGGTAAACGAGGAATTAATTTGCTGTCATTCGAGTAAATTCAAATAAATATATAAGGTAATTAATAAAATCCGGTCTCTATAGACATTTCGAATACTAAGTCCTTAATGTCTTTAACGTTTCATGTTGTAAAGTCTTCGAAATAAAATCCGTAATTCTACTGAAAAATGTATAGTTTTCAGTTGAGTACAGGAAATCAATAAAGTGCTATTAATTAAAACTAACCCGTAAAATATTATATAATTTATATCAAGTCATCATTATAAATTATATTTTAGTTTCTTCTTTATAATTTGTTATGATTATGGTTCTTTGAATAGAATGTACCTATTATTAGTACAGTATATTTCTTCTGATAGCGAGAACTTCTCCGAATTTACATCAATATGAAAAAAGTTATACCTTTAGTCTTTTGGATCGAGTCGGGTCCCCAATAAAATCTCTACATACTTATTATCTATCATACTATCTAACCATGCCTTAAGCCCGTAACTAAACTAAAAACTACTACGATATAAATGTATTAATTATCTTTTTCATAATGATACAATCATATGATAAATATTATTATTAATAGTAGAATTATAAACATATATTTTAATTATTAATATATCAAATGCAAAAATAAACTCTATGATAGAGTATATTAGAACATAAACTCACTATTATTTTGAGTGTTTGTTCCCAAAGAGACATTAATTATTGTGTAGGGAACTAGGGAACCACCCAAATGCACTGCGTAGGCGCGGTGCGCCTATCATATCTGAAAGAATTTCTATATAACTCCGTTATATATATATTTTTCAATGTTTTTCACCTCCTATAGGTTTTATATTAATATTGTGCGTACCTGTTACGCAAAGATGCCACCGGCCATGACAGATGGTTACGTCTTATAGATAAGATCTGTGAAAATTTCGGATGCAGCGAAGTTCTGTTTCTTAAGTATTTTATATTCTTTGCATACGAGCGTCCATTGTGTAATGTTTTTCACGTTATTAGTAATCGTTTTGCATCATCAGCTTTATCATTTAGTCCACTGCTGGCATAGGGGGGTTCGTTTTGCATTCAAAATGTAAATAGCGCAGAACTCTACTAAACTACTATTGGGTATTTTTAGTCGCCTAGTAGCCTACCCAATATTAGTATACTATAGGTAATAGGCCGTGATAGCTCATTGTCCGGGCGATACTTGAGCAACCTGAGTTCGATCCCCAATGAAATTGCTAATTTTAAGTGCTGAATTATCAGGTGCTCAGCGGTGTAGGAAAACATCGTGAGGAAACCTGTATATTTTCGAAATAATAACAAAAAAAAATATTTCGAAGATATGTGAAGTCCTTTGCCCAGCAGTGGGACATTTATAGGCTGTTACGTTTCTTTTTTACTTGTACAGGTTATTATATTATTATTCGGAAGAAACAAGTCTACATTTTTCTGTGGTTTTTTTTCCGATATTCAATTAATACTTAATGCTTATCAATATCGTATGAAGTGCCTGATATTAATAAATATTTTAAATGCTAAATTTAACTCTGAACTGAACTGTCATATTTACTCCAATTTGCTGCTAATATTCAAAGAATTTGTTTGGAGAAAATGTTTTACATTTATCTTTTTATTAAAACTAAATAGCGCGCGTGTATCAAATAAATATGTGCTACACATTTTAAAATGTATCGCAAAAGTTTACAAACACAGTTTTGCAATAACTAAATTAGTAGGCGCTTAAAGTATTTTGTCGTAGTATAATATAATTCCTGAGTTTGTTTTTTTGCGTTTTCTTCATGCAGAAAGACACTTGATAACTCTTAATGACTATTAAATTACTTAAAGCATTTGGATGCTAATTAACGAAATTCATTTTAAGTCTGAAGTCGTTGCACGATAGTACATTTTGCGGGTTTATTGTTACATCACCAATGAATGCGTTGAGGTGCAGTGACTTTTTGTTTTATAATTTCCAGAAGCTGCAAATGCAAATACGTGCACTGATTGAATGTTCATGTAAACCGATGATTAATGAACTCCTGAAATATTGAGAGAAGTAAGCATCTTTTAGTTTATTACATATAATTATATATAGGTACTTGAACACAAATATAAAAAAAGCATGGTGAAATAATGTATTTGTATACATTTTTATAGTTTACAGCAATGATAAGTTTACTCGGGGACTTCTTGAAATTCTAAAGAAGTAAGTGGATTTACATGGTAATTTTTGCTTTATCGTCTACTTGTAAATAAAAACACGGAAATTACAGAGCATAACGTGTAAAAACCGTCTCGATTGGAGTAGTTGTTAAGCGACAGACGTCGACCGAGGGTATTAGTTTCTATTCCTAGTTTATTTATAAAAGATCTGTACACGATTCTGTGAATTGCGAACTTGTCTGTGAGTATTTATCTTATGTACGACGTATCAGCAAGTCACTATAAACTTATCCTTAATATCAAACTAACCTAATAAAATAATTTAAACACGCAAAACTTTTTAATAACACAGGTATTCATTAAAACATGTAGAAAAAGTACGAAAAGTTTGTGGCCGCTGTGGGAATCAAACCCACGTCTTCGGCATTCACGGCCTGACGCTCTAGCCCCTGAGCTAAACGGCTGATAGCCACAGTAACGAAAACCTTAACCGTGTTCTTTCTATATTGTTATTTAGCATTTGAAGCAATGCTTGACGCATCTGACACATGTGTTGATTTTTATCAATTTAAACACAACTCGAACTTTGTTTAGTTCGTATGGTGTTTAAAATATGAAAAAGAATACAGTTTCTTGTAATCATTCTTACAATTGTAGGAGACATGGCGTTGGAATCCTGTGCCGGGGGCGGGGCCGCGGGTGCCACTGTTGCGGCTGCTCTGCAATTCTTCGCAGCATCACAATGTCTGTTGCAGGAAGCGTGGCCCCATCACTCCACTGTGCCAAGTGCGTAGCCCACTTAGTTGTGACTGATTGAATTAATCTCTCACAAACAAAGTGAGTTAAAACTAAGCGTTCAAATTGATTTGACTTAGTCACCTTGCAGGCTTGATCATTTTTATATAATTAGGTACTTGCCTCGGCGCTAGAATAGTTACGGTCGCGGACGGTCATAAAGAGTATATCCGAGAAAGATGTTGTCAATGTTCATTAGAGTTAACCTTGATACGGTTAAAATCTGTATAATATAATAAAGGTGTCACTTAAAAACTTAAACATGTCGCATCGCCACTAGGATTCGAACTTACGCCTTCCGGACCATGCGTCCACATGGTCTATCCGCTAAGCTAAGGTCGACATCCTCATCGCGCGGAAATTTTTCCTCTTATCTATTTTGTTATTACATATTGCATTTGTCGAAATGCTTGGTCTAACTGTACAGATTAGTAATTCAAATTTTTATAGTGCTAATCTGTGCATTTATATTGCAATTTAAATTTCTAAAATGTCGTTTTAAAACGATATTCGAAATTGTTTGTATTCTGGAAATGATGAACAACGGATGCTAAGCATTGCTTCAAATGCTCAAAAACTATGTAGATAAAAAAACCGTTAAGATTTGCGTTTGTGTGGCAATCAGCCGTTTGGCTTAGTGGCCAAAGCGTCGGAACGCGAATCCCGCAGACGTGGATTTGATTCCACAGCGGTGAAAAGTTTTCCTAATTTTACTACAAATGCTAATGTGTATTAATTATTAAAAAAATAAAAATTCAAGAACACTATCATCAATTCAGATGCATCTTCGTTCGACTTCATCGTGGTGGGCGGTGGCACTGCGGGTTCCGTTGTGGCTGCGAGACTGTCGGAGCTTCGCGGGGTCAGCGTACTCCTCTTGGAGGCTGGCGGTGACCCGCCACAAGAGAGCATTGTAAACTTTCATACTTCATATTTACAGTGGATCGCTGAATGTGTGTTTGTATTCCTGTGTCAATATTTACATTCACTAAATTTTTTTTTTATTTATTGAAACTAAATACATAAAGAAACAGAATTATTATTCTGATGTGATGCAGTTAAAAATTAAGTTTAACATTTTATATAAGTATGTATTTAAATTTAAGGTAAACACGACATAGAATAAATTAAGGAGAACAGTAACCTACAAAACTAGGACTAAAATAAAATATGAATATTAGAACAAAAAAAAATATATAAATTATATAATGTACAATTAGAAAAAAAAAATTTAAAAAGAAAATAATTTATCTCTAATCAATTAAAGTTTAAAATAAGTTATAGTGAGTTGATCTCCAATAATCAAAAAATTCATATGATCTACAAATAGCTGTCCATGGGAACACTGAGTCCGTAAAACCATGATTGTGTAAGCATCCTCGACATAGAGATCATTAATTACCATTTGCGTTTATATCAAAATGGAAGCAAATCAAATATTACTTTTTCAGATACCCGGATACAGGAACACACTGAAAGCGAGCCGCTATGACTGGAACTTCACCACGATGGACGACGGCTTCTCCAGCCAAGCGCTGAGGGACGGTAGCCAGAGGCAGCCGCGAGGCAGGATGCTGGGTGGCAGCGGATCCCTGAACGACATGGTCTACGCCAGGGGGTTCCCTGCGGACTACGCCGAATGGGGCACGACAGTCGGCGACGAATGGGGCTGGGACCGCGTGCTGGAGTACTTCAAGAAGACCGAGCATTTGACCGACGAGAGAATAGTAAACGACCCCGAGCTGAGTAGGCACCACGGCGTCGGTGGCGAAATACAGGTCTCCGGTACCAGTGAGTCGACGCACACCACGGATAGATATCTGGAGGCGTTCGAAGAGTTGGGCTTTAAGGTTGTTAAAGACATGACTTATCCGAACGGTATTGGCGTCGGGCGTTTCTCTCACACCATTAAGGAAGGCAGAAGACACAGTTCATTGACTGCTCTGCTGAATGGATCAGCGAGGAGGGACAACCTGTACGTGCTGAAAGACGCGCACGTAGCAAAGGTTCTCATTGAGAATAGGACGGCAATAGGTGTGAGTGTCATGGTGGAGGATGAGGAGTTCCATTACTACGCGGCCAGAGAGGTCGTCCTGTCATCGGGTACGTTCAACACACCGAAACTGTTGATGCTCTCGGGAATAGGGCCTGAGGAGCATTTAAACGAGTTAGGAATAGCCGTGGTCCAGGACTTGCCTGTGGGTGACAATCTCCACGACCACGTCATGGTGTTGACTTATCTGTCCGCCGACAGCGGCACTTGCGAAGAGGACGAACGCGACGCGCATATGGACGCGATTAAATATCTCTACGATCGCTCAGGAGCACTATCGAGAACGACAGACGTCGGCGCCTACCTCTCGTTGACGGGGGATCCCAACGTTCCTGACTTCGCCTTCTATCCCACTTGCATGCCTCGCGATAGCGGCTTCTACGAAGGCTGCTTCAACGTTCTAGGATTCAAAAGGGAGATCTGCGAGAAACTGGCCGCGGAAAATAAGGATAGAGAATTGATGTCGCTGGCCGTGGTGTGCCTGAAGCCGAAATCTCGGGGCAGGGTGCGCTTGAGATCTGCAGACTATTGGGACGAGCCTCTGATTTACTCGGGAACGTTCGGCCACCCGGACGATTTGGAGGGATTCCCCCGGGCGTTGGAAGTGGCGTGGGCAGTAGCCAGCACGAGTTACTTCAAGTCTAAGAACGCTCGTGTAGTTAATATAGGAATAGATGAGTGTACTGGTTTGGAAGGCTCGGATAGAAGTAAGTGCATTGCCAGGAATACAGCGATGTCCGCTTGGCACTCCGTTGGCACGGCCGCGATGGGTACGGTTGTGGACTCGCGCTTGAGGGTGAGAGGAGTCCGAGGTTTGAGGGTGGCGGACGCGAGCGTTATGCCCAAGATAATTCGGGGCAATTCCAACGCGCCAGTGGTGATGATAGCGGAGAGAGCCGCAGACTTCATCAAAGAGAGTTTAGATAGTGAAGAAGATGACAAATATTAATTAATTTAATTAAATAGATTAATTTATTTTTATCACTAAAAGCTAAATCAATGATGACGTTTAATCATTAAATTAAATACGACAATTTGAGTAGTGATTAATTTCGTGCCAGGTTCTTACATTGTGTGTGACGTTTTATTCATTGCAACTTTAAGTGTTAAGTTTTTTATTATACAATTGGCAAAACGTAGAGTTTTTGATTCATTGTTGTTTAAAAATTACATAATATTTATAAATGTATTATATTTAAGGACGAAAGTGATATGAGACTACATATACTATTAAAAAAATTAATCATACCCTGTACACCTTTTGTTGTCGTCAACTCATCAGGTGGTGGATATGTCGATGGGCGGCGGTAATCACTTACATTCACGTGAACCACTAGCTCGTTTGCCAACTTTTAACATTAAAACGATAAGATATTACGGAAACAGAACATGTTTCAAGTGTGGGTAAACAATCTGGACTATACAGTCTCAATGTCAAAGTCAAATGTTATTTAAGTTGCCAAAAGGAGGGTTAAACTCTCTGAATCGAGAAAGATCTTCTTAATGATCAGAACGATCAATTCAAAGAATTTAACCATTCTTTTGGAGACTCAAATGACATTTGAAAAGCCATTTGACAGCTGATTAGTTAACTTCTACGATGATCAGTGTTTCGGAAACCGGGCGTCAGTAAAGGTATGTAGCAAAGTTACATCATAATTAAAAAAATCATTCACAAACACTTCCTATAAGCGAGCTATCTTCCATTGAATATTCATTACTTCGACAACCGAATTAATGACAACTTTCCCCTATTAGCGATCGTTTATGGAGCACTATTTCATTTTCACTCCATCATAGGGCGTCGTGTGACGTAACGCGTGGATTACGTCACAAGTTACGAGACCGCGGTCATTCACATGATTGACATGTTTTTGCATAACGTCTCTAGTCGTAACGACAATGTTAGTATGCGTATCAAGTGCACTACAGTTCCTTTTAATTGCAGCAACAAGTTTTAGAATTATAAAGTGGTAAAGATATTTTTTTGTATTAATTTTTCACGGGGGGAACTCCACGACGTTTTTTTTTTACGCAGAACATGTGTTGATCTCATGGTAAAGAGTAGGCCTTAGACGAAATAACAGAAATATTTTTAAGCTTTAACGTGTGGTTCCCTTACTTTAATCTATTAGATAAAAATACATAAAATATGAAAGAATTGCACCTTGGAGATAAAAAAACAAATAATTGTATTTGGCCTTTTTAAATAACTGTCATAAATATAACTGCAGTATTGTTTATTTGCTACATGGTCTAACACTGTGACCGTTATATGATCAAAAGATGTTTCAAATTAGAGTTGAGACCAAAAGGGCTCCGATTAACAAGTAGCATATTTAATAACGCCTTACAAGATACATTTTTTTGCAATTGGGTAATTGCATTGCGTTAAATTGCAGATCAGAGAGATAAAAAAACAAACGAACAAACTTGCGTTTAATTTTTTTTATTATTTATAAAACATGTGTGTTGTAGGGACGTTTTACAAACATAAATTTCACGGGGACAAACACCCAGATGCGCAACAACTATCTGTGGGTCACACAATAGTTGTTCCGTGTGGGAATCGAATTAACAAACCTTGGCAACTTACGGAGTCATAAATTTACTAAATGCCTTCTTTTTTTTGCAATTGGGTAATTGCATTGCGTTAAATTGCAGATCAGAGAGATAAAAAAACAAACGAACAAACTTGCGTTTAATTTTTTTTATTATTTATAAAACATTGCCCTTACCTTTAGGATTACATTATCATGTGTTGTAGGGACGTTTTACAAACATAAATTTCACGGGGACAAACACCCAGATGCGCAACACCTATCTGTGGGTCACACAAATAGTTGTTCCGTGGGGGAATCGAATCCACGACCCCCGACGCCGAAGACAATACCTTGGCAACTGCGTCACGGAGTCATAAATTTAAAAGCTGTTTGTAGTTACTATTTTGTTCCAACATAAAATGTGAGTTTTGAACGCTTCCGGTGTTTTCGGCTGACCACCCTAGTTTTGTATTTATATCGCAGCTGCACTTACCCCAAGTCTTCGTTACGACATCCGGTTCAAAAGGAAGTCACTGTCAATAAAGCGTAACTAAGACGCGCGCTGCAGCGGAGCGTGACATTGTACTCAAAATATTTTTAACTTTTGTCTAGGTAGAACAAATAACCTACTCAGACATCCAGTTCTACAGTTTGAATCTCAGTGCCAAACCAGAGTTTTGATTCCGATTTGTCTTGCTAATGTTTCGGATCTAGATATTCAGTAAACTCGTTTTGGCTTTCGTGCTTCTCATTTTGTTTAGTCTATTCAGTTCAAGTAAGAATAGTAGATGTACGTGTTTGCGATAAGATATGTGAGTAATTTTATATGATAACGTACATTTTCCTCCTTTCCCTCGAACAATGTGACATCTGCATAGGAACCGTTGCTCAAATACTTGTCCTGTGGGGAATTGATGAATATGCCTTCCTTTTCCATTCTTTTACACAGAATTATTCATATTAAAATATGTAGAAAAAGTGCGAAAAGATTGTCGCCGCTGTGGGAATCGAACCCACGTCTTAGGCATTCGCGGCCTGACGCTCTAGCCATAGAGCTAAACGGCCGTTTAGCTCAGTGGCTAGAGCACTTTTTCTACATATTTTAATGTTCAATCTTAAGTGCAAAGATTAGCAATTGTTTATAACAATTTAAAATTTCTAGAATTATTCATAGTTGTAATGCATTCATTAAGTAAATGTAGACGATACGCGCAAACCGCTTTACGGGTTAACTTAGTACGATCTAATACGATCGGAGCGCACTTTCTCCGCTGACCGATTGTTTAGTATGCGACAGGCCCGCGCATCTCGCGGCACCTCGGAACTGGCGTCCGCCGCGGAGTCTAAGACGCACCCTGTGCGCCACTTTCACCTGTCCGTCCGGCGGCTAAGGCGGCACCGGCAGTCGGTTGCGAGCAGTGCCACGGGGTGGACGCGTTCACGGCATAAGCCGCTCCCAACGCCGCTCAATCCTTGAAGGTTCAACAGCTTCGTAAAGCACTTGGCAGCTTCGACAGCATAGTTCGGGCAGGTGTTGCACGCGAGTGATGCGCCGCCATGGCGGAGGAGGAGCCACCGTCTTCGGAGAGCGTGACGATAGTCGCGGGCGAGTTCCCCAACGCGGCGACCGTGTCCAGCCTCAAGTCCGAGGACTCGACGGAGCAGCTGATCTGCAAGACGCCGCAGAAGGGCGCGAAGCCGCCGCGCAAGGAGTGCAGCGTGAGCTCGAAGAGCGTGGAGGCCGGCAGTGACGAGGTGACCGGTGGCAAGAGACTGGTGGTGTTGCTAGGGCTGTCGCAAGTGGTGCTCGGTGCTCTGTTGGTGGGCGCGGGGGCGCTGGCGGTGGTGAAGGGCGCAGCCCTGTCGAGGGTCGGTGCGGGCCTGTGGGCGGGCTGCGTCGCAGTGGTGACAGGGGTGGTGGGCGTCCTGGCCGGCATCAACGACTGCTACGGGCTCAGCGGCGTGGCGAACGGGTGAGTGAACAGCCCTATTCTCGAGCCACTGGCGACCGTTTCGGTTGAAAGTAAACAACAATCAGTGGGAATTCACGAGTTTTTTACCATTTATTGAGTTGGGTTGACTAGCTTTAATTACACTGGTTTCTGATAGGCATGCTCTCAAATTGTCGGGAGTTTAAAGAACAACTTGTAATTACGCAATTTTTGACACTTACTATTGTGAGTCAATCACTCAGTTTTTCAATTCATAGATTGATAATTTAATAATACAATCTCTAACAAAGATGTTTCGTATATAAATTATAATTATTCCCAGAGAAAATAATGTTCTGCCTTTATTTATTACCCTTCAAAAATGTCCATTTTCGTCTTTACTCTGAAACGACTCGTATACGCATGTACATTATAAAATAGTATAGCAATTTGTATATTTATTACCATTTGCATTTTATATATATGTTTTATTAATATACGTTTATGATAGTTTTATTAATATACGTCATCATATGAGGATGTTTAAACACTTAATCACACAAAATGAATAACGAAAATAAAATGGACAGAACTTCTGTGCGTTCTGTTATTAATTATCTATTGAAACACCGTCGTACGTTGGCTCTCTACAATTATGTCGCGATGTTACAAAACATGATTGATAATTTTCTCACTGTTGCGCCGAGATAAACATTAATTTTTTACCGGCTAGAAAGTTTATGCGCTCTCACGTATTTTAAAGGTAGAGAGAGACAGGTAGTTTCGGATAATATTGACTATTTTTTAGGGTTCCGTACGATAATTTAGGGTACAACGGGACCCCATGAGCCTCGCTGTCTGTCTGTTTGCCGTCTGTCAGGCTGTTAGCATACAGCCTGGTGTATCTCATGAAACCGATGATAGTCAGACAGCTGAAATTTTCGCAGATAATGTATTTCTGTTGTCGCTATAACAGAAAATATTAAAAAAGAGAATAAAAAATATTTAAGTGGGTGATAATGGTACGAAACCCTTAGTGCACGAGTCCAACTCGCACTTGGCTGGTTTCAAAGCGTACACGTCCCGAAACTAAAATGCTCGGTGCCCGCCTCTGGGATACCAAGCACCGGCGTCAAACCGTAATTGATCAAAGTAGGGTGGTTAATTAGTTAGTACGGCTCTAATATTGATGGCCTTCAAATACTATCCATTTGATTTCCATTAAAGATCATTAAAGATCGTTAGTATAGATTGGCTTATAATTGTACGTTCAAACTCCGAGGAAAGAAAAACTGTTCAACTTTATATATTATCTGTCCAACTCTCGGCGATAATCCATCAGATTAGTTTCTTTACGCACATTAATTATATCTGACTAAACATAAAATAATCTATCGTCATAATATAGTATACGTATATAATATGCATAATGCTTATGTAAGTAAATTAGTAGTATACTTAGTAGACATTATGTTGAAAGGTGAGCGTGTCTCGCCATCAAACGTAAAAGTTTGGAGAGAATTGCTATTAATTTTTTTTTAAGATTGTTAAAACTTACTTACGAACTGGCGTAAATGTTAAACAGACAAACTGCGTAAAAACTTATTGTTGACCTTTAACGTATCAAATTATCATTATCACATAATCCATTTCAATCATGAAAAAGACAGATGAAATTGTTATCTGTATATTGCATGACCAAGTTATAAACAATTATGCAAGGGCTAAGTACTCTTTATCTATTTTGACGTTATCACAATTTAATATAAGTATAATTATTTTTTTTTGTAATTTTCATTGCTACCTTACCGGTCATATCTTTTTAACGATTTGATTACTCTATGATTAGGCAATGTTCATTCGTTTTGTGAGTTCCAAACTAATCGTGTATGGTTTGAGAGGCATCGTAAGATTATTAACACAATTTTTGTGTGTTAAAACTTAATTCCTTTTTGTTTCTGAGGTAAACGATTTAAACGGTGGCATCTGGCAACGAATCTGAAACCTGTTACGGGGTTGCAAATGTTCATGGGCGGAGGTTATCACTTAACATCAGATGCTACTTTTCCACATAATAAAAAAAAAGAAAAGTTCATAATAAAATAGTTTTAGTCGTAATAATTTTCTGCCATATTATAATAATTATAATTATATTTATATATTATAATTGTATATAATTATGTATTTTTTATGTGATAAGTTGCTAAACGAGCAGACGGTTCACCTAATGTCAAGTGAATACCACCGCCCATAGACATCTGCTACTCCCGAGGGTTTGCAGATTCGTTGACAACCTTTTTGGAAATTCGCTCCGGCACCTCACTCACCAGACGAAACGCGAAAGTATTTGTCATACTTCCACTTTGCGCCGGTCTTCTGTGAGGTCGTGGTACTTACCCGGACGAGCCTGCCCATTCGTGCAACAGCCGGGGCTGCTGCGTGGCTCTAACACCGTTAAATATAATGTATGAGAATACATTATATTTAATATAATACATAGGAGACTATATATAAATAAATGGAGTAAATCATCACCTTGGGATCCCATAATTTATAAAATTAAATCCAAGTATACCGCTGCTCGTTCCCAGATACCATAAGCTCCTCTTGCGTAGATCTGAATACAAAATAAATCATAACATAATGTTAAAAATTTACGGTAGTCCGGGTTAACTTTGACATCAAGACGTAACAACTCACGCCCGGTTTCTGAAACACTGATCTTCGTAGAAATTATCTTATCAGCTGTCAAATCTTGTTAAATGTCATTTGAGTCGCCAAAAGGATGGTTAAACTCTTTGAATTGATCATTCTTGTCAGTCAGTCCCGTGGCCATGAACACTGGAAAAGGTTCGAAAAGTCGGGAGTTGAAACTCAAAATTAAAACGCGATAAAATCCGTAAAATAGGTTCACTTAATATGTATAATATTCTCGTAAAAACAAGAAATCTAAATGGATAATAGTTTAAAAACAACAAAGAGATCGTTCTGCTCAAGAGTAAATGCTGCGTTGTTTAGCGACTGTGTCGGTGACTTCGTGATCTTTGTGCGGAGATATTTATCTTTAAAAGTTGCGTATTAGACCGGCATGCGGAAATACGTGCTGCTATGAGGTAACTGTCCACAACCTGCTGTCCTCCGATGAACACTACACCAGATCTTTACGCGTCGGAGACCTATGGTTAGTCTTGATACGCGCAGCTTTGTAAGCCAGTAAGCTGTCAAGTGTTATGCGTTTGAAGTAACAAAGTTTAACTAGTCACTAATTTAAAAAACAAAAACCTGTCTGTGGTATAAAAAAAAATACATACATTTCGGCGCCAATAATCCGCCATTTTGATATTTTATATTGAGCAAGTAACAGTTGCGCAATAAAAAATAAAATTCGTTACAAGAACAAACAAACTTAAATTGATATTTATTTAAATAGAAGAAGAGTTACTTTTACTCTTACGTTAATATAAAAATTGCAAATATTAACGTGTTACATTTAGTGTACATTAACAGAGAAAGGAAAAATGAAATCTACATATTCAAAAATTAGAAATTGTTATCCATATTATAATAACAGTACCTGGAGGACCGGTTTTTTTGGTAAATCATGTATTTTGAAAATATTATATTACTATACTTACTATTATAACATTTTTTTTGCGGCGAAATTTACCGTCATATGCGAATGATATTTTTCATTCCCTGAAAACAGGGATAAAAGAACATTTTCTAAAAATGAAACCTAGCTAGATCGATTTTTCGCCACCGAATCTACGCACATACTAAATTTAATGAAAATCGCTGGAGCCGTTTCCGAGATTCCGATTATATATATATTTATTTATTTATTTAAGAGGTTCACCAACGTACGTTCACATATCACATTGAACATTAAAAAGATGAAACATCAAAACGTAGTAAATTACATATGAGACGAACAATTACAGGCAACAAAAATTATATATATATATATATTTTTATATATATATATATATATATATAAGAATTGCTCGTTTAAAGGATAAGAGATAACATAACATTTACAATGTTGCATTTCTGTCGAGCGTGCAAGTTCACAATCGCATTGATTAACACACGCCTGAAATATCTGGTGTTGCCGCACGCTTTGTGAAGTCTGCCAATCCTCCAGTGGGGTCGCGGGGTGGACTATATGTGTATACAAGCTTAAACACATACTGTACACAGGAGGTCTCTGCTCGGTCGGATATATAGGTATAGGCTGCTTTACTTTCTGTGTTAACATTCGTTTGAAATAGAAACGTTTCTAATAAACGTAGGTTACGTAGATAAAGATAATACATATTTATTATGATCAGATATTGTTTATTTAACTTTATGTTTTCTCTTCATATCCTGTTAGAGGAAACTTAACTGGTGTTTGTATAAGTTACTTATAACAGTTGTGAGTGTGGTGCATACTGTATGTTTCTCAAATAAATGAATGAATAAAAAAATAAAAAATCATATAGGGAAATCCTTCCTCAATTCGGCACAAAAAGGTAATCGATTTGAAAGGCATTATATTTCTTTATGGGCTTGCTTACTTCAGCTAAAGTCTTGCGTTTCCTCTGTTTCTTTTTGGATTAACCACTACGAGCCCTAAGGGGTCTTCACAGGTCCGAGGTGGCCGGGGTCGCTTGGGTGGCCGGGCTCTGATCTTCTCTGAACCTCGTCTGTTGATAGATTGTCGTGTGTTGTCGTGTGTTGGTATTGTGGCACAATAAACACGCTTAGTAGTGCTCAGTCAGGATTTCGATTATTTATTTCGATGAACGTCTACACGTCACGTCACAGTTAAAATCTGGATTAATAAAGGATCAATTTTAATAGCTCCGTGGCGCTATTTCCAAAGTATTGGCATGGGCGCGGGGTCGTGGGTACGATTCCTACACGGGACAACTATTTGTGTGACCCACAGATAATTGTTTCAGATCTGGGTGTTCCACGTGAAATTTATCTTACTAAAATATACTCACAACACAGGTCAAGAAAGAGTAGGATAAGGTTGAAGGTTTTTAGCAACGGAT